CTGACTTAACTTAGCATCCCAGTAAGCTAAAACTTCAGAATTGGTTTGCCTCGGGCTTCCATAATCAATGCCATCAAACTTCACAAATTCACAATTCTCATCACTATCACAATCTGATGCAATATCCACAGGAGAAACATCGGCAACACACTGAGTAGGTATATTGTCATGTAATTCATGTTACTTTCTAATCATATTGACATCACAAAGCTGTGTCTGTTTACGACGGTCTGGCGTTTGTACAACACAGTCAGTAGCACTGATGTTTCTGCCAAGAACATACGGGCCGTGGTACCTAGCCCGTAATGGTCGACCAGGGACTTTATCGCCAGGACTGAAATTTCTCTCTTGAGACTTTTTGTCATATTGTACTTTCAGCCTAGCCCGAAATGATGAGACATACTCCAACAAACTTATTTCAGACCTGTTATTAAGCCACTGTTCCGCTAAGTGCGTTAAAGGTCTTGCTTGACAACGGCATATGGATATATACCGAAACGTCGCTTTTTACAGCAATAAAGAAGTTGTTATCCATAAATTGTGTCTACTTTGAAAGTCAAAAGGACTAAAACCAAGGGACTCCTGAACTGACTCCCTCACAGCAAACAATACCAACTGCATGCTTTCATCCCAATCCTTCTGAGTCTCAAAACAGAAAGTCCTTATCATATTCTTAAGAGTCTGATGAATACACTGCCACGTTACGACTTATATGAGATAACATACATCAAGTCTATACACGGCAAGAGTGTGACATTAAATCACAAGAGAATGAACTAATGCTCTCACAAAGTATGAGATGACACTGTACAACGACGACCGCCGGACTTTGCCGAACGACGTCGGAAATAAGGCGAGGGGAGCGAAGCGGTCACAAGACCGTGACTAGACTAGTTTTACGACTCGATGACCCCCAGCAAAGTTTTCTTGTCAACGATTTGAGTCGGATGGTCAGTCTCGGGGACTTTGTTGATTGTCATTCTATTATACCGCGACGGCGTAGTATGGTGATCATTATATCAAACACTGGTTTGTCTAACCCAGACTTCGTTTACAGGCTGATGTGATACAGCCCGAGTCCGGGGTTGAGCAAAATACAAACAAACAAAACAGCAAACGGGTTGTTTCGATTTTTCCTTTCGATTTTCTTATTGAAGCGGTCGTAATATATAACATATTGTTCAATTGACAAGGTTGATGTTCATGATCAACAGTGAGTACCCCGGTTGTGCTTGTTTTGATTGTTTGTTGTTTAACGCACGGCGTTGTGTAAATAATTTAGTCTGGACCAGACAATCCAGTGATTGACATCATGAGCATAGTTCTACGTAAATGGGAGAGGATGACATGCATCAACCATGTCAGCGAGCCTGACAACCGACCCCGTTAGTCGCCTCTTACCACAAGCATTAGTCGCTTTTTAGGCCAAGCAAGAGTTGCTGAAGACCTATTCTAATCCGGATCTTCACGGGTCCCCCGCCCGTTGTGAGCTTGATCTTGTGATATATAAAGGAGTCACGGTTGTGTTATGCTGATTACTTTCATCAATGCAAGATAGCGGCCGTTTTACCTTTCTTCGGGGCGACACCAAACTACCCCATTCGCAGACCTAGGGTATCGCAGGTATCACGTGCTGCGAGGGAAGTTGGAGAATACGACTGCCTCACTCTGCTCATCTCTACTTAATTATGTTAAACCTCTTCACCCGCTGAGTGTTAGTTCAACCTCAAAGCTAATAGTAAAATACTTGAGTTGTCGGAATGGATACTGGAAATCCTAGACAGGCTCCACATAAGTGTTTGGATACATAATGGTTTTACGCCGTTTTTTTAATATGCCAGCAATATCACGTCTGGGGACACCAGAAATGGGCTGCACACACTGTACCCATGCGGGGAATCGAACTAGGGTTGCGGCGAGACGAGCGAACGCTTCAGTAATCACAAGGCTACCCACCGCCCACGAAATTCTGGAATCTTTTGGGGAAATATGCGTTCTTGAAAATACTGGAAACTGTCTCACTGGATGACCTGAGCATATATTTCATTTTTATATGATCCTGGGGTATTTTTCGAATCCGGCTTGACTGCTTCTTCAGTGTAAACAAACACGATTAAGCGACATGAGATGCTCCAAAGAAATGCCATAATGCCTAAAGTGTTATATGCAGTGAAATACATCCAGCTATATAAATTAAAGTTGATGTCGGTGGTCGTCCATGACAATGCAGACAGAAACATTAGCCATGTCATCGTGAGCGGCCCTGAATGTCAAGGCGTCAACACATTAAGTTTCCAGCACCATACCCCCCGTGCTGGTGGGTTTCACTTAAGTGGTAACCTCTGAGGCCTGCATCACTTCGGGCCTTCTCCCACATTTAGCTGACATGCCGTGATATAACTCACTCACTCACTCATTAAACAGTTCGATCTAATATGCCCATATCATTCTGGTAAATGTAAGTCATGAAAACTGACTGAACTGCGGAAGTAAATAATGTTGAAATAACAGTCTGCGAGGTTATTATATTGTTGTCTTTGTTTTTTTAATAATTGCGTTTATGGAGGTCCAAACGTAAAAACTGTAAAACAGAGTAGCGTATACATCGGTTATTACAATTAAATACCGGGCGGTGTTGTAACCTGGTGGTTAAAGCGTTCGCTCGTCACGCCGAAGACCCGGGTTCGATTCCCCTCATGGATAAGTGAGAATACCTATTCCGCTTTCCCCTGCCGTGATTTTGCTGGAGTATTGCTAAAAGCGGCATTAAACCATGCTCTCTCACTCACATTCATGCCATCATAATTTCCCAATCAATTATTTGATATGCACCAGCACAAACCAATTTGGGAGAGACATGATTACATAACTGTAAAATATTCTCAGGAAAATAAATGTATCACCGTCTGAAATTATCTCTCCAAACATATTTTGTCAATTACGTTCTCGATACTACCAAACTGTCTATGACAGCGGGATCGGGGCATCGAATCCCAATTGCGTGGATCGATGTTCATCATGTCAATCACTGGATTGTCTGGTCCAGACACGATTATTTACATACCGCCGTCATATAGCTGGAATATTGCTAAGTGTGGCGTTAAACAACAAACAAACAAAAGTCTATGACAGCATGGCTAGTAATTATGCAATGGTTGTGGACAAAGGGATAGCATATGTGCCATTCCAGTGAATCGATCTCATTAAAACATTGAACAACACACTCACTGCTCTGTTGATTGAATGGGGATATATAGCTTGTCGCTTATTTCACCTGTTTGAATCCTCAGTCAGTCAATAATGCCAACAGATTTTTCGAAAGGATACAATAGAATCGTCGCTGACACACATAAAAGCAACTGATGTTTAATTTATTTGTCCTTTTTAAGTAAATGGAATAAAGCTGTGAAATCGTTAATTGTTTACTCAACTGTACAAAATCACCCCCATGTATTTTAATAATGAATAACTCGGCCTCCGGCTTGAAATAACGAAGAAATCTGAACAAACGAGGATATTCGGACGGCGTGGATCGTTGCTCGTAATATCAATCACTGGATTGTCTGGTCTGGACTCGATTATATATAGGCAGCCGTCATTTGGCGGGAATATTGGTGAGTGCAGCGTTAAACAACAAACAGACTAAACTGTCGGGCGAAGATAGGATGCACTTGAAAATCGGATTTCACCAGAAAATGTACAACGTTATCAAAACGTTACTAGAAACACAGCAAATGTGAGGCCCAAAACACAACCAGTGCACACGTGTAAAATACATCACCATCGAATGACGACTTCTTATCTCTTTCATTTTAGCCATCATCAAACATGGGTGTATACTTTCTTTTGCCCAGCTGTTTATATCTAGAGTGAATATCATGCGGGTATTTATTTCCCTTTCAAGAGTAGCGTCCTGTTGCAGCGCATTGACATCCTCTGCACCAAATGTAGGTCATTTGTTTTGTTTCTGTTATTGTCTTGTATGGCCGTGAACCCTCTGATTTGTGTAAGGCTGCAAACAAGGAAATGTTTCTCAGGCATCGGTGCGTCACTTTAAATCCTTTTGATTCTAAATAAAATAAAACATTTATCAATTTTCCCGCGTATTATGAAGAGTGAGTGAGCGAGTATTTGTTTTACGTCGCTTTTAGCAATATTCCAGCAACATTACGGCGGGGTACACCAGATATGGGCTCCACACATTGTACCCATTTCGGGAATCGAATCCGGGTCTTCGGCGTGACGAGCGAATGCTTTAACCACTAGGTTACCCGGCCGCCCCTCGTCATATGAAGAAGACTCTGTCGTCCTTAAATAAAACACTTGATAACTGGCATTGTATTAAAGGGTCGACCTCAGCGTGCGCCTAGTGTCTGTTTGTTGTCTTGTGGGACAAGTCCTAAAGTATTGATTTCATGAAATATGAGGTGTTCAGAATGTCCTCTCTATACTACAGCAGATGCTGTTTTAAGCCGCAGTGTGCACTATTCCTGCTACAGTGCGCGACCTGCGAACGGCAAACCGGTGGTATGAGCAACGACCCTCGGGGTTCAAGAACACCTAATCAACCAGGCCATACAATATAATCGTCAGTTGTATGTAACACGCTAGTGGCCGCTTTATTTCGGTTAAGGGGCGTGCCGTTAAAGCGTTCGCTCGTTAAGCCGAAGCCCGGGTTTGATTCCCCACATGGGTACAATGTGTGAAGCCCGTATCTGGTGTTCCCCGCCGTGATGTTGCTAAAATAGTGTTTGCAATATTGTTGAAAGCGGCATAAAAGCATACACCCTCACTATTTCAGATATATAATGACGTGTCTTTGTAAGTTAGATTGATCACGTCGTTTGATGTATATAAAGGCAATCATTGGATGTTTGTTTTGTATGGTTATGTACGGTCTCTGGTATCGGTTTACTTATCGATATAAAGTCCCTTTATTGGATGTTGACACGTATTTAAGTTGCACGCACAGCAACACTAATGTTAGAAAGTCAAGAATATAGAATATAACCATTTCTTTATTCAGTCAAACACCGATGTCAACATTTCTACATTTATTTACAGCTTTCTCAATGCATCATGTTTAATAATGGCGTGCATTTTATTCCATTTAACCAACGATGTCCTCCCACCGTTCACTTCGCTGTAAAATCATTTCAAAATATTGCTAAAAGCACCGTTAAACCATACTCACTTAAGCATTTATAAGTATACCCCATTCACTCGAGAGAACGTAATTTAGATAAGCGGAAAGCTTTTCCCCAGGGCACCTTTCCACAAAGCTAATTTAGCTACATGTTCACACGGACGCAAAGTGTACATGGACGTCACGGTTGCATGGATGTCAGGTACACATGGAAGCCAGGTTAATATGGTCGTCAAGTTTAAATTGATGTCAAGTGAACAGGAACGTCAAGTTTACATGGATGTCAAGTTCACACGGACGCCAAGTTTACATGGACGTCATGGTTGCCTGGATGTCAGGTTCACAAGGACGCCAAGTTAACAAGGACGTCAAGTTTACATGGATGTCAAGTTCACACGGACGCCAAGTTTACATGGACGTCATGGTTGCCTGGATGTCAGGTTCACATGGATGGCAAGTTTACATGGATGTCAAGTTTAAAGGATGCCAAGTTAACACGGACGTCAAGTTCACATGGACGTCACCGTAACCTGGATTTCAGGTTCACAAGGACGCCAATTTAACATAGACGTCAAGTTCACATCGACGCCAAGTATACATGGACGTCAAGGTTACCTGGGTGTCATGTTCATATTTAGATTCTCTGTCCCAATAACAAAAATGACAAACATCCAGTTCATAAAAAAATGAAGAATTTACCCTCACGACTACCAACAAAGGCCAGTTACCGTCTGGAAACCATGGTCCCGTAACACAGTGTTCGCACCACTAAGACTGCCTAACAAAGGCCGATTACCGTCTGGAAACCATGGTCCCGTTACACAGTGTTCGCACCACTAAGACTGCCTAACAAAGGCCGATAGTCGTAGCACGAGAAACGATGCCTATCCTTCAAACCAAATCTTGGGTTGAGAGCTCTAATTGGGAGGTGAGTAAATTTTAAGATAAACGCCATGTTAAAGTTCGGAGCTGTGATTAGGAGGTCCCTAAACTTCGAGATAAACATGGCATGGTACGTAATTGTAAGTAGAGTGAGTCAGCTGGGTTTGACACCGCTTTTAACAGTATTCCATTTATATCACGGCGTGTCAGCTTAATGTAGGAGGGATGCCAGGAAGTGATGCAGGTCTCAGACGTTTACCACTTCGCTTAAGCCCACGAGCACGGGTATGGTGCTGACAAACCTAGAAACATAATCGGGGCGAACCGGAATTCGAACCCACAATCATAGGTTTCTGACGTGCCCATTGGACGCAACTCTGTACAGCGAATCGCGGCGCCAAAGACGACTGCCTCCTTATTGTAAGTAGAAGATCACTTAACTTCGAGATTAACATGTCATAGTACGAATCTGTGATTGGGAGATCAACATGTCATTTCATTGATCGAATTTGCGATTGGGAGATCAGGTTACTTCGAGATAAACATGTCATGATATTTGCCCGAATCTTTGATTGGGAGATCGGTTAATTTCGAGATAAACATGTCATGGTATTGTACGAATCTTTGATTGGGAAATCGGTTAACTTCGAGATAAACATATTATAATACGTAGCTGTGATTTGGAGATCACCCAACTTTGAAACAACGTTTCGACTGAGTGTGGTATTACGTTGCTTTACGTAATATTCCAGCAATATCACGGTGGGGAACTCCATGTGTAGGAAGTTGAACCCGCGGTAACAAGCGCACTTTGTAACAAGTAGGCTCCCAACCGTTTTGTGACGCTTGTAGAAATCTTGCGAAACTTGATAAACTGTATCAGCGATCAGTTTTGTAACGTGGGATGCAGCTGCATCCTCAATACAGATACATCCCTGTTGCGTGTAACTATGTTGGTGATTGTTGTGATGCAGGACATCCTGTGAACAGTCATCCTTAAATAGCAGTATCACTGATAAAATAATTTACATAGCAGAAAAATCACGATACATCGGCGACGCTTTGGTCATTGTGAGAGAAATTGCGACGCGGTTGTCTGGTTTGTTATATTTACTTTTTGGATCAGTCGGGTTTTGAAAGGAGAAGTACGCCAAGATTGGTTGTTACAAATTATTTACACGCGCAGAATGAAACCCGGACTCCCTGTGTGAAAGGTGAACCCACAAACCACTTGGCTAATTCGCTTCCCTTCAAATACTATGCAAGGCTAGAAGATTGCAGAATTTGTTCAGTTCGTATCTTTCAGCTCGGAATCTCTTGGGACCAACAGTACTTGATATGGCTCAAGTCTACGCACGATCCGCAGCCGAGAACTGAACGGGGGAGGAGACCCAACTTCGACCGGCGTAATAGTATAGTTCTGCATGATGGTGGTGAAAAACATGAACACTCCCACTCGGACCATGGTATCTCCTACACAGAGTCGAGGTCCTGAAAACAAAACATAAGAAATTGAAACCATTTTCGAAAATTGGGGCGTGTTCAAGCATTTTACTCATTGAATGAACATCACATTCGATCAGTTTGTTAATTACCTGTATGTATTACTTCTCATCGGGGTCGGGATATGTATTTAACAAACAACACGAGTGAGTGAGTTTGGTTTAACGCCGCTTTGAACAGTATTCCAGTTGTATTAATACATGACAGCCTGATGTGGGATGGAGCCCCAAGTGATGAAGGCGTTTACAAATCTGGGAAACGGGTAGTGAGTACAGTGATGACAACCCAAGAAACATTATCAGGTTCAATGGATGACGCCAGATGCGTTCCTGACAACTGAACCCGCTTAGTGAACAATTTTAGAGGAAAACATCAAAAATATTTAAAAAATCGATGTATTTTTGATAAATATTGATTGCACAATAAATAAAAAAGAATGCGGTATCCATTTCGTCAAGGTGAATGACATATTTGGTTTTCCTTTAATTTGGGATTGCAACCAAGATTTCCGGGTTTCCAATCAACCAATCAGATTGTTGCACACACGTCTCCCATTTGTTTTACAGTATTGCCTTGTAGTTGTCATGGCGTCCTGGGTCCCATTACAAAAAGCGATCGTAGAGCAAAGACGATCGTAACTCCATAAACCTAAGACAGTTGTAGTGCTGCGCTCGCTTTTTGCCCTGGACTTTAACAGGTATCTATTCTGAAGTACCCGGAGGGTGGTAATAAAATACGACATATATAACCTAGCTTTATGCAATAAAAGTTAAAACTGGTTCTAAGTCAAGACATTAGGGACATATTTGTAAAAATGATTCTCACCAACGCCAAATGGCAGAAAGCTTTTGGGTCGAGTGACAACACCATTGGCATCAATGTGTCTCTCAGGCTTAAAGACCTCTGGCTCTGGGAAATGTTTTGGGTCCCGATGAAGACTGTACAGACTCGCAACGACGCTTGTCCCCTTGGGGATATGATAATCGCCAATCTGTGTATCTTCAACAGACACATGGGGCAAACTGGATGTCGTAATAGATCCGATCCGAAGGGTCTCTATGATTGAAGCTTCAACGAGTGGCAGTTTCTCCCTGTCTTCCAGAGTTACCTGTCGTTTTCCAATCACCCGGTGTATCTCCTCCTGGATCCGAGTCTGTAATTTCGGATCGTGGACGAGGAACAAAACCAGATATTCGATCACGGACATGGAACTAGTGACGCCACCGAAGAACATATCCAACATGGACTGCACCATTTCTTTGTCTGAAAGTAAAATATTATTAACGTCAGTAAATGATTAGTAGCTGAATCGTCTTATTTGTCTTAAATGTTTGAGCATAAAAGTGTCAAGTAAAGGAATTTTTTTTTCAAATGACATACACGCATACATTTCTCACATTCGTATTCCTATTAGTGTGTACGTTGACATAAAATATAAGTCACCCACTGGCCAAATAACCGCCTTCGTGGTCTAGTGGGTTTCCTAGCGTCTTCCCGGAGCGCGGAAGATCGGTGTTTGATCCCCGGCCGCGTCATACCAAAAGACGTTGAAATATAGACAGGTACTTGCAGCACCTCCCTGTATAAGTGAATTATTCTTGAGCGCGGCGTTAAACCTAAGACCAATTCACGTAGATAAGCAATAGCCTAGGCAGGGTACAAGATTAGGTTTCACAAGTTACCATGTTGGCGTAACGAGCGAACGCTTTAAGCACTGGGATATCCAACCGAATATGAACAACTGTAAACCTGCAAATAATCATTATTATAGGAGGGTATGGCAGGATCTTCAGATATAACCATGTACATTTAGAATATTTCTACAACATTTCCTCTGCTTTTATTCACGAGAAATACATGTAACCAAATGAATGAGGGTATCTACATTTACAGCTTTTCTGTTGGTTAAATTCAATGGTTAGAATTATTGATTCAACCGATTTATGTCCATCAACATAAAAGCGGGCATGCACTGAACGCCCATACAGTGTTTGTTTGTTTGTTTGTCTGTTTGTTGTTTAACGCCGTACAGACAGTCCAGTGATTGACAACATTATCTAGGGCATTATATCTCCATCTGCTGACGTCACGTTTCCATCTCAATTATCAGCAACTTCCCAAAGTTTGTTTGTTTGTTGTTTAACGCCGCTTGTTCAGCTCCTCCAATGTTGAAGGAAATAACAGCAGGTCTTAGACATTCCGCTTCGTTAAAGTTACTGTACTAAAATAAGAATCATTATCGTAATGAATCTGGGATTCGAACCCTCGATTATACGATTCTGGCACGCCTAAGGGACGCGACTCTGCACAGAGAATTGTCGGCCCTTTGCGCTCCGCGATCAATGAGATGTGTTCACTTTCGCCCACGTTAGCCCTGCGTGACACCAATCGAAACAGTCCCGTTAGCTTTATTGTTTCCCAGAAACTCGTTCACATGGCCAATGTTATGTATGCAAGAAGAGATGCTATCCTTAAACCACCTTTTTCCATAAAAATATAGACCAGATCGGGTATCAAGTTTAATTCTCAAACGGGTTTGGCGTAGTGTATATCGGAGCTTTTATCTAACGGCGGAGTGTGCCTCAATCTGAGCCACGGGGATTTTCAAGGTATACATCGTCGTCAGACTTACCGTCGGTATTTTGATCTTTGTATTCTTCGCTCTGCGTGAACGTTGATATTAAAGTGCTGTCTTTGTCCGTCCGTGTCGGGGCGTCTGGCTTAATCCAGCCTCGCACCACGCTCTGCATGTCGCTACTGATGGCGTGCAGGTTGGGGGAGCTGGGGCATAGTTTTGACGACGCCCGAGGGAACGCTAGGGCGAGCAACGTGGACATGGACGATAAGTCGACGTCATCAAGCCGCGTGAGAACCTTGAGCAGGTGTTGCATTTCGGGGTCATCATCCGGGTACCTATGACCTCTCAAGACAGTCACTATGACATTGACGATGTAGGGTCTGATCACGTCACTCAAACACATTGGCCCTGGTTTGCTGAGGTTTGGCAAGATGGCGTCCATCTCACGTCGGAACATTGCTTCGAAAGCCTTCTGTGATCCTTCTCTCCATGTTATACTGGAGGCGAGTTTTCGGTTGAGTTTCCAGTGAGAACCGCTTCCGAACAAAATTCCTGAAATAAACAAAGTACGATGGTCATGGCAGGGAATAAACTCAGATTGATTTTTAAAGCATTTTCAAGCATTCCGATCAACCTTATCAGATGAAAATAAGATATATCTCGGATTTTGTTCAAAGAAATTATTTTGAAACAGCGATTGCACCATAACACGTTATTATTAAGATCTGTTTGTTTGTTGTTTAACGCCGCACTCAGCAATATTGCAACTATATGACGGCGGTCAGTAAATAAAAGAGTCCAGTGATTTACATCATGAGCATCGAATTACGCAAATGGGATACAATGACATACATTAAATAAGTCGCCGTGATAAAGCTGGAATACTGTTAAAAGCGGCGTTAAACCCAACTCACTCATAGTGGGGGGAAATCTGTGATTCCAACCCCAAACATGGCATCACGTAATGTCTAAGGGAATTGCGAATTGCGATGCCTTAGACGTATCGACAACCCAGCTCCCCGCACAGAAACGAAGCGGAGGGTTGCCAAATTCTCCCCTCTCCTTCCCTCACACAAATACACATTAGGTCGCAGGGTCGGGTGAGTTATATGCGAATACCATTGTCAACAAAGTGACTGCTGTGATGAGTCTTCCGCTCTGTCCTGTCCTTGAACTGATAGCGTTGAAGACAGGATGTTATTTCGCGGGACATAAAAGCTTGTGATCATGCAGTTTCATTGTGAGTCACGCTTTGATGATCGTATTGTGCACTTCTTAAGCTCAAGTTCTTGCATTAACCCATTTGATTTCAAACATAATCTCCAAAATAAGAGGGGATATTCGAAAATAACAGATGATTACAGAAATACATCTTTGGGATAGTCCCATTTAGAAATGGGTGATGACCTTATTATTCCCCCCTCCATTGTCTGAAAAATGGGAGTTAACGAAAGCGGCATCAAGTTATGGTAATGGGTGGATAAGGTAAAAGAAGGACAAGGTGTGACATGACAATCGACAGAAATGTTGGGGTGTATTTTAAGGGTATAAACAACCAAGAATGACCACACGGGTGGGTAGTAAAACAATGAAAGTTAATACGGTGTGGCATGGTCCGAGTCAATCTCCCAGTGATTGTTTGAAGGAGTCTTGTTCACTCCTCTTGCACCCCAAAAGAACCCCTCTCGTTCCCTGATAATGGTCACGGGCACCCCCGAGTTTAACCCCTCTCGTTCCCTGATAATGGTCACCCCCGTGTTAAACCCCTCTCGTTCCCCGATAATGGTCACCCCCGTGTTAAACCCTTCTCCCTGATAATGGTCACGGGCACCCCCGTGTTAAACCCCTCTCGTTCCCTGATAATGGTCATCCCTGTGTTAAACCCCTCCCGTTCCCTGATACTGGTCACCCCCGTGATAAACCCCTCCCGTTCCCTGATACTGGTCACCCCCGTGCTAAACCCCTCTCGTTCCCGTGCGGTCACCCCCGTGTTAAACACCTCCCGTTCCCTGATAATGGCACCCCCGTGTTTCACTTTACGCGTTCCCTGTTAATTTTCTGGAACAAATTACTTTTTCCAAACAACCCCAACCCCAACCCCAACCCCTCAGAAATACAGTGATCTGTCCCTTAGTAAGATATACACGTGATAAAGCACTCGCGTCTGTACGTTATCAGGATATACCTCTCGGTGGCAGTACCTGTTGACTGAGTGAGGGACTTGAGCTCAACGTCCGCGGTGCAGCTGGGCACTTGACGTAGGCGGGTCAACCTCACGCACTCTGCACTTTTCTGGTCAAGGCTTGACAGATTAACTGTACGAGTATGAAGGAATCGTGTGGTCCTTAATTTCTTTTGAGTTGTATACTTATTAATTCATTCCCTCCTGCCTCACCACCAAACACTCCGCCCCACATCCTTTCCCCAAGAGCCTACAGACGAGGACAATTGCTATAAATACACCATATACTTAGCAAACATTCAAGTTTCATGGGAAACTCTTCAGTCCACAGTGTATGAGCACAGATACCACCAACTGTTTGTTTAAAAATGATATAAAAACAAAAAGGCTCCCGGCCAACATTTTCGAAATAATTGGCTGAACGTTAAAAAATTACATTACTGTAAGAATGGAAGAATTTGGTTACAAGGATATGGTCATATATTATTCCACTTCAGCGCTTTTTCTTTATTCAGTGCCTCAAACCACGTGCATACACGCTGCCAGTGCGTTTGATGTAAATATCCGGCTAACGAGTGCAAGATTTAATAAATACAGTTTGTCTTTGAACGTTTGAATTTTACCCAATTCATTTCCCCTGCAGACTAACGCTAAGTATCTGAAAATATATAATGTTGACAGAAATAAATAACTCACGCTATTTAACCATAAAATGAGCCCCAGTGAGATTGGAATTTCAGAACCTGAACCTGGGGACAATCTAGACTTGCTTTACTTATGGCTATTACATTACAGTAAAGTCTGAATTAAAGGGACATTCGGGTTTAAAGACCTGTACGCAATTCCCAAAGTACCGTCAATATTCAGATTCTCTTATTGCCGTGTGTCAATTCAGTTCAACAGCATTGCAGAGACAGGGTGAAAGTTGTTTTAAACCGCAATCCGCATTTGGCAATCTGCATAAGATACAGCGATGTTGCCATTAATGATTGTGCCAGGGACAGACAAATAGTGGTTGATAACATGAAAAACGATCACGTAATGAACCAGGGCACATTCTGACCACCCAATCCACATTAGTCGAGTCTTTCAACTTCTTACTGACCACCCAATCCACATTAATCGAGTCTTTCAACTTCTTACTTACCACCCAATCCACATTAGTCGAGTCTTTCAACTTCTTACTGACCACCCCATCCACATTAGTCGAGTCTTTCAACTTCTTACTGACCACCCAATCCACATTAGTCGAGTCTTTCAACTTCTTACTGACCACCCAATCCACATTAGTCGAGTCTTTCAACTTCTTACTGACCACCCAATCCACATTAGTCGGTTCTTCAAATTCTCACAACAAGCATGTATTGTGGATACACGGGGCCTGAAGCACAGGACCATGTAACTAATCTTCTCACAGAATAGAATATTACTAACATGTCCCTGTCATTGATGTGACTCTCATTTCATGGTATTTGTACCTGAATATGCCAATTGAGACGTATATGATACGACAGTAATGTTATCAATTAATTATTATTAAAACTTATATATCCTGTCTTTATTAATAATTATTGGATATTTAAGGATATGGTTTTTTCTCATATTCTTTGGCCGATAGTCAAAATAAGATCAAATATAAAATCAACCAATTATTTAAGTTGGTTGATGATGTTGGAAGGATGATAATCTTCTACAAAGCCACCATGCATTGTTTGGAGTACTGGCGAAGCTACAAATAGTAGTCCAGCCGACAAAACTCATTGAGCATGTTCCATTTATCTTAGCTAGTCAGGGAAATAGTTTCTGATTCATATGCGTGATTAGCCGTCTTGGCGTTATATGTGTGAAGCCCATTCCTGGTGTCCCCCGCCGTGATATTGCTGGAATATTGCTAAAAGCGGCGTAAAACCATACTCACTCACTCTTGGCGTTATAAGAAACGAAACTGGAATTGTTTTGTTTATTCACAGTGAATTTTGAGATGTGTAAAACGAGCAGTGAGACATAAAGCGTCTAGCCATCTCGCAGTTTGATCCCGTTTGAATGAATCGTCAAGATTATTTGATCCCGTTTGAATTAATCGTCCGAGTCATATGATCCCGTTTCAATGAATCGTAATTGATTAATTGATCCTGTTTGAATGATTCGCCCGGATTATTTGATCCCGTTAAATGAAAGAATCGTCCGGGTTATTTGAACCCCTGGAATGAATCGTCCGGATTATTGTATATCGTTTGAATTAATCGTCCAGGTTGAGCAGTTTTTACTATACTCAAGTCCGACTGGCGCGGGCCCATTTACATATAATTGCAGTGTGAAGTGGAGAAGTGTTGGTTTACGAGTGTACCACATATATAATGCATACGTCCATCGCCTGGAGGCAGAGCATGACTCTCGTTTAGATCCGTGTTGGTGTTTGCATTGTCTCTATTCCAAATATCTATAGTGTGTGATTACCCCACTGGGAGATGACCTTTATCGGATGTATTATCATACGATCCAGACAAACACACAGCAAATAATCACAACTGACTGATTGGCATCTCGGTGTTAAGGAAACGACCATTTAATATCCGGAGGGAGGGGGACGAGGAATTTAGTCTGAGACAGAATTGTTTTTTTTCAGTCTGAGCTGCAAAACATCGTTTTTCTTTGAAATGAGAAGAGAAAAACATTTTTCATACACACAACACATCTTTGAGAACATCCAACAAATTGTACGATGTATTTTTTTACGGGGTGGGGTATTTTTTATTTTGTTGTTTTGTTGTGTCGTTTAGGTGGAGGGACGGGGGTGGTAGGGTGTGTGTGTGTGTGGGGGGGGGGGGGGGAGTGACATTTTCGGGAACAGATTATCTTTTTATCTTCCTACCCCCCCCCCCCCCCCCCCCCCCCATCATCCACACATCCACCACCAGCAACCTCCTACCCCGAACCACCACCACTCCCAAATCCTTACCATGCCCTACGCCCCCCCCCCCCCCTCCCCCTCCCCCATCTCCCACAGACATCCACTAACCCCCTTCCCAGACAATTTCAGTCGAGAATACACACCCATGTGAAATACACACCCTTTCGTTTACATAATATACTCCATACCCCATACAGTTTGTGGAAGTGCACTATATCATTAATATTTCTGGTAGTTTACCCTCCACGATGGTAGGTGCAAAACAAGGATAAATCCGACGGGCAAATTACTGTGTTGTTTTCTGCTGCTGAGACCAAGGAATTAGTGCAGCAAATTCCGTGATTGATAAGGTAACCATGACGATCTCGTGTAATTCTATCAGAGCCATTATCGATGATGGACGTTTAGACAAATAAACACGTTAGGCCCCAGACTGTTGCCAGATAAAGTCCATCTGGTACATTGATTTCATAACGATTCAATCATAATTACACGTTTGCCTTAATCCGAATGGCAGTCAAACTGTTCAGTCTCAACAAAATGTTGACAGTAATGACATTAACTGTTGCGTTTCATACTAATTGCAAGTTTAGGGAGCATCTATCTGATTTGTGTATGTGTGTGTGTGTGTGTCGCAAGGGGGGTTTGAGGTTTCTTTTATATTTACTGGACACTATCAAATAATCTAGTCATTTTCACTATTAACCTAAACAATTGACGTTTGAGTACTTTCCACAAATCAAACTATTCTTTTTTTCACCACTGCCACCGAATGCTTTGTACTGACAACGGTAAATGTATGTACAACGTTGAACAATACTCTGAAATGCGACCCATTTGAGCAAAACATATTATCAATTAGGTCTACGATACATGTTTGACAAAGTTCTGTCGCTTGTACAACAAGGTGCTGTGAATCAAATATATGTAGTGTAGTGAATCATGTATATATTGTACTGAATCATGTATACAGCATGCAGTGTAATGATTCGTGGATACAATGTACTGAATCATGTAGACAACGTACTGAATCATGTATGTATTGTCTTGATTCATGTATATACAGTACTAAGTCATGTATTCAATGTACTGAATGATATATACAATGTACAGAATCATGTATACAATGTCCCGGATCATGTATACAATGTACTGAATCATGTATACAGCATGCAGTGTTCTGATTCATGTATACAATGTACTGATTCATGTATACAATGTACTGTATCATGTATGTATCGTATTGATTCATGTATATGCAGTACTAAGTCATGTATTCAATGTACTGAAAGATATATACAATGTACAGAATCATGTATACAATGTACTGGCTGGATCATGTATACAATGTACTGAATCATGTATGTATTGTATTGATTCATGTATATACAGTACTAAATCATGTATACAATGTACTGAATGTTGTATACAATTTACTGAATCATGTATACAAAGTACTGATTCATGTATGTATTGTACTGAATTATGTATACAATGTTCATTAATCATAACATATCAATGTACTGGTTCATACATGCAATGTACTGATTCATGTATGCAATATACTGAATCGTGTCTACAGTGTACTGAATCGTGTATGCAATATACTGAATCGTGTCTACAATGTACTGAATCGTGTATACAATGTACTGAATCGTGTCTACAGTGTACTGAATCGTGTATACAATGTACTGAATCGTGTATACAATGTACTGAATCGTGTATACAGTGTACTGAATCGTGTATACAACGTACTGAATCGTGTGTACAATGTACTGAATCGTGTATACAGTGTACTGAATCGTGTACATACAATGTACTGAATCGTGTATACAGTGTACTGAATCGTGTATACAACGTACTGAATCGTGTGTACAATGTACTGAATCGTGTATACAGTGTACTGAATCGTGTATACAACGTAGTGAATCAAGTGTACAATGTACATGACAGTTCAATGCTTGGACTACATTCGCCTGGGAAATGTATGCAGAATGATCCAATGATCACTTCCTCCTCCTTCATACTTCTTCTGAAGGTACGGCAGTCAGAGGCGATCGTTCTTCTACTTCAGCAGTCTGATTCAAGGTAACTTAAACCACAAGTTTCCAATTGCGTTTCTTCCGTGCAATGAAACAGTCACGACCAATGGCAGGCCGCATGTCGCTTTGGCGAGAATACCTGTACCGTCAAGTTTTGCCGTGACGAGAAGACACCGACGAAAACATGCTTGTCGCCGTAGTGTAGTAACGACCGAAGACATGGGCATTGACACAGCAACGACTGAATGAATTCGTGATATCATAGAACATTAGGCATAACTGTTGTTTCAGCAGCCACCGAATGTGTTCGTGTTGTCATGACAGCCATCCGTGCGTACATGTATGCTGGAGGTATATGTCTCAAATATTTTGCACATAAGAGTTTTTTGTCAACGTCTAAAAGTAGGGATGTATTTTAAGTCTAAGATAGTAGTGTTTCAAGTTAGAGAGGATGGGCGATTCTTATTCACGAACCGACATACAAGTTTGTTCTCCTCAACACAGGTGAGCGTCCCAGGCAAACCCCCCACCAGTCCGGCATTAAGGGGTTAACAAGGACTTGTCGTCTCGGAGTCAGTATACTGTGTCTGGGTGGAGTATTCATGTTAAACTGAGGTATGGTATCTTAATGGACTAGCACTATTAATCCGGCATAAGTTTGGACAAGTTCAAGCAGACACGCATGTACATGCACGTCACGATATAAGTTTAATAATCTTGAACGCTACGTTACATCCCCATTTAACCTCGCCTCGCCTCGCCTCGCCTCGCCTCGCCTCACCTCACCTCGCCTCGCCTCGCCTCAGGGCTTTCTACCCACATGAAGCGGTGACATAACTGAAACGTATTTCTTTCATTTTTCAAAACAAAATTAAGCAATCGAAAACACAATCGGCGCCTAGAATTAAGGATTATCCCCCTTGTGAAATAATACGTCATTTACCTTGGCTTTGGGAAATTTAATCCTCTTTGGGGAGATAATGTCTCATAAGACCTACACAGCTGCCCAGATCAGCTGGTAGTGAAATGCATATCTCCCATGGTAACAGTAGAAGAAAATCTCCTAGTTTAATTACCTCTGTTTGCTTAAACTTGTATTTTGTATGTTTAATCAAATGTGTTTATTCGATACTTAATGTCGGCCATAGGCCCTGGTTACAAAGTGGTTTGAATATGCATATTGATTGAGTAGTGTTGTACATTTGTTCAAAGAGGGCGTGGTGTGTTTGTGCTGTCAACCACTCGTTTGCCTGACAGACTCGATTATACAAAGTGCTGGTATAGCTTGAATATTGCTGAGTGCGGCGAAAAATATATGACGACACACTCAAGAAAGATCATTTTAAGTTCTGACGCGCGCGTGCGTGATGAGCATTACGTTTTCTAACATGTCTGGTGGGAGATAACTCATCAACTTAACGAAACTACACGCACACGCACACGCACACGCACACGCACACCGACACGCACGTGAGAAAATTTGTAGAATGTTCATGTAGTACACTGAATCATAAAGACGTCAACACATATCATATAACCAATTAACGCCGATGTACCTCATGCTAAATTTGACTAATATGGTGATCGGTTGGCCAGGCTCTTTGACCTGGGTGATTGTGTGTCATCGTACCCCAACGGTGTGAGACATTGATCATGCCATTAACCACCGGTTGTCTCTCTCAGACGAGGATTAACGCTACAACTGACTTCAGCGTAAAACAACCTTTGTTTGCTTGTTTGTTGTTTAACGCTACATCCTGCAATAATCTAGCCGTAGTATGTGACGGCGATCTGTAAATAATCAAGTCTGGACCAGAAAAACCAGTGATTGACATCACGAGCATCGATCAACGCAATTGGGATCGATGACAAGCATCAACCATGTCAGCGAACCTGACCACCCGATCCCGTTAGTCGCCTCTTACGTCAAGCATTGGTTGTGTAATAGACTAAAATCTAGTCTCTGAAATGAACATATCGTACATAAAAAAACAGTTGTTCAGTTATCTTAATAAAAATATAATAAAAAGGAGGCCAGTGACTCTCTTCATCCTGATACTGCAGTGATCTAGACTTGCCAAACATTATAGACTTGCATGGGCTGTATTTGATATATATTTGTATCAGGGTCTGTAAGTCAGATTAGGTGTGTAAAACAACAAGCAATATTTAATCATGTGTACATAAAACAAAACAAATATATATATTACCTACCTTGCGCAATGGCCGCCGGACCAGAAGGTCTATCTTCATACAGATGTCCCTGTCGTATCATATACTCAGTGACAAGATCAATGCTATTCAGATAAACACTTAATCGATTTAGCATCTTCACACTATAAATGTCCCCATATTGTTCAGTCCACTTAAAGTTCGTCTCAGGACCTTTCCAGAAAGGGAATGCCCCTAGCACTGGCACCCCTCGCGGTCCCGGGGGCAGCTGTCCACGACCCTTGGAGAGGAACATGATAGCAGAGACGATCGCTGCCACAGCCACTACCCCTGCCGCGTAGCCCGGACTGATGATGGAGAGGAGTGAGAGCATTTTCCCTCCGATAGAGCGAGCGTAGCGGTGACCCAGCAGAGCGTGGTCGGGAGAGTATATTCATGCACTCAAGAGCTTCGCTGTGTTCGGGGGATGTCGAGAACGAGCAGTCAATCTTTAGTCAAGCGGAAACGTGACAGTCAGCGGTGACTCATTAGGGACAATAGACGTCCGACAGGATACATAAGATTACCCGTCTTTCCCAAAGGACTTGAGTGAGATCGTTTGACTGAAAGCGATCTTGTGATATGACGGCAGAAACTGTAAAATTCTGTATCGCAGTTCACATGGGTATGTCTCGAGCCGCTGTCAGCAAGCGAGTAATCGTGAGGCTATATTTGTCAGTTTATAGCAGTCTCGCAGCCTCACCATGCTAAGGTCAACTTGTTGCCTGCGAGCCTACTGGAACAAGACACTTGATATTGGGTGGTAGGTCTTCTTGGAGCTGTGGGTGGGTCAGTGCAGGGGTAGGTGGTGGGTATCACGGGGTGCTATGTGTTTGGTGTTACGGTTTTGTGCCAGACACTTCCTGTTAAGCCCGGTGTGTTTGTGTGTGTGTGTGTGTGGGGGGGGGGGGGGGGGGGGGGGGGGGGGGGGGGGGGGGGATGTGTGCAGGCGTAAGGGGTGAGGTGACTGGGAATTATCCCATATGTTTCCATATAGTTTCAGCCCACATATATATCCTGTTAACTGAACACGTTTTGGAAAAGGATTCGTTCATAATGACAGGATTTGTGAAATGACAAATGGTATTCACAGGATGTATTTAATCATCAACATCCTGTTTTTGTGTTCGTCAGCTGACTGAATCAGATGGAATCTTGTAACTAAATGAAACGCGAGTTACCAACACATTTGTCTTCTAATTTACTGGTTTGGGTCACGCACAGGTGGTAATATTTCACCGTGGCTTGCGGCAACGTTTCAACAGGTGGCCTTCACGCTCCTACCTGTGGCCATCAAACTCAACATGGACAATGTCCCTGTGTATTATTCTGTTATTAGGCATCTCTCTCTCTCTCCCTCTCTCTCCCTCTCTCTCTCTCTCTCTCTCTCTCTCTCTCTCTCTCTCTCTCTCTCTCTCTCTCGGGAAGAATAGAATAGAGAAGACTTCTGGCCAGAAATGTACATCACAATAAACATGCTACTGTGTAACATTAATCTTGGAGAGGTATGCAAATCGTCTGGGAGAAAAGCCCGCTATATCTTCCTCTCGTGGCCTTTGTATGTTTATTGTCATGGTCTAATATATCTCTAGAAGAAGCATGGTTTTCAACAAAGAATGCCTTCCTCACCTGGACGTTACTCGAGAAAGATGTCCATTTTCTTTAATTAGGAACCAATATGTAAGTTTTACGGTACGTGGAACGTGTCGATTAGGTTTTAAATCTTCACTCAGCAATTTCCAGCAGATGTAATTGACATGCCTCAGTATGTAAACGAGATGTCACTGACGCATTACAACCAGATTACAACCGAATTGTTTGACAGCAGCGTTTGTAACTACAGCTGATACACAGGATTCTGATATTTCAAGAGGACACAGAAACTGTAAATCGATTTGTGTCAGAATAGATCGCCTTGTAAGTCTGACTATTCCCCAGCGTTAAACATGACAAGGCAATCTATACGCTGTCTGAGCATAACCGGGCAGTCCATCAAAGCGGTGAACATTTTGACTGAAGAACGATTCCGATCATGTTTGTTCGTTTTATGTTGAACTGAACCACATTGCAGCTTTTTGGCGGTGGTCACTGGGTACTGGGAACAAAGAGGTGAAATGACAAATGGTATTTTCAGCATGTACTTCATCATCTTGCTTCCGTGTTCGCCCCTGGATTGTAATAGCTGACTCCCGGACCTAAACAACTTGCATGTACATACATGCATGCATCCACTATCCCCCGTCACACCCACACACTACACACACGCACGCACGCACACACACATTTTGCTAGATTTTGCTAAAAGCGGTGTAAAACCCAACTCACTCACTCACTCACTTACATACATGAATGGTGACTTTGAAGATAACTTGCCCAGTCGCAAATATATATTTTTAGACCATGATCATCCTTGTATATTTATTTTATGCATCATAAATAATAAAATGTCTTTCATTAATACCCAGTTTGTCTACTTGTTGAATACAAAATGGCCCAGTTAGTTCTTCCCAAAGTGTAGACTTGTGACGATCAGAGCACATCTACACGACACGTGTGTGTGTGTGTGTGTGTGTGTGTGTGTGTGTGTGTGCGTGCGTGCGTGCGTGCGTGCGTGTGGTATATGTGTGTGTAGGCAAAGTATGTATGTATGTATGTATGTATGTGTGTGTGCGCGTGCGCGCGCGCGTGTATGTATATATATATATATATATATGTGTGTGTGTGTAGCCAAAGTGTGTATGTGTATGTATGTATGTATGTATGTATGTATGTATGTATGTATGTATGTATGTATGTTCGTGAATAGACCGCCAGAGTTCCTTGCGCCGAAGCATGTGACAACCAGTCCGTTCAACAAATAACAATATGTTTTCATCTATTTCACTTTTAAAAGTCTACACCTTCAGAAAAACTTATGTCATGAAATGCTTAACTTTCATAGAGAAAAAATAGAAGTGAAAGACGTCCGTTATCACTGACTATTCTGATTTCAGTTTGTTTACAATCAAGAGAAAAATCCGGTCACGTGATATGCAAAATTAGAAATCAAGAAATGAGAAGAACGACAAATGGCTACGATTACAAACTACTGGGAGCTTCGGATAGCCTGTCCAAAGTGAATAAATATTGACAATCATGGTACAGCTTTCACAAAATTAATTCAATTCAAATAATCCCTAATCCCTCCTTATCTCTAACACCCGGAGTGAGTTAGTAGTTTAATATTCAAGTAATATGACGCGGCCTGCCATGACAATAATCGAGCTGACAAACAAACATTAAGGATAACATGGGCAACTGCCCTCGCCAGCAGAGCACGATGACACGCAATCAGTCAATTCACCAGCCAGATCTTAGGATCCTGTTACTTACCCTTCCCTTGAATCGCCACTGAACTATGACCACCCCCGTTTACCCATGATATTAAAATACTGTAATATTTAGGATGGGTAATACCCCACGGCGGTAGATGTCATATAAGAAGTTGACATTTCAGTGAGTAAGTTAATTGTGTTGTATGCCTGTTTGAACATTATTTCGTTAAAGCTCGAAGAGATGCAGGACTTTGGCGTTTCGCATTTTGGTGAAATCCACGAGCACGGGAATGGTGCTGACAAACCTTGAAACGTGGATTCGAATTCAAGATCATTGGTTTCTGATCACCTAAGGGATGCAACTCTGCATAGCCTGGGCCACCGTGCCACAAGACGTTAGATTTGGGACCGTTATATTCCACAATGAATATGTAAGGATGGATGCAGTGAGTGAGTGAGTGAGTTTGGTTTAACGCCGCTTTTAACAGTATTTCAGTTATATCGCAGCGTGTCAGCTTAATGTGAGAGGAAAGCCCGAAGTGATGCAGGTCTCAGACGTTTACCATTTCGGTGAAACCCACGAGCACGGGTATGGTCCTGACAAACCTAGAAACATAATCGGGGCGAACCGGGATTCGAACCCACAATCATAGGTTTCTGGCGTGCCCAAGGGACGCAACTCTGCACAGCGAATCGCGGCGCCTTAGACGACTGGGCCACCCGTGTCCCCCGGATGGATGCAGTTGATCACCGGGTTAGCTAGACTTGGTTTTGAAAAATGTTATTCGTTGTACAAGGAAATATGACAGTAAGCTTGTGTAAATACACGATGTTGTACTGGCATGGCGAACATCTTCCCAAGGCAAAGGAGTTAACTGACTATAAAAGTCCAGTTTACACCCTTGCCTTACTAGGCTGGAATTTCGGAGTTAGACCTAGACCTACATACGAATCTAAACATAGTCCATACAAAATCGCATAGCGAAATCGGCATCCGGTTCGTTAACTGACGTTCAGATTTTGGTCAATTTCAGGATTTGCAAAGCATGTTTAACTGGTCGTGGACAGATAAATCCCACCTCTTTTTTTTTTTTAAATCAAAGCGCTCACGTAATATGATGCACTTTCGCGGGGTAAGACCCGTTGTATCAGAATAGAGATCTTGATTATCGTCTTGACTGGGCACTCCCATTCTGTTTGAAGCAAATGGAAGTAATATGATAGGCGGAGACTGATTTGGTAAATAGGATGGCACTACGTCCGAGTCCCGAAATTCCAGCCTAGTTCGGCAAGGTTCCCTTACCTCTGAACGATGCATGGCGAATCGTCTTGACAATGTCCGATTTCGCTCGCTGTGTGTTTACGTGAAGTATATGAAAGTGCAGCGGAAGTGGTATTTATCTTGGGTTCCGAGGTGACGAGTATTGGGGTCGAGTCATGTCAACATTAAACTTGCTCAAAACCGGACACATCGTCGGATGATTCATTTTATGAGTGTCGCACTGAGTGAATGAGTGAGTATGGTTTTTCGCCGCAATATCATGGCTGGGGATACAAGAAATGGTCTTCACGCATTGTGCCCCTATGGGGAATCAAACCCGAGTCTTCGGCGTAACGAGTGAACATGTAGCAGTAGGCTACCCAATCGCACCCTCTCACAATGAGGAACAAGCTATTTAACGTTGGTTATGATTGTCCAAAGTTTCCCTTAATTCACAATCGAGCAGCTTTCCTCTTAAAATTCAAGATGCCAGAATTGTTAATAAAAAAGAGCGCTTTAACGTCGCATTTACGATTATTGCACTTATAGCACTTGCGCTTGTGTACCAGCTTGCATCCCTTTTGTGTGTGCGTGCGTGTGTGCGTGCGTGCGTACGTGCGTGTGTGTGTGGTTGCTATAGTCCGGAGGAGGGTTAATCTTCGTACTCACAATATCGGAACTGTATAAGTCAAGCCTCTTTACTCGGAAACCACTGGGAACAACAACAGTAAACATGATTCATCGACTTTGTGAAGATCCTGGTTAGAATTAACTTGGTTGATAGGCATTACTTAGAAGTTGACGGGTGACAAGGTAGACCCAATTTTATGGATAACAACCTATTCCATACTGTAAAAAGCGGCGTTTCGGTATAAATCCTTATGCCGTTGTCCTGCTTAACAATGGATAATGGATATGTAGAAAAGGTAACGGGGTTTCACTGTGTGTGATGTTGTCCCGGAATAACACGAGTTGGTCACGAATGATCCCGAGCCTGACCACCCGAGCCCTTTCGTTTGGTTGTATTGTTTGCCATCGAGAGGCATTGCCTGGAGAACGGGTGTTTTAGAAACACGAAGCAAGTCTCATACATACAGTTTTCCACGTGCTGCACGAACTTAACAAGTTTATAACTATTGCACGTCGGCCTCGTGAGAACAGTCAGCTGGAAGGAGTAAAACATGGCAGGTGTGTGGTTTTACAATTTTTTTAAAAAGTTTTTGTAATAGTTAATGCAACGATTAAATGTCTCGTATAGATTTTGTGCATTCTAAATCGAGAGGTTGCTACTTTAGTTGAAATATGATTTTGTTTGTTGAATAAAACTTGATAACCGATGCTGAACTTGGTTTTATTCAAGGAATCGAAAGGATTCGATGTTGATTTTTATGTTTTAATGCGTTTCTTTGTTTTATTCTTCCACAGGTCTTTCGTTCAGTCTTGTCGCACTCTTCCTGGGATTCGTGAGTTATTAATTTCTTCCTTCACTAACAGGCGGTAGGGTAGCCTTGTGGCTAAAGCATTTGCTGGTCACACCGAAGGCTCCCGTTTTGACTTTGGTACAATGTGTGAAGCCCATTTCTGGTCAATCTCATCATTAAAATCAGATCTTTGTTCTCGCTACCGCTGAACAAAGATCTGAGGACATCCCATTACGGGTCACGTCAGACCAACCTTGCGCGAACTTTGACCGACCAATAGAATGACCAATCAGAAGGCAGCTTCCTCGTGCTTTACGGCACTAATTTCAAATTGGCCACTTCGCTTCGAAACATATTGACAAATTCCCGATTAAAAATTTGAAACCTGAACAAAAAACATTCTGGAATGGCTAATAGATGGTCTAGATTGTAAGAATTCAGTCGTTAAACCCGTAACTATCGTTCGGAATACCCCATGTTAAAGATTTCGATGTTGCATGATTAGAAATCACATTCCGACTGTCACTTTCATAATCTGATAAGCGACGCACTGATTGGTCGGATGAAAGGTCGTTCCGACCTGACCCCTAATGGGATGTCTTGAGATCTTTGTTTAGCGGTAGCGAGAACTAAGGTCTGATTTTAATGAGATTGATTTCTGGTGTCACTGCCACGCCTGAGAACCCGTGAAGATCCGGGGTAGAATAGGTCTTCAGCAACCCATGCTTGCCGTAAAAGGCGACTATGCTTGTAAGAAGCGACTAACGGGATCGGGTGGTCAGGCTCGCTGGCTTGGGTGATACATGTCATCGTATCGCATGTGCGTAGATGGATGCTCATGATGTCAATCACTGGATTGTCCAGAGTCCATTATTTACAGACCGCCGTCATATGGTTGGAATGTAGCAGAGTGCGGCGTTAAGCGACGTACCTGAGGGACTGGTAGCCAAGTCGTCTGAGGCGCCGCTTGTGAAGCGTTTGCGTCCTTTTGGCGTCAAATCTGACCAGTTGTCCTTGACTGTTTCTAGGTTTGTCATTACCAGTCGTGATTATTTAGGGTCACTGAAATAGTGTTTTTTCGTTTATATGCTCTGCCTTTGTAAGACAAGATAACGGTGGTTTCTGTTTGGTTGTTAACGTTAGATAATATATAATGTAATTTAAAATTTAGTCCCCACACACATGCCTATCCGTTATAAGAACTTGCATCGCTTCTACGATGACAGCAAACAAACCTTGGAAAACATTTTTCAAAACAAAAAAACATGACACTATGAATATCGTTGGCAAAATGTTTTCTTGTCTTTGTAATCAAGCATTGCATATCCTGCGTCCAGTGGGGGCAAGGGTGGCCCAGTAGGTGTGTAGAGTTGCGTCCCATGGATACGCCTTGTTCGTGGGTTTGAATCGCGGTTTGCCCAGATTGTTTTATGGTTTGCTCGTGGGTTTCACCCAAGTGGCGAACGTCGGAAACCTGCATCTTATTGGGCTTTCCTTCATATTAAGCTGACACGCCGTGATATCACTGGAACAAATTGGTGATGTGGACAGTTTCTCACAAGATTGTTTGCATAACAGCATATGTTGAAATATTAAATTGTCACAGGATTCCTGCCATAGGAATCTGATAATCGATGCAATAACTCCAATGTTTTGCTTGTTGTTGTAGAGTTGTTCCTTGGCGAAGATTCCAGCTGGTTATATCATGCTAGGTGAGTTTCGTACATTGTTCAACAGGTCTTGGTTTTGCCATTCACAGCCCCCTTTGCCCAGTGTTTTGTTTTAGTCAGGGTTTGTTCGTGTGGGAAACCTGATTGTAGTTTTGAATAGATTGTTTCAGGTTTGTCAGCACTATCCCGTATCACTTCAGGTTTTCCTCCTGACATGCAGTGAAAACACTGTTCAAACCGGTGCTAAACCCAACTCATTTATGTTTGGGTTGGAGAATGCATGGGACGGCGTTCATTTGCAGGTTTTGCTTGTGGACTTCACTAAAATTCCACAGGCACCGCTATCGTATATCTGTTGCAGACAAGTATAAATTGACTGAAATTTTCACTGAAGGCATTTTGCAAAACTAAGTTCAAAAGGACTACTTATGCGAGATTTACAAGCAAAAACACTTGTTTTCTTTTTATCACATCGTCTTCAGCCACTGCGTAATTAAACACAAATGTTTGGAATTCGTTATCCTAATAACATAAATAGGACATTTTTCAGTCAATTTATAAAATGACTAAACAATTTCTTTGGGCAATTCATAAAACGCCTAAATGTTTAAAACTGAAAATTTCAGATATTTTTCAGACTGTAATGGCAAGTTAAGTAATTGTCGATGTTTCGTTTCTTTGTTTGTTGTTTAACGCCGCACTCAGCAGTGTTCCAGCTATATGACGGCGGTCTGTGAATAATCGAGTCTGGACCAGACAATCCAGTGATTGACCATCGATGTTTCTGTTATGGTCACTGTTTTCAGAGGTTCAATCAATCGTTCCCGGGGGTTGTATATTTCACCACGTCTTGTCTTGTAGTGACTCCTAAATGTGGCCCAGATGGGAAAGTGGATGGGAAGGTGAAGGTCACCACAGATCTGATAGCCGAGGCCAAGGCAATCTGCCGGGACGACGTAGAAGTGCCCTTCACCAAGGTGGCCCAAGGCGTGAGCTTGGAATTACCGGTTTCCTATGCGCCAAGCGGCAGCAGTCGCTGTAAATTTCAAGTGAGAACACCTTTGTCGTAGATTCACTGGTACCCGTCAAAGACACCCGCGACTTTAGGACTGTGGTATACATGTTTTACTGATAAATCGGCCTTTAGCTCTACCCTACTGTTAGGCAAGCGAAGAGGCAACATTCTGGATGTCATGACCGAATTGTCTGGTCAAGACTCCATTATTTTGACCGCCGTCATGCAGCTGGTACATTGCCGAATGCGGCGTTGAACAACAAACGAATTGCCCACTCGGAATCCCTAAGCCTATGATATGATATGTATGATATGGACATTTCAATTTTAAACTGAAGATATCGACCACCGACCCTCTCAGCTTGTCATGTACAAAGTTTGTTTTGTTTCATAAATTATTTTCAAATATAACTTTGCATAAATAACTAAATTATGATTATGTAACTTGGTGTCTCGTCGCTATATGGCTGAAATAATGCCTATGCTACGTTAAATTTAAACCAATGTTTCAAACATGCATACCCTTCTTCGCAAGTAAATTATTTACGTCAATTCTCAATGCGGTGGGCAGCTTAGTGGTTAAAGTGTTGGCCGTAGGCTCGGGTTCTATTTCCAGTAGGGGTACAATGTTTGAAGCCCATTTTGGTCTTTAGCAACCCACGCTTGCCGTAAAAGGCGACTAACGAGATCGGGTGGTCAGGTTCGCCGAGATTGTTGATACATGTCATCGATCCCAATTGCGTGGATCGATGCTCACGATGTCAATCACTCGAATGTCTCATCCAGACTCTATTATTTACAGGCATGTCATATATCTGAAACATTTGAGTGCGGCGTTAAACAGCGAACACACCCACACCACGCCATGGAGTAACTGAAATTCCGTCGAAAGCGGCGGTACTTCAGGCTAAGTCTTGGCGAGTGAGCGACCTTGAAGTGGGAAAACGTTATATAAACCATTGCCACCTGTTCTCCAACAGCCCCCCCATCCCCCTTCCCCATCGCTTGGTGTCTGCAACCCATCCTAAGATACATACATGTGCAGGTATTTATAAACCTTTTAACCAAGACTCGCCTGGTTTCCCTGGTAGCGTATCAACAGATAAGCCTGGTGCTCAATGCTGCTTAGTGTCCACATCGCCGATACAAAAATAGATGTGGATTCGCATATAGGTAATGTCTAAAAACCAGTTTCAGGAGCACAGATGTATTACAACGCGTAATAACGGATGATTATGGGATAAGTTAGCTTGCCAATTGCATATAGTGGCAGTGATCAAAGATGTGAAGAGTTATCTGCCTTTGCAGATCCGCTTAATCAGCCAGTACCCCGATAACGCCAAACGGTAAACCACTGAATAAGGTAACCAGTAAATGCTTTATTGATATCTAGGATCCGTTGGTCTGTTCGAATTGTTAACTCCCGATTATGATCCCGTTCTCGTGGGGTTTCAACATAGGGACAAGCACCCCTGCTTCATCCTTTCCAGACACGCCTTTTAACCTTCCATGGTCCTGATTTTCACCCTTGATGAATCCGGGTAAAAATATTGCCGGAGAAATCAGTCGGTGTTAAAGGTTGAATCTCATAAAGCCTTCAATCTACTGAAGACGTTAAATCACTGACATGTCGCAAGCCTGAACTGTTTTCGTGACGGTTTAGAAACGCAAGGACACAAGGGTGTACGTTCTCAAAGTGTACGTGTCGTGGGGCGAGCCGGGAAATCCAGTCCATTCTGAAGAAGAGGAGTTCTACGTCACCTGCACCTTTGACGAGAATGGAAATCAAATCTCTCCGAATCAAACTGTTGATGAAAGGTACGAAAGTTATTACTTTGTCTATCCCGTGAAAAGCGTTTTGTTTTGGACCTAATGCATGTCGACTCAGCTCATTTGCATACATAAACATATCGCGGAATATAAAATTAATATTAACATTTTGGTTGATATAAGGATTGCTAGTTACTAAAATGAAAATGACCCACCTGACGGGTCGGTCCCTTTTTTGTTAGGTAATGACACATGGCAACGGCAACGGAAGCCTTTAGTGACATTTGTTTTTAATTTTCTCAAATTCAAGAAAAAAACCAAATGGCACTAAAAGGGTTCCGTGCTCCGCTGCTTTTGCTCGGGTCAAATTGTCTTGTTCGGACCAGCTGACCCACATTTTCATTGTAACATGGTTTTTTTAAGGAGTATATTTCCGAAGTTGCATATACCATTTGAGTAGTTAGTAATTGTCGAAATTTTGTCCACCCTCACTCTGCCAACAAAATATATGGCTACATCTTTCTGGTTTGGTCATTCAGTCTCGTTGCACCACTGGAAATCCAGACCCATCTTGGAAAGAAAGCTGTGTCCACCTTTACACTGACTTTAACGGATGTTCTTGGAGCTCATTTGACCAACAAGAAGGTGCCCTTGGGTAGGAAGGTTGTTTTGACGGCATCTACGGACGGTAGGTACCTAGTGATGCGGGGCACCGGTAATCATGTCGTCCAGGGTTCTCCAGGGTTCTGCAGGTTTCTGTCGTTCCAGAATCCGATGCCCAATTTTGCTTTGTCAGCACCTTGTGGTTAATGTCTGCTCCGTATAATTTTACTTTACAATCGGGTGTGGAAACGCAGGTTAGCTTTGGATTTTATCCAATCCACCTTGAACGTAAACAAGTCGACCAGTGCTGTTGTCAAAACCTTAGTGCTACGACTGTCGTAAAGTCTGTAAGATATGATTAAGATCGCTGCACATGATTAAGATGCGCTGAACTTCTGAATGTCCATATGTCGACTATGAACATGACAATTTTTAACTGGGAACTTTTTCGTGTCCATCAGCGACAATTACTTTTTTTCAGTCGGCCACGGGAGAACAGTCAATTTTGTTTCACGTGTTTGCGGTCTAGCATGATCATATTGAAAGATGGCACTTTTGTTTAACGCCGTTCTCGGCAATATTCAAGCTATATGAAAGCGGTCTGTAAATAATGGAGGCTAGACAAGTCCATGAGGGGTCGTCAATCATCAAGTCGGCCATTACACAACCCGACCCCTGAATCGACAAGTAAAAAAAACATTTGGCCAATATCTACGTGGAAAGTCATCTTATGAAATAACTTTTCTGTCAAATATTTGTCTCTCCTGTTAATGGGTAATTTCATGCATTGCAAATTAGTGACATGAGAAACCTATTGGACATCTTTGCTCTGTGTGACTGATAGCAGCCAACCAATGGCGTGAATAACCTACAAGAGTAGGGAACCTACACGGCTGCACATTCGAATTGCAGGCAAGAATAACGAGAAGGGTCTTAGGCCAGACGGATGTGATGCAATTGGCACTCAAACCGGAAGAAGATACGCAATTCTACGAGCTGGGTAGGTACAGCTGACTTGGATGTTTTCAGACTTAAAACCTACATCTGCTAATAAAACCAAGCGGCGTTAGCCCCAAGGTTTATATTTTAAAAATGGTTTTATATCTATTTTAAAGAGGGAAAGCTGACTTTGTACCTTAAGTTAAAATGTTGAATATATGTACATTTCTATTATGGAAACCTGTCGCCCGAATAAAATGTACTGGGCTTAAGTACCCTTATACAGAATTAGAAAACTGATAAGTTAACACTTAAAAATATTTTCTCCATGGGTTTCAATGAAAAGTTTGCAGGCCAAAATATAACGCAGGCGGTCGGCTTGTCAGAGGCAGCAATTAGCGGAACAGGTCAAGAGTTGCGCCGGCGCGGTCGGGGAGTCTAGTGGTTAAAACGTTCGCTCGTTACGCCGAAGACCCGGTTTCGATTAACGACATGGGTACAATGTGTGTAGCCCAATTCTGGTATCACCCCGCCGTGATATTGCTGGAACGTTGCTTAAAGCGGCGTAAGACCATACTCGCTCAAGAGTTGCACCTCTGGTCATGCCGAATCGCTGTAGATCGCATTTCCTCCCCGATTTGGTTTGGCAACACCAAACATAACGTAAAGTTCACCACTGTCACTTGATGCTTTGGAGTGTTCTTATGGCCGTCTTATGGCCGTCTTATGAGGTGCCGCAGTTTGTTGCACGAATTTTCCAAATTATGTGGATCGATGCTCATGATATCAATCACTGGATTGTCTGGTCCAGACTCGGATTATTTAAATACCGCCGTCATTTTGCTGGAATATTGCTGAATGCGGCGTTAAACAAACACTTCGGTCTTTTCTCACCTTTGCCGAGACACGCCGTGACGATTATAACTGAAATACTGTTCACAGCATAAACCCAACCCATGTTTTTCAGCTGTGGCGATGGCGTCGTGTTCGGGCAGAAGGACGGCTTCGTAAGCAGTGGGCTGACTTCAATGAGTCCTTACTTCAGCGCTTTCGACATGGCAGGCGAGCCCTCCATCCGATTTGAGTGTAACTTTACATTATGCGAAAAAGCATGCAATGGGGTAAGCCTTAAACAGACCCTTTACTCAATGGTCGTGGGACAAGGGAGGTGGGGCCACTTGAAGTTTCAGGGTTGGAATAGGTTCAACGTAACCTCACCACATACCTTCATCGGGTGATCAGATTTTGTGGTCACCCTGCCCCGACGGCATGGGTCGTTGCGCTTGAGACGGGCACTATCAGACCGCCGTCACACTGCCGAGGGGGCTGCGTGGCCAAATCGTCCATGCAGCTTCCCGAAACAAGGGCCTAAACCGACAATAAGTCAGGTTTCCACCCTTGCCAAACGCGACAGTGGCTATTACGAGGTACCTCCCCACTATGCCCTCCCCACTATGCCCTCCCCACCCTAGTTACTGTACATATGCTTTGCAAATCCTTAAGTCGACAAACACAGAACTGAAGGTCCCTGGTACCCTTGTTATTCTGAGTCAGAATAACTAGTACTGGTATTTTTTGTATGTAGATCGAAGAACTTCGATCGGATGTATGTGGATCGGACATTTGCCAGTCCAGTGACCCATGCTGTCTCTGCGGATATTCAAGGGAAAAGGTGCCCTTAATAACACGTGCATGCTGGGGCTTTTCCGGAAAGGCGAAGGTCTCTTCATTAAAATGAAATCTTCGTGAGAAATATTAGGTGACCAACCAACATTTGGCAGGCGATATTTGACCGCGTTAAATCGACACCTTGCCTTTTCCAGAGTTCCTGCTTGAACGAAAGACGCCGGAGATCTGAAGATGGTAAGTGTTTCCATTTGTTGGATCCCCCCCCCCCCAACCCATCTCGAGTTGTTCAGTAAACTACATGAAGGCATGTCACTGATTGCGTTTGTACCCCACCCACCTCCCTCCCCCCTCCCCCAGCGTCGGCGGATCATCTTGTACTTGACAAAAAATCCCTAAAATTAAATAATCCTTCCCTCAGTTTGGATTCTTTAGTTACCATTGCTTTGAAGGACTATTTAATTTATTTTTGCAGATGACGACAAACCACGTCTAATTTTCAGCGACGACTCGGGACAACGTTCATGGTTTGACCTCCGTGACAGCAGCAACGACCTCGTGTTCTGGGCGTTATTGCTTGGCATAGGAATGGTGACGCTGATATCGGTGGGTGTATCGGTCTGTGCCCTTGCAAGACGCAGATCAAACATACAAGTTGTCGCAGCCTAATGAATAAATACTTAAAATACTTCGGTTCTTTCTATTAATTACATGATCCCCAGTGGTCCAGCTTGTAAGGCTGGGTGGTCTAATTGGGTTGATCATTCTACGTTCAGATTTGCATTACTCTAACCCGTAATGATCAGGGTTAGAATTTGTCTTCATCAACCCACTGAAGGAGCTGGAGGTTTTGGAAAACTGTGCCTCGTTTCCGGAAAAAAATGTTGGAAGGGATTTGTTCTCGAGTACCAGCCTTCCCCAAAATACTGACTTCAAAGGGTATATTTGGTTATCGTTACGGTTAAAACTACTCGGAATCACAAGCTGTTTCACAAAGAGCGTGTCGAAACGCCTCATTCCTTTGTTTCGATCAAGGCAATCGTGCTTTGGAATTGCGATCGCCAGTTCATACATTCCTCTAAAGTTAACGAACACCCGATTTTTTTTCATCACTACATATAGTGGGTATTGTAACAGGAAACTGACCCGGAGGAGATTGTACAGTAAACTATGAACATGGGATGAAATCGTTTATGAAGAGAAATTCTGAACTCAATATCACCGTTTCTGCATAGTGTTAGGCACATGATTTACGTTCGCCATGGCACTTGGGACGAAGATGTGTTGCTTGCATCGCAACCAGAGGTGGACACACACGCTATTGATTTGTAAACTGACATTTTGGCATGTTCATGTTTTGTTTTGTTTTATGAAATCACGCATTTTCTGAAGTCAGTATGGCAAATTAAACCATTTGAACACTTACACTTACTTTTATCTGTTGCAAACCGAAATTGTTTCAGATTTGGTAAACATAACTTTGCATTAAATCTTATTCAATGTCACGGCAACTTTTGTTGTTCAGTATATGTCGAAAGGAATCGCGCTTCGAGGAAGATGTAATTTAAACCTATAAAAAAAAAAATAGGACTTACAGAACTAGGAATTAACAGGAATCAAGCAGTCAAAAACGGAATCGGAATCAAGGCGCTTCAAACACTTTTCAGCGGGGATGCTAAAAACAGACAAAATGCTAAAATATACATTAGGCTATTTCGATAAGTACCAATTGGCTAAAATGAAATCTAAAGATAATTCATTTATAACAGTTTTGCCGAAGCTGCAGTGTACATTAATGGATGCATGAACACATTTCTGAACGTGAACTTCCAAATTTATTCCGCCTGGCGCGACGCATCGGGACACGAGGACTGTCCGTCTCTCAGTAGGTGTCTGAGTGGGGTCTCCACATGACGGCATGGTGTCTCAATGACAACAAAAACAAAACCACCAGAAGTCAACACATGCATGCAAATCTGTGTAAAAGAAGATCCGATGTAAGACAGTTTATTCAGAATGTAAGACCATAGTACTTTCCAGTTTTAACACATAAATGAAAATCAACGTGAACTTGAAAAAAGCATAATATATATTCACCTTAGTCTAAATACATGTTTCAAATACATTGCTCAAGATTTGATAACATCTGCATTGTTGGAATTCAACTTGATCACATACATAAAGAACATGAAACTAGTCTCAATCTCCTGGTTGGTACAGTTAGAACATATACAATATCCTTGGTTCTACGACATCTATTGGCATGGAAGTTTTGGAGAGATATTCTAAATTTACAAAGAGCTCTCAATAGAGATTTCTTGTAACAGTCAAATATTTTTTCTGGTTGTAACAATGATTTGATACTCGCATAATGCCAAGTGTGAAGAGGAAACTTGATGCTGCCAGTTTTGCTGAAATATATCTAATAATCTTCGTTTAAATGTATTTAAAAATAGTTTTTGATTACCGGTGTCTTGTGAGATCCATACAAAGAAGAATTTAGTATTAAATAATATGCTTCTTGCACCAGACGCCCAATTCGTCTTCTCTTCAACATCTTATTGCTTTAGCATTTTGTAACATTGAAATGGGTACCTATGAGCTTCCATTATTAAATACTTTTATCCAATATTTGACAATATGTTAAACCCCATTTCATCTCACTCCTGTTTGCCCCTCGGACTTGTGTACATGTTGAATGGAGGTCCCATTCGGGATGCGAACCAACATTCTCAAAGTAAGGTATAAAATCGCCGGTACACAAAATAGGTGACCTCACCCACTCAGCCACCGAGGCTTCTATAAGAATAAAAGTCCGACAACTGGCAGTTCAGATCACGTTTTTTGTGTACCCTTGTGATAAGTGAAGGAGGCACGGGTTGCCCAGTTTAAGGCGCAGCAATTCGCCGTGCAGAGTTGCGTCCCTTGGACACGCCAGAAACCTGATTGTGGGTTCAAATCCCGGTACGCCCCGATTATGTTTCTCGGTTTGCCAGCACCATACCTGTGCTCGTGGATTGCAGCGAAGTGCTAAACGTCTGAGACCTGCATCACTTCGGGCTTTCCTCCACAATAAGCGGACACGCCGCGCTATAACTGGTATACTGTTAAAAGCGGCGTTAAAGCCAACTTCCTCACTCGTGAAGATTCCGGGTTAGAATAGGTCTTCAGCAACCCAAGCTTGCCGTAAAAGGTGACTATGCTTGTCGTAAAAGGCGACTAACGGGATCGGGTGGTCAGGCTCGCTGACTTGGTTGATGCATGTCATCGATCCCAATTGCGTGAATCGATGCTCATGATATCAATTACTGGATTGTCTGGCCTAGAGTCGATTATTTACTGACCGCCGTCATATAGCTGGAATATTGCTGAGTGCGGCGTTAAACAACAAACCAACCAACCAACCCTCACTCGCTCACTTACTCTGATAAGTGTGAATTGTCAAGGCTCCCATGGCCGAAATCTATAAATTGGGAATCTTCTGAAAGGTATCGTCACTGTATAGGCTGTATATTGATTTCCAGCGAAAGCGTAAAGGGCCAACGACAAAAGGGACTGCAGTTAAACCTATTGTCAGCGAGGAGTTCAGCTGGCGTGCTCAGGTGGACCTCACAGATATGCGGGCAGAGGCATATCTGGATCACCTCTTGTGTACCACTTACTCCAAACATCCTGGGTACACATAGCCTAAGACCCGTGCAGATACGGGGTAGCATAGGTCTTCAGCAACCCATCCTAGCCGTACAAGGCGACTACGCTTGTCGTAAAAGGCGACTAACTTTCCAGATCCATAGTTGTTGGACCCGTGAAGATTCCGGGGTAGAATAGGTCTTCAGCAACCCATGATTGCTGTAAAAGGCGACTATGCTTGTCGTAAAAGGCGACTAACGGGATCGGGTGGTCAGGATCGCTGACTTGGTTGATGCATGTCATCGATCCCAATTGCGTGGATGGATGCTTATGATGTCAATCACTGGTTTGTCTGGTCCAGACTCGATTATTTACAGACCGCCGTCATATAGCTGGAATATTGCTGAGTGCGGCGTTAAACAACAAACCAAACAACCAACCAACCATAGTTGTTGTGGTTCTCAACTGTGCTCAAATACTATACTATCGCAACTGCTGTGTTATTACTGCAGTTCGAAAATTAAACATTTGCATCATTCTGTGTTTTCATGAGTCAAGAATCTCATCTTACACAAGACATAGCTCAGGCTTGACGCGAATGATTCTATTCTGTTGGACAGTTGTCATCGGGGTGCTTAATTAATTTCTAGGTGAAATTGCTGACCACCACACACACATACACACCCCACTCATTTTTATGTAACACAAATGTATGTCCCTTTAAAAGTAACATTTAGTTCATCACCCACCCACCCCTAATAAATGATAGTCCCTAAATGTCCAAAATTCATAAAAATAAACGCGCGCGCGCACACACACAGAGTGAACAGTCACCAATGCTTGATTGCCTGTGAATTATCTTAATTACCTTATTACCAGAATCAGCCCATTGTAGTGATTCATGTTAGTTATATTTGTTTTTATATATCAGAGAAATCTGTATTCACATGAATTTTTTAACATTTGTTATTTATCAAGTTTGACCATAGTATCCCATAACTAGTTTCAGGGAATGTCTTCAAAAACCATTAAAGAATACCTATAAAACCTGAAAAGTCTGGGCATTATGTAACACATCTATACTTCCTTCAGAGAATCAAACATTGCATATATCCACTGGATTTTTTCAGGGATTACACATATTTCGAGTGACACAAAAACGAGTAACTAGATTCAGAACTTGTAGTCACAGGCTTCCTATTGAAACAGTTGGTGCAATGTTGAAATGAACAAAGAAAATGTACATTTTGTTATTTTGACTTCTGTGTCCCACATCTCCGACTGGTCATTTCCTGATTGCTATTGTAAATATCCTGCAATGGATATGGTTTCTGTCCCACATCTCCGACTGGTCATTTCCTGATTGCTATTGTAAATATCCTGCAATGGATATGGTTTCTGTTAACCTCTTCTGATCTAAATATCAAATTATCTAAAAAAAGGGCATTGCCTAAAAGTGTTTTTGGCTAATTACTTAATTATCGGCGATTATACCTACATATAATTGATGCAAGATACACACATGACATTTATGAACAATCAACAAACAAAAAATGGCACCATAATTAAGTTATTCGGAGTAAATCGCTTGAAAACCAGAAAGTGGAGCTGTATGTAAGCGTCGCTGATCTAGGTAACATGTAAAAGAGCAATCGTTAAACGAAATACGATTTGAAACGTATCAAATACTTCTAGCTATCGTTATACAAATTTCCATCTGTTTATATACTGAACCAAATTAAAGACTTCACAATCCTAAAATTGTAACATTTTGACCAGTTATCATTGTGGGCCCTTATTGTGTATTTAAACAGTAATGGCCACGTGTTGTCTTCAGATAACACCCGTTTTTGTGCAGGTGAATCGATCAAAATCGTGCACAGCACTATAGTGGCAAAAGTGGTTTTTCACGTGCAACTGGTCACGTGGCCATAATACCGCACGTGTTTTCAGCCCTTCTTGTTAGAAGTCATTAACAAAAAAGGAAAAACACAAGAAAACAAAAGTCTTTACGGCCATTTGTCATGCCGCGCCTTTTAAATGTGCAACGTGAACGTGCCATTTTAATGTTGCAGACGGAAACGTCCGTAGCTGAAGTCGCAAGGACGATGGGTTGTAGTCGACGGACTGTTTATGATTTACAGACGCGTCTACAGCAAACGGGTACCACCGCTGATCGCCCTCGGCCAGGTCGACCACGTATGACGTCACATGCAGAGGATCGTCAGATTGTCTTACGTCACCTCCGTAACCGATTTTTGACGGCTACATCAACCAGAAATGAACTGTTTAGGGGTAGACTGAGTGCGCAAACAGTTCGAAACCGTCTGAGAACTGCTCACCCTCAAGCACGACGGACATACTGCGGGCCGATTCTGACTCAATTACACAGACGTCAACGTCAATTGTGGGCACAGCGACCCTTACGATGGACTCAGAGGAATTGGAATCAAGTCGTCTTCAGTGATGAATCCCGATTTTATCTTCGATTTGCTGATGGTAGGGCGAGGGTGTGGAGGCGCCGTCATGAACGTTACGCCCAGTGTTGTGTACAGAAAGTTGACAGATTTCGAGGCGGAAGTGTCATGGTGTGGGGTGCTTTCTGTGGCAATGCACGTTCCAGGCTTCTTGTCATCCGTGGCAACCTCAACGCTGCTGCTTACCGCGACCAAGTACTGGCACCAGAACTTCTGCCTTTTATGGCAGCACATGGACCCGGTTCGATCTTCCAACACGACAATGCCAGATGCCACACAGCAATTTTGACAAGGAATTTCCTTCAGAATGCGGGAGTAAAGGTCTCCCGACCTCAATCCAATCGAACACGTCTGGGATGCTCTTGGCAGAAGTCTGCGCACTCTCCAGAACCAACCACAGAATTTGCAAGATCTTGGCACCATTTTGCAGCAACAATGGCGTCGTCTTCCCAATCATGTGTTCACAAGCATCACAAGGTCCATGCGGAGGCGTTGTGTGGCAGTTTTCAATGCACATGGTGGCCATACACGCTACTGAACTTGTGTGCCATCAGATTCTTGTGCTTGGGACTTATGATTTAAACTGTTGATGTTATTACCGAATACCGTAGGTGCTTGGAACAAGTTATGGTTACCACCGTTAATTAAAATCCTTCTTTGGACATTAATGATTAAAAATTACCTTCTCTGATACATTTGTCCGTTGTATATCATATATGGGATTACTTTTAAAAATGTGAAGTTTTTCATTTGACTCAGTATATTTATAGGAACGTACTATATCTAGGTAAATACCACTTTACAATGTCACTGTTCATCGTATTTAAAGCAGACACGTTGGTTAAAGTAGACCCCTTCTCCCTATACTCTCACAAGTCCCACATCTCCGACAGGTCATTTCCTGATTGCTATTGTAAATATCCTGCAATGGATATGGTTTCTGTTAAACTCTTCTGATCTAAATATCAAATTATCTAAGAAAGGGCACATGGCTTGCGAATGTCCCCCTATGAAATTCTTTTCTTCAGTCTAATACGGATCCCGTTAGTCGTCTCTTACGACCAGCATGGAATGCTGAAGACCAGTATCAACCTGGATCTCCTAGGATGACAGAGCACAAACATTCCCCTCTCCAGCCAGATGCTCCATACACTTGCCCGGAGGGGCGGTTCGTCCCAGGCGAAGGTGAAGGCGAAATGGGGTTTAACGTCGTGTTCAAGATTGTTACACTCACACAGCGACGGGCCATGGATCCATTCAAATTGCTGCCCAAAATGAATAGTTTGTAGTTGTTACCACTGAGTGGGCCTTATATAACATAACCACTATATGTAAACATCACATTAAATGTGGCATATGAAATAATACAACCCATAAGGTCCCAGTATGTTAACTGAGGAAGCAATCTGCCAAAACCATGCATCAGTCCTGTTAACGTTTTCCATGACTCTAAAACCTGAAGACATGCCAATTCTTCTTTTCTTATGGGTTCCAAAATTCAACAAGCATGGAATACTCATTTTCCCCGCCAATAACACATGTCGGGTTGTGAACAAGGGAAGAAATGTACGGTTTTCAAGATCTGCTCCGGAAAGGAGCACAACCGCATTTTTTAGTCAAAGTCGTTGCCCTGGAGACTCGAAAAATACATTTTTCAGAAATCCCAAACTTTCAAAGTGCACCACTTTGACACTTTTTGAGTTCTCCGGAAACAAAACGTGAAGGAAGGACGGACAGCATCAATTCCTTCCACTTCAGTACAAAAAGAGATATATTGCATTATAAAGTACCACCAAATCCCTGTCTCAAAGATTAACTATAATCCTTACAAAATCAAGGAATGATGTTCTTTATAAATATTCATGAGAAGTATTTGAGACAAGTGGAATTAATACCAGGTGTATTCTCCAAAGCTCAAATGATTTGATTTGATTTAAAAGTTTTTGTGAAAGACATATATGATGTCCAGGAGTGCCGAAGGTGCTGCAGGCTGATCTGTCTGTATTGGTAAGCAATGTCCATCTGTCATGTACCATCCCCTCTCCAGTGGGTTCATATTGAACCTTTCCACTCCATTTTCTGGTAGTAGACACGGGGGCTGTGGTATCTTGTGGCACCAGTGGTTGGTGGCAGAGTTTGTGGCTCAATGTGTGGTAGGTTCTTCATCACGATCATACAAAATCGCTTGTTCCATGAGCTATCCAGTCCTTCCTCCCATCCGCCATATAAGGACACAAGTTAATGTTCGTTTTGTTTTGCATGGACTGTGCCTCACCCAGCTCTCTCCAGTTTGTCACCCAGACGGGCAATAAAGTGCTGTTTGTTTATTGCATTCTTCCAGATTGTTTCCATCTTCGATCAATAGGCCATTTCCCCGTGCTGAGTACAAGAGCTATCTACCAGCACTGTGCAAGTATGAACTGTGTAGTCACCTACACGCACTGTCGTAATCATCCTCCATTCTACAGCAGGCCAGTAAGGCAACCCTTGCTGAGAACGTGGAAATGTCCTGTTCATTTTTCATGGTGATGCTCTACTTCACCAGCTACCCCTACCAAGAGGTTCTACATCATATCAGGTATATGTTGCACAGATATATGCTGCTACCATTGCCGTTTATTTCATGTTGAAATTGAACCATGTGACTTGTTCCTGGTACCAGAACCCAAGCAAACTTCAAGAAAGAACAGGATTTGGTGCAATCAAAGCTGCCGCTGGGCAATGATATATGTGATACTCTTTGTTACATGCAATTCTTGGCTGTGACACCACTTCTCCCCTACTTGGCTTTGGAAAGCGTCTAGCATTGAAGAAGATCATGGATGATGCCTTGTTCTGCCAACAGGCTTAAAACAGAAGAAACTGGGGATGATCTAAGGACGAAGGACCGGATAGCTTACAATACATAGAGACTTAAACTCTTCCAAACTCTGCCACCAACCTCTGACAGACGAAGGATACCACAGCCCAAGTATCTACTTCCAGATAATGGAGTGGAAGGGGCTGGAAACGAATACATTGGAGTAGGGAGGCACATGATAGATGGACGGTGCTTACCAATACAGACAGATCAGCCTGCAGTATCTTGAGCACTCCTGGACATCATCTGCTGTAATTGCAAAAAAGACACACACTAAGATGCACTTGCCGGAAATATGGTCTCACTTGCAGTGCTGCATGCAGGGAATGCCATGGTACAAGCTGGACCAATGCACAACTACCAGGCTTCTCAGAGGATGACAAGCTGGTTGAGACTTTCGGGGTATATAAGGACCCTGCAACATGTTCCTGCAACATTCACCGTGACATCTTTTCCACTGTTCATCACATAATAATGTTCATGAATCTGACAATTATGTTATTGAATGAGCAGTGGATCATGATTTTTCAGATTAATATTCAAATATTTGTATTTGGTGGTTATGTTGGATTTCCGCATTTTCGTGAGATAAATTTTCGACTTCTTGTGAAACTGGTTTTGGTTTATTCTGAGAGACCTCATGTGGTCAAACTTTTTTCCAACGAGTATTTACATGAATGAAAACGAAACTTTTTATTGTGTTTACTGTCATTGTAATAAGTAGATAATTGTAATAAGTCCAAGTATACTGTTTAAAAGATAAAAGATTCCAGTCTGAACACATATTTAGGAATTTTTTCGGCTGTCTTGAATTTTTGTAGATTTGTCATAACGTTCAGTTGTTGTGACTATCTTTTTAGAAACGTAATATGCTATTTATGCCACATGCTTTTTTTCATCAATAAATTACACTTCATCTAATGGAAGACATATTGATAATTGGTGGCCATATTGGATTATGCAAATCAGACATGTTTCCCAAAATGGGATTGCTTTTAGTAGGTTGTTTTTTAGACCTTGTAGAAATGCATTGTGGTGAAATAACTTCTGTTGCAATTTATTCCAAGTTGAGTGAAAAAATGGTCCAGACTGCCTTGACTTGACTGTGAGGCCAGAGGCAGGCATGTGATCCTGGTGTGCACAATTAATGCTTCCCTTCTTGCTGTTCTTTTTCTAAATGTATATAAATCAGAATTTCTGTTTGCTTTAGCATAGTCAAAACAAGTTCATTTAGCTAATGTCATAAGGTTCTGGTATATTGACCATCTGATATCATTCTGTCACAGTCAAACAGCCCATTCCCTTCCTCTGATCCACCTTCTGAACTAGAAATAAAGGAGTGAGACTGCCTTGTCTGTTTCACACTTACATCTATGCATAAAGATTTAGAGTGACAAAACACTCTCCACAAGACTGTATAACAAGAGTGACGACTTTCCAATAGTCATTCAACTTTCCCTTATTACATGCAATGATATATATAACACAAAGAGGCAAAAATATTAACGTTTATTCAGTTGATGAAGCTTATATTCACAAAGCATTATCATTAACATTGTACAGTTTACACAACATCAGTAAAATATTGTACAAGTCATGTGAAACACGGTGTTGTGTAAATTCAACATGCTCTCTACACCAACATCTCATGTACAAACAAAAGTTCCTGACGCATTCTTTGGATCCACAGTGTAGTCAAGGAAACACAGATGTAGTATAGCCGTATCAGATCTTAAGATGTGACGATACCGGATATATTTAGTTGCATGTTCTTTCACTACTACCACGATAGGCCCGGGTAATTTCTCTAGAATGTGTCCTAAAGTTTGATGACTGTCTTGAGGAGAGCAGGTACGAATTTGAGTTCAGGAAAAACTTTGAACTGAAATCAAGAAAAACAATGTATCAGTCTAGCCAGTCAGTTGAAAAGCTACAAAATCCCAAGTACGGTACAAATACTAGAATGCAAAGAGTAACAAACGGTATAAAAATTGCATAAAACACATTTCGCAGTTTATAAAGGGATAAGCAATTCTTACTGATGTAAGAAAATGTTTAGTTGTTAATTTCATACCCTTTCTCCCATGTCACTGTGGCAGAAGACAACATTGGTTAGCCTTCAGTGCGGACTTCGCGGTTTCGAATCCCGCTGGCGACAAATGTTTTTCATGAAATTGTTCTATCATCAAGACAAATGATAGGGGAAAAAAGAAGTTCCATCATTGCCAAGTGCTGTTTAACTACAATTCAGTTAGTTAGACCACGGTCAAAGACAAAGGAGCCATGGTTTAAAGATATCTATTCCCAACACAAGCATGATATGTATGACACCTATCACTAAACAAGTAGGGGCATCTGATAACTCCTGAACAGGTATTATCAATCAATGATGCAGCCTTTGACACCAACTACAACACAAGCATGCAGTATTTGACACCTATTACAACACAAGCATGCAGTATTTGACACCTATTACTACACAAACATGCAGTATTTGACACCTATAACAACAGACATGCAGTATTTGACAACTATAACAACACAAGCATGCAGTATTTGACACCTATAACCCAAGCATGCAGTAATTGACACCTATAACAACACTAGCATGCAGTATTTGACACCTATAACAACACAAGCATGCAGTATTTGACACCTATAACAACAGACATGCAGTATTTGACACCTATAACAACACAAGCATGCAGTATTTGACACCTATAACACAAGCATGCAGTAATTGACACCTATAACAACACTAGCATGCAGTATTTGACACCTATAACAACACAAGCATGCAGTAATTGACACCTATAACAACACTAGCATGCAGTATTTGACACCTATAACAACACAAGCATGCAGTATTTGACACCTATAACAACACTAGCATGCAGTATTTGACACCTGTTACAACACAAGCATGCAGTATTTGACACCTATAACATAAGCATGCAGTAATTGACACCTATAACAACACAAGCATGCAGTATTTGACACCTGTGACAACACAAGCATGCAGTATTTAACACCTGTGACAACACAAGCATGCAGTATTTGACACCTATTACAACACAAGCATGCAGTATTTGACACCTATTACAACACAAGCATGCAGTATTTGACACCTATTCCCAACACAAGGATGTGATACATGACACCCATTACAACATATGAAAGCAACATTTGACACCTTTCCTAATCAAGGCTTGTGAACGTCTCTTCACGTTTGCCAATTCAGAATCAGCAAATTGTACCTGTTACGTCCTTGTTGATCTGTGTATGTGTTGAAATCCCTTCCCAGCACCCAGAACAGATCTCCTTCCATGAACTCAGGACAGCCACACTCTTGTCTCGTCACAAATGTCACGTGCTGCTGGGCCAGTTCACCGATACCTGCAAGAGTGTGTGAGTCAAGAGCACGCTCATTTCAACAGTGTGTGTTTGTTGATTAACTCTGCACACAGTTAAGTAAAGTATCAAGTCTGGATTAAACAATCCAGTGAGTGAAATTTTAAGCATTGTCCCACACTGTCGGGGGACATACGATGATCACGCTATCAACCAAGTCACCGAGCCTTCCTATGCAATCCCTGAAGTCAGCTCTTTTGGGTTGCTTGGGACCAGTTCTAACCCTGAATCACCATGGGGCTCGATTTTAAAAAGCCCATATAGAGTATAGCATGTTCATGTTAGACTTACATGGTTTTAGGTCTTCTTCAACATTAAACAGCATATGTCTGTAGCCAGGGTGTTCCTCCATAGACAGTGCTCGTAACTTGAATGCTGAAACAATGGAATTTGGGTATTAGCTCACCTTTTAAACAGAGATATTATCTTATAGACTGTGCTATTTCTATGTCTATTATGTATATCCTGGAAGCTATCAGTGCTCCATATTGAGCTATGCGTGTGAGTGAGTGAGCGAGCGAGTGAGTCAATGCCGTTTTGCACTACGGTCTGACCAAGTTTGTCTCATTAAGGGCATTAATCAAATGTTATATGTGGTGTCTTCTGTGGCCAGTTATTTTCGTCCAAATAGGTCACACGTTACATTTGGTGTCTCCTGAGGCCAGTGACTTTGTTTGAATAATATCACTGCTCAACATGCAGAAATAGGTGCCCAGTAGGATGAGAATAGTAACGTGGCTGTTAACCTTGTATCGCCTCAGACATGATAGCCAGCTTGGGTTGAATACACCATGATTATAGGAGAAAGATATTTGAGTGTACACTAATCCATTGACTGGAGTAATTATGCTGCTCTTTTATGTTTCACAGATTAAATAAAAATGCAGCAAAGGGTGTTTGGGTGATCCTGGCACAATCTACACGCAGCCCAGACAGCAAATGGGTCTTCTCCCTGGAAGAGCTGCCTTGTCGAACCCACCAATAACTTTTCAGAGAATATGAAGACTCTCAAACACTGCAGCCTTTTGCAAGACCAAGAGTGTCAGAAGAGCTGTGTTACCATCAGCAAAACCCAAGTACTATCCCCATGTCAGTCAAGTGATTGGGAGGTACTAAACCTAAGGCCCCAAGAAAAATAGTCTAATCAACTTAGTACTTGGGATGGAAGCGTGACTTTTCAAAAGCAAGGTCTTCATATTTGTAATGTTTTTCCTGAATCTTGTCAAGGAGCATTCAAGGATTTCATTATTATCATTGTCCATGATGCCCCATCACAATATGGGTTGTACCATGGATGCACCTAAGATTCAAAATCACAAACATGGCAAAGACGATAATAAAAGGATCAAGCAACACAATCATGTCATTTAGATACTGTGTTTGTGCCAAAGCTTGACATCCACTGACAAGGTGTTGGACTGTCTCATTAAATTTATTACATAATCTACATTACATATTTACATTTTCATGCAAAATCACATAATGACTGTTTCAAGTGGAAAGTGATTGGGCCTGAGAACAGAAAGCCTTCTATTTCGCTTTTCAGACCAGAGGACTTGCTGTAAACAACACTCATTCAGAAAGCCTCCTCTTGAAAAATCGAGTGTGAGCTGATTTGATAATGGCACTTCACTTGGCTGACACTTATTTCTGAACCGTCCAGTGGTACAGCACCATTACATTGAGATTTTCTCCTACATCTTGTTTAAGGAAACTGTGGAATGACTTATTTTCATCAAGAGTCTTGACAAAGCTTCTCAAGAGGATCATCAGACAAATAAATGTGTGCAAAAGTGCACATTAAAATTCTATCATGAAGAGCCTCCACACCCTTTGGATTTGTTTGATAAATATAAGCGATTGAGGGAAGAGCAAGGTGATAGGATCTATTATCTGACACTTTCTTGTCTCTCTTGTTTTGTCCAATCAATAACACCAAAATAACACCTTATTTTGTGCATTAAACTCTGAACTCTTTCTTTAGAGAAGATTTACACTCTTCGTGAGGTTTATCTATGAATCATTATGGGCATTTTGGAACTTGATCCTCCAAATAATGCTCAATCAGTCCTACTCTCTGTAACTCAACTGACCCAATCTCCACAGCCTTGCCACGTTTTAGATGGAAGGGAATGCATTTGTAGAGTCCCAGCATCATACAACTATCTCTTAGAAAGACTTGACAAGGAGAACCTGATCTTTTAACTCGGATATCAATCTCATCCATGTAAAGGAGATGAGTAAGGGGTGTTGGGGATCTATGCTATGGAGGTCTAGGATGGTAGCAGTCCTCCCTTTTAGGTAAGAAACTCAAAAGATTCAATGCCAAACACAAATGCAAAGGGCTGAATGAATCACCCTGAAATATTCCCCGTTTAACTGCAGCATGGTATCTCAATGGGCTGGCACTATAAACTGATAAAAGTCTGGACTAGAATAGGCAGCTTCACCCACTTGTACATGCATGTCACTATATATGTGAAATAATTATGATCACGATGTAAAAATTCATTTCACCTCACGTTGTCAAGGATAATGAGGCATGTCCCCACATCCAAAGGCATTTAAGCAGTCAAATTACCTCAATCCAATGGATCATTTCGGCAAGCATTGGGAGGAATTCATAACAGTAATGCTTTCACTCGTTCATGTGACTACCATATTTCACAACACCATGGGTCGGCAGCTTACAGGGATGGAAATTAGCACTCGCCCGCTAGCTGAAACAGTTTTGTTTACCCCAAAGGTATCCCAAAGGCTAGTATAATTTCATACATTTTGGGGGCATTTGCTTGACATCAATTGGACCAACTTTAAATTAAATTTAACCAAAGTAATATCTTCTATCAAAATTGTCATGTTGAATTAATTTATGCAACAGGAAAAATGGTGAAATCACGTAATATCAGCACTCAATTGCTTCCCAATGTAATTTGTATGTAACAGAATAAACCAAGTGATCCAACTGGCCACAATTGGCTTGTAATCCAACATACGCAGCATACACAAATATGTTCGAAACTCCCAACTCATTATTCCTCTTCACGTACCATACAACGAGTTTCTTGCCAAGGCCCGGAGTAGACGCATAATTGGGTTGGCTCGGCGACCACAGTCCACACACTTATCTGGAAAATGTAATTCAGCATGAGACCAGTGTTTGAACAAATAATAACAGCCAACAGGACCAGCCCCACACCGACCCCAACTTAACTGGACTGACGATATCAGTTTGCAAACTACCAAAACTAAATTTGAAAGACTTTCTCACATTTAGTGCGAACCAATTTCACCAATTTCTGTTCACCCGGAGTTTGTACTTAATGGTCCTGATCAGTGTTAATTACCATTTATTTGGTCGTACTGTCGAACTCTGAAGAAAACTCCTTTTCAAACTGATGTGTATACATGATGGTGAAGTAAAGATGTTGGAAGTGAAGGCTATACATTAAAGTATAGTAAACACGTTAATGTGAAGAACAGATGATAAAGACAGGTTATGGTGTTAGAGTGAAGTATTAAATGACACATAATTCTCTGGGTGATGAGTAGATAGTAGAGTGAAGTTAAGACGTTAAAGTAAAGTACAGGCCACAAAGTGTAGTATAAACGTAAAAGTGAAGTATAAAGTAATGAAAAAAAGTGTAAAGATGAGGTGAAGACTTTGAAGTTAGTCGAAATGTGACATATAAACAAACGTCAATGACTACTCAGGTTTAATGTGGCTATGATCAGTTTTTAAGTTTTATAACTGCATGTCTCTTGATGTGGGAGGACATGTGCTGCTCAGAGAAACGATGCTTTCTCCTTAGGCCCAAGGTGATGCAGGTCTCAGACGCTTACCACATTGGTGAAACCCATGAGCATAAATATTGTGCTGCCTAATCTCGTTCAAATCAGATCTTAGTTCTCTCTAACACTAAACAAAGATCTGAGGACATCCCATTAGGGGTCACGTCAGAACGACCTTTCATCCAACCAATCCGAGCGTCGCTTACCAGATCATGAAAGTGACAGTCGGGATGTGATTTCTAAACATGGGGTATTCCGAAGACAGTTATGGGCTGAATCCATACAGTCTAGACCATCTATTAGCCATTCCAGAATGTTCTTTTGTCCAGGTTTCAAATTTTTAATCGAGAATTTGTCGAAATATGTTTCATAGCGGAGTCGCCAATTTGAAATTGGTACCGTAAAGTACGAGAAAGCTGCCTTCTAATTGGCTAATGTCGACTTCTTGTCAGTCATTCCATTGGTCTGTCAAAGTTCGCGCAAGGTCGGTCTGATGTGACCCGTAATGGGATGTCCTCAGATTTTTGTTTAGCGGTAGCAAGAACTAAGATCGGATTTTAATGAGATTTGGCATATAAACATTAAAGTGAGATAAAGAAGTCGAAGTAAAGTATTGTTATAAAAGTGAAATAGCCACGATCAATTAACTTGTACATATATTCCTTCATATATGACTACAGTTAATCTGTCATGCATCATACAGCCTTCCAATTGTTGGTGTCAGAATTCTGTCAGCAATTTCTATACTTCACAGCTGGAATCATGCATGCAAAGTTTCAGGCCTTGTTGTTTATGATAAATGTCAAAGATGTACATGTAGATGGACAACCAGACCAACAACATGCCTAAACAAAAGCCCTTATGACTATCAGTCAGTTGAGCTGAAAACGTCAGTGCATTTATCTCCTGTGTCCAATGTAAGGGAACTGACCGTTTATACAGCTGCAGCCTCTCATCTGGTTATTGACCTGTACTGGACAGTAGAAAGGCGTGCTGACCACATTCTCCCCACTCTCATATGTTCGTGGACATGTCCATTCTGAAAAGAAAACTTGAAACTCATAGTCCAGGCTTACAAGTAAGATATTGGCCCTAAAGTTCCTCACTAGTGACTGAAATTTAAGGCTGCTTTGGACAATAGTTCAGTTAAACAGCCAGGCAAAAGAAAGTTAGTCTGTCTACCAGATCCCAGAGAATAAATTAAAAAAGGAGTTGCAACTCAATCTAGAATGACTCGGCAAGCCTAGATTGTCCCAGCTTCAGGAGTCCTGAAATTAAGGATTGTTCTAGGCTCCATTTGGATTTTATCTCTTTCTTTTTTTCGTAGATATATATTTTTAAATAACATAATTTTATTTCTGAGACTAAATGTCAGTCTGAAAGAAAGAATACATCGATGTTTAGAGATGGTTGTTTGATGTTGATGTATTTGATATAGGTATGATATTTGTGCTTTCAACCTTAAGTTTGCAGTGTTTCGACGACAGTTTTCAGCCTAGAAACGTTTTGATACCAAAAATGTGTGGGTCAAATATAGTTTTTAAGTGTATACATTCGTATGCCCAACAGATCAATACAGTCATCTTCAAGTGAAAGGATAGCTGAAGCGAAGCTGTAGTTGACATTTTCAACTTTGGTGAATCCCACGATCTATGCTCAGTACAGTGATATCATGGCGTGTCCTCTTTAAGAGGCAGTCATGAAGTGGCCATTTCATAAAGGGTTTTATGTTACAAAACAGCATTGGGGTTGGCCTTGTGTTACAAATGAGCAGGTAAAGTATACAATGTGTTCTCGAATAACTTGTTTGTTTTGCAACTTATGTTTGATGTTCTGATGACATATGCAAAAAGGGATTTCCAGCGTCAGCCTGCTTAACAGGGGAATCCCGCCTCGTTCTGGCATCTATTGAGAATGGAATTTGATACCAGGCTGCCATTCAGCTGATCAACAAGAAAGTTTTGTCATATCTGATTTGCTTAAAAGCTAAAATAAGAAGAGCACAGACTGTTTAACATATGAATTGAGCAAAGATTCACCTGCAATTTATGTGTATACACCTCCGGTTGTAAAGTTTTGCCCTGTATTTCAAGTTTCATCCCGGGATCTTTCTATCTCAAGCCATATAAGGTATTATTCTACAATTTGTATTGGTTGTTGGTGAATTTGGAAAGAGTCGATCACAGAAAAAAGTGGAGCTTTAGTATAGTGTAGCAATCTGGTTGGTTAAAGAGCATCACCATTTCTGAATCATTTCATTCAGAAATAGCTGGTTCTGGAAGTCAGTTAATGTCAACAGTTTGTATCTGTGATCTTGTTGAAAGACCAGTCACCGTAGGGCACGTATAACGCCTTTGTTATGTTTAAATATCATGAAATTCTCAATTCAAATGAACAGTTCTTCATTACAGATAAATGATGTGACTGGAGGTCACATCCTTTGAATCCAGGATATTTCTATCTCACAAGTGTTATAAATAAACTGTCATTGCTTCACCTTTGTGGGATAATTAAATAAACAATTTATTAAATTATACTGACACTTGTATCATGTGGAAATGAAGAAAACCATTCAGAAGCCATAAGTTGATTCTGCCCCCAAAATGTAGTGTTTAGGTCACATGACCAAACCAAGACTGGTACTGACTTTGATTCAGACACGACATTAGACTATGAAAGGGATGATGTTAACACATATTTTGATGGATACTTCTTAAATATTCCTATTGTTCAGTGATAGTGGAGAGAAATTTTGATAACAAAAATGGAATTTCTACTCAGGTGGAGGTTTGTGCATGTGTGGAATATCTTGTTGACACAACTAAATATATAATATGTATTCTATTGACAGATACATATGTCAATGGAATTTATCTGACTAAAATTGAATATTGGTCCCAACAATATCATGATCTTTTTATCATGATATGTGAAACGCATCAACTTGATAATGATCCACTGTAACTAACCTATATTTCCTCTTTAATCACTGAATTCATTTCTGTTGAAATTAATTGAACTGTAACATAAGAGCATCTTTGTAAATGCATGAAAACAATATCTCTGTTATTTACAGTTTGTAAAAGTTGGTATCTTTGTGTATTTTAGAGTATATTTAAAAAATGTAACATAAACATCATTATTTTCCTGACAAACTGTGATAACTACATTTACAAGATATTGAATTATATTATTTTGGGGTTATTCTTTGACGATTGAACTTAAATGTAAATAATTAAGCAAACATAGCAGGATACTATGTTTGTGTGTTGTTCTCTGCCTTCCTGGGGCAGTTGAGCTATATTTCATTGACGAGGAGTGCTTATCTCTCTAATGGGCCAGTTTGAGATAACACATTTGCCATTCTCAAAGCGAGGCCATGAAAACACGGGGAAAATGAAGGATATGGATTATGCCCTACTCAGATGTGTAGGCTGTGTGGCATATTTTGGCCACGTGTTACCTTCTAGCCTTTCTGTATGACCCGATGACTATCTTTAACGCTGGAAGAAAGTCAAAGGTGAAACAGATTTCTGACGCTTACTACTTTGTTAAATATCACAAGCAGTGAAGGTGCCACGGATAGGAGTTTGGACCAGTCTTGGATTAGAACCCATGATCAAAGGGTCCTAGCTTTCAAGGAACGCAAAGATATTCAAAAGGACTCACTGTCGACATTGAAACTCCGTAGGGTGACTGTTGCGGGCTTAATACGGAATACGTCATGGATCTTCCAAATACGGAAGCCGACACACTCCTCTTCTTCCGCACTCACCTAAAACAATAATGGGTCAGGTTTACACCATTTTGAACAGTGAGTGAGTTGGGTTTAACAGCATTTTGAACGGAAATCTAGTTATATCACTGCGTGTCAGCTTAATTTCAGTGGAAAGTCCAAAGTGATGAATGCCTCAGATGTTTACCACTTTGGTGAATCCTATGACCACGGGTATGGTGCTGACAGACTTACAAACATAACAGCAAATGAGATTCGAACCACAATGTTACGTTTCTGGCGTGCTTAAGGGACGCAATGATGCACAGCAAGCTTTGAACAGTAGTTCAGCCCCCAAGAGGTGAGTTCGGGTCAACTTGGGTTTAATCCTGCATTCAAGATTATTACACTTTCATAGCGCTATGCATCTACGTGTATGTGTGTATGGCTGCATGTACTAGTCAAGACTAACGCCGGTTTTATTGACCTTTTTCACACTTCGCTACTTCCGGTTTGAAAGAGAGGCTTGGAGAGCAGAAGGTGAAGGCTGGATAGCACATGAAACACATGGAGATGTCAACAAGGCACACAATCGGGACAAACTGTGACAATTTAACCATCCCAGTACATTTATCATAAGTATTGAACATTATTCTTATTCTTATCATTGACAAACTATTCTACTGTTATCTGGTCTCCTTACCGATGTAAATTTGAGTCTGTTGTGATTTCAATTTAAAATATCAATGACCACCTGGTAACTCCCAGTGCAGTTTATGGTAGCTGAACAGACTTAATACAAATGCTACTGAGATCTTGTAAAGAATAATTCATTGTTTACACACCATTAAGCCAAACTATTTATTGTGAGTTTAAATAACTTTGCGGGTTGTATTTGAAGTCGAAATATTGACCTTTTGACCATATCTAGATATATGTCAGAAACTAACTAAATTGATATGTTGATATGATGTATCAAATTGTAACCTACTGAAAATTTACAATCGTAACAAATCAGAATTTTGCATCAGTTGCGAATTTGATGTAAATTGTAATGGACTCAAATGCATTCCAATAAAATATTAGACCTCTAGATCTACTTGTGCTGTTGTGATTGTGAACAGTTGTTATTTTGATTGTCAATGTTAACAGATTAGATAGCATGAGGTGTAATATTTCAACTGAATTATTACATAAAGGGTGTGTAAATATTTGAAGTAAAGTACAGTTTGATCTGCAATTTTGTAAACAATATTTCTACCAAAATTATATTTACTTACTGTACCAAATTAATCATGTCATGAAATGAACAAAAACCCAACTAATTAATGGCCAGTAAATGTTCAATCTACATGTGATCTTTATATAATTTACAGAAACAGATAACTCTTTAACAGTTTGTATTCAAATATTCCAAATGCATAAATTGATATTGACATTACAATAAACTTAAAGTATAAAAGAATTATTTTTAATTCCCATGCGTATTGCAATCATTACTCATTTATTCCCTTTGTTTAATTGTGAAACCCATCTGGTTTTATGTCCACAAACATGTTTTGAAACTTTTATAACAAAATTATTTCTTTTGTGCAAGCAATTGCCATGTATTATTGATTATTAATCAAATCAATTTATATGTAAGAATATAGTTGTGCTTACTGTGTCATTTGGCAATATTATATTGTTATGATGTAATACTTTACTATTGTTAACAATCTTTAGAACTTTAGTTTATTTCAATCAAGTCAAGTGGTGTGATCATTTTGATAATTTTTATAATTCAATCAAAACGAGAAATATAAAAAATATAAATACATAGAAGAAATTTGTTTTCCTTGTCAAATAACGATGATAGCATGAATTTATCTCATCTTGTGATCTGACAAAGTTAATATTGTCAAGTCAAGATATCAACTTTAGTAAACCACAAGAAGTGATAAACATTTCATTTGATGAAAAAAATTCAAGTCTTATATTATCTTTGTGATCTTCATGACCTTATTCAGAAAACCATAGTGTCAATGAGGCAGACTGACTGTAGGTGTGACAAAATGTGATATTTCACCTGATTTTAACAAAAATCTTATTTATTTCACTCTAGCGAAAGTATGTTTTCAGCATGGTCAGGCTAAACAAAGTATTTCATGATTAAATACATACCGATAAAACAAATATCAAAACGTGTTCATTAAAACAAGTGTGAATTTCTGTGCGACATTGATATAAAGAGCTGTAGTACATTGATATAAAGAGCTGTAGTACACTGTCATTAAATTGATGCATCTGTTGAGCTTACTGTTTACACAGAATATACTGTTTGAGTTTTAGACATATCAGATGAATTGATGCCTTCAAGATTTTCTAAAGTAGCATGTAATGTTACACACTGTGATTAATTTTCCTTAAATTTCTCTATTTCAGAAGAATGTTGTTTTCTAAATAAGCAATATTTTGAGAAAAGGTGAATATGCATTGTTTATAAATTTTTTTATTGAAGTAGAAATATTATTACAATATTATTGAATTATTCATTTCAGGCCAGCGAGTCAACACAATGAAGTACTAGTATCTGGTGATGGGTGTCTGGAGGAGCTTTCTGTTGACAGTAACACACCCGGTTACAATGTGCGTCCTGTCAAAGGACGAGGAAGTGAAAAGCCATATTCATTTAATCAACAAATGTGTTTCCTGTCACATTTCACTTAAATAGGACGAGGAAGTGAAAAGCCTTATTCACTCACAAAACAACATGGCCAATATTTATCAGACACTAAAAAAGCACATTGTACCATTTGTTTACAAGCAAGAAAATTATTTTCTCCTGGAATTTAATTAGGAGCTTTTGACTGACAAAGACACCAGGTCCATGTTAAGTTTTGAAATGTTATATTGTGAGAAATAAAGACACGGAAATTTCGGTTTGTTTTTCTTTGTTAAATATGAGAAATCCAGATTGTCCCATCAACATAATTGTACCGATACATATATTTTATCTTGACTTGATTACCGATTGAAGTTGATTCCTTTTTATCTTTTGTTATTTTATCTGTACTCATATCTGATCAAGACATTTTCAAACTATTCAGGATAAATGTATCAGTAGCTTCCTTTTGATATACAATTACCTATCATCATACAGGATTAGGTGAGGGTGTTCAAGAAGTTGGTGGTTGTATCAATTCTTATATTTCTTCAATTTCATGCATTATTTATATTTATCAATTTTTAGTTTCCTTTTAACTTATTTTAAACAGTTCACACATTATTACTTTTGTCGTGGACGTTGCAATCTCAATCGGCAATAATCAGTTAAGTAAGTGATGTTTGAAGAACAAGTAAAGTATCATCTGTCATTGTACACACTGAATAGAGTTATCGCCCCGTCTGAATATTTATTTTGACACACGAATTATTTTGTGAACTAATTTCATTTACATCGTAATATGTTAAGATGAAAATCATAGCAGAAAATGTGTCTTTTGTCAACTGGACGATAGTGCGTTGTGCAGCAAACACCACTGTGAAACGTGAAATAAACATGATCGACGATCTCGAGTTCGCCAAGCCACGCATTGACTGAGCAAATTTGCAAAAGTACACTGACGTGTTTCATGTTATGCGGTTCATTTACGATACAAAACTTCTGTCATTGAATGTACTGAAACATTGTACCTATATGCCGACGAGGTTATGATAAAACAATCTATTTCTGAAATACGTATCTCAAAATGCACCTTTGATTCACTTCCGGGATCCTGCCAGCAAAATGCTAATTCCAGTGTATTACAGGCATATTTTAGTTGGACCTCAGGATTAAATGTGAAATATCTTCTGTATTAGATACAGAGGATACCATTTTTTTTTCTTTTTGAAATGTCCATCAGTGAAATGCACAACATGCTGTCTGTTCCCTATCAGGTCATGAGACTCACATTGCATGGAGCTATGCTCTCCAAGCCTCGTTTTCGATCCAAGATGGCGAAAGTGTGAAAAAGGTCAATAGCGATAGCCAACTGAGATACCATGCTGCAGTTGAACATGATAACCCACTCAGACACAGAATACATATTCAGGACCGACAAGTCCTTATTTTATCCCCTTAATGCCGAGGGCCAGGCAGGGTGACAACAAGGACCATCTTCTTTTGGTACGACAAGTTCGAGGGTCTAACCCTAAACCTTCCGCTCTCCAGGCAGACGGTCTATCCACTTGATCTTTAAGGTGGTTTCATGTGGAAGGACGTGTTTCGCAGTTGTAGACATTTTCTAGATAAAAACTCAGTTTAATCTGACACTCAAAGGGTGTATTCAGCGGATCAGGGCAAACAAGAGGATGTAACTCAAAACAGCCAGTTGAGGGCATTAGACTGCACTGTGACTGTGGCCATTAAAAACATGAAAACTATACCACAACAATAACGATGAAAAGTATCATTAGAATTGCAGCCTTATTAATTTCAACAATAAAAATTTCTGTTTTGATTTAAAATTATATATTTCTCTCTGTGCATTAAGAAAAATGTCACAGCAGTATAAAAAGGCAAATATGTCAAGCCTCTCTGATATCTCTCCTTTGCATGCGTTTTATGTGTACTCACAGTTCTTAATTGTATTTCAACGTAGTCGTCGTTGTACCCTGCTTTGACAACACGTCCCCCCTCGAGCTGGCAAACAGAAGGCAGAAAAACATTTACCGTATTCGACGTAATAAGCGCCCAGGGCGCTCTCAAAATTAGAAATGGGGGCTCTTATTAGAATATTATTTTGGTGAAAAAAAACAGAGTTGAGAGATAAATTTCGTGGTTTATGCTGACAGCCTGAAATGTTTATGTACGACAGATATATTTTTCCAGAATTTAATTGCCCATAATTAAGTGTGCATATAACACACAAGTGCGTATTATTCGCGAAAAAATAAGTCTTGTGTACATTGATCAATCCGAAGGGGTGCCAATTGGGATTGTTCACTAGCCAATATATGAGCAAATATCGCCGTGGGCGCTTATTAGAGCGGGGCGCTTATTACGTTGAATACGGTATATTAGAATGATGTCAATGTTAGAATGGTGTACATATTTACAGATCCCTCATGAACATATAAAGATTCAGGACTATTATTGTCTTGATTTACAGATCAACCAGTACTAGGGCTACCACTACTATGACTTCATCTACAACTTCTGCTACTTGGTTGATGCATGTCATCGTATCCCAACTGCATGGACCGATGCTCATGATATCAATCGCTGGATTGTCTGCTGCTACTACTACTACTACTACTACTACTACTACTACTACTATTACTATACACTGTCTATCACATATAAGCTGCCGAGGATCACACCTGTATCAGGTCATACTTACCTCTTTAAGATCACACTCATTAGGAACATAGCCAGTCAGCATTCGTACACGGATATAGGTCTTGCCATGGTTGTAATTACCATTGTATCTGATGAACAGAATAACATACATTTTTAAAGCCTCTTTGAACAGCATTCCAGTTACATTGAGGTGTGTCAGCTTAATGTGGGAGGAAAGTCTGTTGTGATGCAGATCTTGGATGTTCACATCATTGGCAAAACATGAGCAGGGTATGGGGCTGACAAACATAGAAACTAGTGTAGAAATATTGAAAATTCCTCTGATTATGTAGGATAGATGGTAGCATTTACGTGGTTAATAGCTCCTTATGGATATGTAGTTCGCTTTGGGACAGCACGTTTCAGATCTTGCCCCACGTGCGGGCACGTGTGTTTGTCGGCTGCGTGCCGATTTAGTGTTTTCAGTCGTGGGTCGTATGGTAAGAGCGCCCCGATTGGTTGGTGACAGACTGGATTAGCCAGTGGCTGCACCGTTTAGACGTGTTGACCCAGAGGTTACGTCTCTTTGCGAGTATATAAGTGATTGGCGCGAATGCTCTCATCGTCTGGCATGATCGGGAAGATCAATACAGGTGAGGGAGACCACACCAAATTACCCCTAGTGATTTTCGGCAATAAAGATCGAAATTATGTGGCAACTTTAGCATTCATGAGTAAACTGTTATAAAGGTGGGTTGCACGGGTGGATTTAATTAGGAAATAATGTAAGCTATGTGATGTAGCTACATTGACCGATTGTGTTAGGAGGTTTGGAAGGGTCGTTTGTTTGTCCTCGTAGACTGTGTTAAGGATGCTGTAGTGATTATTTATTAAATTGGGTTTGTTCGTCGCTTTAGGCTGCTTCTGAGTTTTATTCTTAAAGTATAAGTAAGTAGGATTTGGGGCTTAATAATGTAAATTTTAGTTAGGAATAGGATTGACTGATTTGTAATTGTTGTTGAGTTTGTATTTATATTTTGTTACAGTTTTGGTTATTTTTATTTTCTGTAAGAAACTGTTGAAACTTGATTATATTTTGTTGTGAATCACCTCCCTACATCCAATGAACTGAGGTCGTAAAGGACAGACGTAGGGACCATAGACACATTCTTTAGTATTTTCGGCATCAACATCTCCTTGATAAAAGAATTACAATACAAAGTCATGAAAACATTAGGTGTCTAAATGTGCCCAAAGCCTGTCCTGTTACACTAGAAATATAATCAGGGAGTATCTGAGGGAGCCATCTCTTCACAGTAAACCACTGCGCCTTAGAATATGCATGTAGATATAACTAATATTGTTCAAAGCGGTGTTTAAATAAAATTCACTCACTCACTGATGCCATAAATTCCAATACATGTTCCATGGTACTTTGATGTTCCATAATATGTTTTGAAAAAAATCAACATTCAAGAAAATATGTAAAACGTTTAACAAGAGAATGTTTTCAAATATGTTGCCACAATCTTTATGTAACATTCTAAGATGCTTCGCTATAAGATCAAAGGTGCCGACTGTACTTTATAATTAAAAATAGTACACATCATGGACGACATGGCGCTGTTAAAATTATCCCCGGCTATAACATATCCGAGTTGACTAGAATAGTACAGGGTAAAAATACAACTAAAGACATGGGTGTAGAGCAAACATTAATTTTCAAATATAACCCTGCATTTTGCCATTATATTCTTTCTATTATGAACATACTGCCTATATCCAAGACGATTAAAACCTTTGAGGTTGAATGTACAACATGTCAAGCTGGGTACTTACTTCAAACACACATTTAAACAGTAAGTGAGAGGGGTACTGATGCCCCCAAACCCTGACTCAATAGAGCAGGTGAAACGGTCCCCCTTTGGACATGTAAGTCGTGGACCACACACAGAACAGACACCTGTGTTGCCTGCACGCAGACTGAAAGAGAAGGGAGATAAAACAGTTATCATCATTAATAAAACTGCATAATGAAATTGGACGGTATGACTACCCGGAAGAATGTTCACATTGCCAAGTAATTATTACACAGGTCATTGTTTCCTAAAGTGTTTTTTTAATTTCAGCTCCCTCGGGAGAGTACAACACAAGCTGCCTGTTGGGTGCAAGAAGATTCAGTTTGTTGCCCATGGAAAACTTTGATAATATTGATAAGACAATTATGAGACACATAGCAATGGTCAACAACAAGCCCATTTTCGTTCTGACATATGATAGTTTTTTATTTCTGGGATTTTCAAGTACTCGAGAAAGACCGAAATGAGCGAAAAAAGACATTTTTTCAATTTTCAGATAAATCTAACTGTGAGAAGGCTGTGCCCCAGCATGAACTTTTTACCACATCTTTATGTTACATTTTTGAGGAAAATAATCAAATATTGAAAAATAATTCCTGAAACACATAAAATCTAGCCTTTTCCACATATTTACCCTTACCAGCTCGCTGACTTGGTTGATGCATGTCATTGTATCTCAATTGCGTGGATTGATGCTCATGATGTAAATCACTGGATTTTCTGGTCAAGACTTGATTAGTTACAGACCGCCGTCATATAGCTGGAATATTGCTGAGTGCGGCGTTAAACAACAAACAAACAAACAAATGTTATAAGTCCAAAGGTTGCATCTGTTGAAATGTTGCATCTGTCTAAGCTTAGTTCTCATTCCTATGAACATGTTTTGCTCCTATCTCTATTTATGCAGATATTGTGGACCAAACATGGGCCTTTATTTCCAACATTCCTGAGTAGCAAAGGCAAACACCCTTCATGAAACACTTCATTGAGATGAACTAACCTCTCATCATCAGGATAGAACCGTCTTACGTTCATGGTAAACTGACAGTCAGCATCAACATCGACAGGAATATTGTAGCTTGCGTCCACATGCATCTGGCCGATGCCGTGTCCTGCTGTCAACACTTGCAGACTTTGTCCCAGTGGCACCTAGGACATCAGTAGAGGTGAGGTGAGATCACAACTAATAGGATGGGGGTGAAGTGGAGAATAAAGGCTGTTCAAGCCTCTGCCATGATGAGGGCAATACAAGTGAATAAATCTAGTCTCATCAACCTGGAACACGAAGATCGCCATACATGTGCTCCGTAATCCGTTCGACAAGTGTGAGATGGCAGGAGTGTTTATTGCTTAAGCTGGTAGCCTCACTCTGCTGTGCATACACAAAAAAGTTGGTTTACAACTCATTAACACCCCCACTTAAACCATATATTTTAGAACTAAAAACTAAAATACACTTAATATAAGGATACATAATCCTTTACATTAATGCAGAGTTAATACAACTTATTAACACAGGCGATTGCAGTCTATGCAGAGGGGGCGTGACGACTCCATAATGTAGCATATTTTCGTGGTAAATGTAAATAGAAGTAAACTCTGTGAGAAAACCAAAGCCAAAAAGTATTTTTTGTTCTGGTATACATCAAAACACCAGGCGATAGAATTGAGAATGAGTGTACTGAATGTGTCAGGTGATCAGATCGCAGGAGTATTGTCCCATGGCATTGCAGTTGTTTCGTTATGCGTTTTGTTGTATTCGAGAATGATGCATAACTTAAGGATCACAGGAGGCGTCTGCTTGAAGTTGGTTTTACTCCGGAAGTTCGTACATGTAGTCACGTGATGTCCCATTGACATATTCGGGGACGTGATGCACAAGATGAATATTACATATCGTAACAGCAGTTGTTCATGACCCATGATCACAGTGGTGTTGTATGGGATGTGTTGGAGTGAGTTGTGTTTTTGAAAAACCTGGAAACTTTGTTCTATAATGAAGACGATTGAAGAATAACCAGAAATGAGTAGTGTGAGATAGCGTAAGTTGAAAAATCACATATTAATCTGCTAAATTGCTTCTACAGGGACAAAGGTTTGGTGAAACAAATATAGTCTAATCCGGCATCCACTGATGATCTTGATTCCCATGAAATTGATCCGGCAAGGTAGCACATGGATCCGAAAACAGTCGATCCTGCTTCACCCCGTTGAGATCCCTGTTCCTAATATAAATCATGGCCATGGCATCCGTGATTGGTAAAAGACATATACTTGTCCATTGACCAACACCCTTGGATTGGCAAGCCAGGGATCCCACCATGCCTTATGTCATAGCCCCATGAACCAACAGATCCGACTAGCGGTAACTCTGTACCCACATCAGGCATTACGAGCTTCTCAACCTGTGGGATAAACAGAATGGATCTAGCTGAACGGACTCTTGAACACTTGTCAAACAGATCCAGGTCCCGGGTCATTGACCCGCTTGTCAAGCCACATACCCCACCGTACATGAAGGGGTGCCAGTGCTTGTGCCACGGCCCAGTGATCGACTGATCGGTCTGTCGGTTGTTACGTACCCACACCAGGGTTCCGGGATCTTTATCAGGCCACCCATTCCCTTTAGTTTTGTAAGCCTTAACTAGCTTGGCGTACATTTTATCAAGCTTCCTTAATGACTGCTTGCTCAACTCTGTCATCTATTTTAGCAATATCTAGAGTAAATCACAAACATTAAAGATAACAATTTTGAAATTTCAATTCATGGATGTTTTTGACTCTTTTTTTAAAGTTTCTTAATTTTGGTCTTTGCTGATTTGTCGTGATAAAAGAATCAGAAGAGGTCGGACTTGTTGATAGTTTCCGCTTGACCATAAGGTTATTTCAATGCGTAAAAAATTCTTTGAATTCTGCCACCGTACAATTAATGCAGAGATAACTATGATCAGTAATTTAACACTTTTTTGTAAAACAATATCTAACCAACAAGTGTGGTTCTGACCTATTCCTTAAAAATTTGCACTTGGTGCATTCAGGTTGAGCTTGACCAGCCATGCGTGATGCTGTAAACAGTCACCTTATCAATGAGAAAACTTCCTTACTTGCAGATATAATTTACGTAAGTAGGAATTCTTATCAAGACATAATTAAGAACCTTGTCAAATAGATCACCAAAAAACAGTAAATATTTTATGAAATTGAAAACTTCACTATCTCCAAGTAACTATAAACACATCTTGCTTGCAGTCTACAAGGAGAAATAATGAAGTTGGAGGGATTACAACTGTGCTGAGGGCAGGGTTTCCTGAGTTATTGGAGATAACTACGGAAGGAAACAACATTTACCACAAAAGAATTTTGTTTTTTAACCTTGTGATCACCTGCAAGCAGGAAAATAGGACAATCATATGCTGGAGGGGATGTTTATGCACTAATTAACACGTTATGTTTGCAGAATTGATGTTCTCACTGTATCGTACCACAAGATAATTTTTCAAACACGGGGTAAGTAATTGTGGGTAGTATACCTACATCTTGGAGTGACTGGGGTTGGAAGGCGTCCTCTTCTCCAAACACCATCCTGTGAGTAAAGTTTTCAGAGGGAGAAGCTGTCACATTGACGTCCAGATTGGTTTCCCGGATCCGCTTAGACTCCCTGTAGGCGGCCAGAGCCTCCGTGGCAACGGCTGTATCCTTGAGGTGGGAAATACATTATTTATATCTTCAGTATTCAAAACAAGCAAGTGAATTAAAATACACCATTGTACGTAATGAAAATTACCATTTTTTAGGGTTTTAGGGTTGTTTGTCTAACGCCGCCATATTCCAGCTATATAACGGCGCTCTGTAAATAATCAAGTCGAGACCAAAAGTGGTAAAAGTCTGTGACCTGTATTACACATTAAGCTGACACACCAAGATGGAATACTGTTAAAAGCAACATTAAACCCAACTCACTCACTGCTTTTTCTGCGTTTTAAAAAAAATATATATTTCCCATCACCTTGAAGGTGAGAAACACACACAATAATAAGAGATTGCCTAAATTGTTCAGTATACTTCATTCTTACCGAAGCTCCAACAAACAATCCTTTTCCATTTCTCCATTGTATCAGCCAATCAGCGATCTTGTCAGGGTTAATGTACATATTTCTACATTGACGATAAACCCTTCCTCGTCGTCGTCGTCGTCGTTGTTGTTGTTGTATGGTTCTGCATGGCAGTTTCAAGCTCACTTTGACAAACACCAGCAGAGAATATGCTGTGGCTTCAATCGTCTCTGAAGACGGACGGGTCTTGTACATAATTGGTTCGTGGGCTTCATGATACTCATCAGACCAAAAGTAGTACCCTGTGTGACAAATCTCAAGGGACTATTTTCTTGAAAAAACCCACATATTTTTAACACATTTTTTTGTTTCATTACATCAAGTAGTTTTCAAACCATAGTTATCAAATGGATACAGATAACCCACGACTGGGGGCCACGGCAAAAATCCCACTCCTTCAAGAAAACATGGCACAGATATGTTCCTTTTGGCCAATGATTGTCCTTCAGCCCACATCTGCTGCCACTGTCCAAAGAATATCCCTGGTTTAAACTTCTTTGATTATCCAGAGTATCATATCTCAATTCTACAATGATTAATGCCCTGGGACGATTCTCCACCAAAACTACATGCACGTTTCGAGTCCTGTTCACTATGTTAACAAGAGTCATCAGAAGATGACAAATCCCCCCTGCCCCCCAAAATTAAAAAGAACAAATCATCTGACTGTTACATTAAGTCCAACTTGACGAGAGAATTTCTATCTCATCTGCCTGTCTGTATACAAGAGTAGTTAATGAGCTATCAAAACAATACCATGGAATTGGGATTCAGAACTTTGTATGTCTTTGTCAGGTACACGATCAATTTTGTTGCCATGGAAAGGATAAAAAATATAAATATTAAACACCCCTAAATAGCAAATTTGACAACCTGGGCCAAAAGTGTGCACACTTTTAAGAAAGAGACCCTATTAGATTTAGAGATATGGTCCGGACAACCACACCACTATGACCAGAGTCAAAATCAAACTTGTTGCCGCAGAAACAGGAATCTTTAATAGTTTTTGAAATTCCTAAATAGCAAAAGGCACCACTTCAGCCCCTGATTAATACATGCACCAAGTTTGGATAAAAAGTGTTGAATAGTTTTTTAGTTCTGTTCCAGAAACGACACCTACCTCCATTTCATTTAAATCTAACTTGTTTCCATTGAAAGAGGAAAATAATCAAATTTTGAATAATTCCTAAACAGCAAAAGACACCACTTCAGCCCTTGGTCAATACATGTAGCAGGTTTGGGTGAAAAGTCTTTCATGGATTTCAAGTAGTCCGGAAACAAAATCCACCACCCCTTTTGAAACTAGTCCAAATTGTTTCCATGGAAATCGAGAAAAATAAAAATGCCAAAAATCTGCAAATAGCAAAAGGCACCACTTCAGGATCTGTTTGATATATCTGCCAAGTTTTGTTGAAAGATTTTGAATGTTTCTTTTATTGTGCTTGGAACAAATCCATCACCCCTTTTGAAATTAAGTACCAACTGTTTCCATGGAAATCGAGAAAAATAAAAATGCCAAACATCCGTAAATAGCAAAAGGCACCACTTCCTTATAAAATATGGAGAAAAACATACCGGTGCTGTTTCTGCAACCTCAATGATGATGTAGCAATGGCTGATTGACATCATGGCCTTAACCATCAGTGTACACTGGAGAATGGAGTATACAGTTTAACTTACCAGCTGCATTAGTTGTTCCTTTCTGTTTCAGTTCCCGCACTGCAGTCTCCCACGTTGAGTCAAGATAGTTCAGGTTTTGTCTGGCATAGGTCACCTTGGCCAAGGTCAGTGGGGTCATATTTCGTAGCCTTGATTTTCGCATCCTGGACCACCATTGCTTAAAGCTGTCCCTTTGTCTGACAGTTTCTTCCTTTGAATAGAAAGGATTTCTCATTGATATTTGGACGAAAAAATGATTTCACACCAAAATTGAGGATTTACCCTACCATTTGAAAAAATGTTTCTGTATTATTAAATGATCTGTTGATTGAAAAGAAAATCAAAATGGAAATATGAAAGCATTTTCTCAGGTACAGCAGTAATATGCACTCACCATTCAACAGATACGACAAAACAACAATGTTGTATGAAGCATATCTCAGTTCCCACACATCAATCTAGACAGTGGTCCCATGTTATTGACAGCCTCATCCAGGGCTCTTATGCAAAATAACAGGCCCTCTGTGAGTCTATTTTACTTAGAGAGATTCATGTAACGAAAGTTTCACACAGTTTATACGGAATAACAAAGCCCTACATGAGGACATTATACTCACAGATATCCGATGGGAACAGCTGAAGGACGATATAAGCACCTCAGCCAAGAGTTGTTGTTCTTCTCCATCAATGTACTGAACAGAAGTACACAGTGGCCATGAATCTAACCATATCAAGAAGCAAGTGAGTTTGTGAGTGAGTGAGTAAATCTTGGAGTGAGTGGCTGAGGTACCACAATTGGCTGAGCAAAGTTTGCGTCAGAATCCAATAGTCATGAGCACGATTGGTTCGTTGTTTAACGCCGCACTCAGCAATATTCCAGCTATATGACGGCGGTCTGTAAATAATCGAATCTGGACCAGACAATCCAGTGATTAAAACCATGAGCATCGATCCACGCAATTGGGATCGATGACATGCATCAACCAAGTCAGTGAGCCTGACCACCCGATCCCGTTAGTCGCCTTTTACGACAAGCATAGTCACCTTTTACGGCAAGCATGTCATGAGCACAAAAAATCCAAGATTGACCTTGGTTATGATTTTTGGTCTCTCAGATCTCCCTGCATCAATGTTCATCTTTCATCCCACACCAAGTTGACACACCATGACATGAATGAAATTATGTTTAAAGCCGTGTTAAACACAATTCAACACCTCCCCCAATTAATTTTGCATAAACATATGCAATAAAGTTTGATGAAAAACACAACAGACATTGCGATAAATCACAATTTTTGGATGAACCTGGGATGTGAACCAAGGACAGTTGGACTGTGCTTCTACTGTTATGTTTCCACTCAATCATTCACCCACCCATACTGGAATACTGTTAAAAGCAGCGTTAAACCAAACTCACTCATTTACACATGCACTGACAGAAGAAATTCCTTGACCTCTCATAATATTTGCGATGTATATTCTGTCAATAAGCATAAAAATTCATCAAAGAAGCCTCAGTGTGATACAGTTCATGCAGCAAGGTTATCTCACAAGGCATTGAGCCCAAGTTTGACTCCCAACATTGATACATGTACACTTTCGTCCCCTGATTGTGATGTGTAGTACCCGCGTCAATGACCCACCGCCTGTCATATTCACCAACTCACTGATCTAATCCCATCACTAACTCACCAACCTAATCCCTTCACTAACTCACCAACCTAATCCCTTCACTAACTCACCAACCTAATCCCTTCACTAACTCACCAACCTAATCCCATCACAAGCTCACTGATCTTATCCCATCACTAACTCTCTAATCTAATCAAATCACTATTTCACTGATCTAATCCCTTCACCAACTCACTGATCTAATCCCATCACTAACTCACCAACCTAATCCCTTCACTAACTCACCAACCTAATCCCATCACAAGCTCACTGATCTTATCCCATCACTAACTCACTGATCTAATCCAATCACTAACTCACTAATCTAATCCCTTCACCAACTCACTGATCTAATCCCTTCACCAACTCACTGATCTTATCCCATCACCAACTCTCTAATCTAATCAAATCACTATTTCACTGATCTAATCCCTTCACCAACTCACTGATCTAATCCCATCACTAACTCACCAACCTAATCCCTTCACTAACTCACCAACCTAATCCCATCACAAGCTCACTGATCTAATCCCATCACTAACTCACTAATCTAATCCCATCACTAACTCACTCACTGATGTAATCCAATCACTAACTCTATGATCTTATCCCTTCACTAACTCACTGATCCTATCCCATCACTAACTCACTGATCTAATCCCTTCTGATCTCATCTGATCTGATCTAATCCCATCACTAACTCATTGATTTGTGGGGTGTGTGCATACATGCATGCACATATGCCAGTCGGAACTAATGCCAAGCGCCAGGCAGGGTAACAACAAGTACCATCTTTTTACTTCTTTTGGATGACGCAGCCAGGGATCAAACCCCCAACCTAATGCTCACTGGGCATATGCTCTATCGCCAGAGGGCGGTCGGGTAGCCTGGTGGTTAAAGCGTTCGCTCGTCACGCTGAAGACCCGGGTTCAATTCCCGACATGGGTACAATATGTGAAGCCCATTTCTGGTGTCCCCCGCTGTAATATTGCTGGAATATTGCTAAAAGCGGCGTAAAACCAAACTCACTCACTCACTCTATCACCAGACCACGAAGGCGGTTTGTTTCAAAGTTAGAATGAGGGCTGTTACACCATAACTCCCATCACTAACCCGTGGATCCTCGTCTTCAATCTCGAAGCCTCTTGATTGCGAACCCGTGACCTGATTCAGCAACCACTCGTACCCTTCTTCCAAAATGTGTTCATCAATGTTCAGCACTGCACGGGTGGAACACAGAGTCTTCAGCACAAACGTTGTAAACCTGAAGTGTTGAACAGAAGATGATGTGTTCCGGTTGGATGGTGTATTTCATAAACATTTGGGGAAACTGCCACACAATTGCCTTGCTTTTGCACCATACATCTAGTAAATGTATACTGCTCAAAATATTCTAAGCTTATTCAATTTCGCCTCGTAGAATCATAACACTCAATCAAGTCCCAAGTTGTTGCTTTATCATAATTCAAAATGTCAACCCCAGATAATAATTTTTCTTCTCAAATATCCGCCATAGGGCCTAAAATGCAAAATAGTGATGAAAATTATGATGATGGACAACTGAAAATCAGCGGTAACACTAGACCTACTTCACCCACCCACCACAACCTCACTCAACCACACACCTACTACCTCACTCCTACAGTCACTGGCTCACCCATTCACTGTCTCACAAACTCATCCACCATCTCACTCACCCACACACCGACTACCTCACTCCTACAGTCACTGGCTCACCCATTCACTTTCTCACAAACTCACCCACCATCTTACTCACCCACACACCGACTACCTCACTCCTACAGTCACTGGCTCACCCATTCACTATCTCACAAACTTACCCACACACCGACTACCTCACTCCTACAGTCACTGGCTCACCCATTCACTGTCTCACAAACTCACCCACACACCGACTACCTCACTCCTACAGTCACTGGCTCACCCATTCACTATCTCACAAACTCACCCACACACCGACTACCTCACTCCTACAGTCACTGGCTCACCCATTCACTGTCTCACAAACTCACCCACCATCTCACTCACCCACACACCGACTACCTCACTCCTACAGTCACTGGCTCACCCATTCACTGTCTCACAAACTCACCCACCATCTCACTCACCCACACACCGACTACCTCACTCCTAGTCACTGGCTCACCCATTCACTATCTCACAAACTCACCCTCCATCTCACTCACCCAAACACCGACTACCTCACTCTTACAGTCACTGGCTCACCCATTCACTATCTCACAAACTCACCCACCATCTCACTCACCCACACACCGACTACCTCACTCCTACAGTCACTGGCTCACCCATTCACTATCTCACAAACTCACCCACCACCTCACTCACCAACCCACCAACTACCTCACTCCTACAGTCACTGGCTCACCCATTCATGATCTCACAAACTCACCCTCCATCTCACTCACCCACACACCGACTACCTCACTCCTACAGTCACTGGCTCACCCATTCACTATCTCACAAACTCATCCACAATCTCACTCACCCACACACCGACTACCTCACTCCTACAGTCACTGGCTCACCCATTCACTATCTCACAAACTCACCCACCATCTCACTCACCCACACACCGACTACCTCACTCCTACAGTCACTGGCTCACCCATTCACTATCTCACAAACTCACCCACACACCGACTACCTCACTCCTACAGTCACTGGCTCACCCATTCACTATCTCACAAACTCATCCACAATCTCACTCACCCACACACGAACTACCTCACTCCTACAGTCACTGGCTCACCCATTCACTATCTCACAAACTCATCCACAATCTCACTCACCCACACACCAACTACCTCACTCCTACAGTCACTGGCTCACCCATTCATGATCTCACAAACTCACCCACCATCTCACTCACCCACGCACCTACTACCTCACTCCTACAGTCACTGGCTCACCCATTCATGATCTCACAAACTCACCCAACACCTCACTCACCCACACACCAACTACCTCACTCCTACAGTCACTGGCTCACCCATTCACTTTCTCACAAACTCACCCACCACCTCACTCACCCACACACCAACTACCTCACTCCTACAGTCACTGGCTCACCCATTCACTTTCTCACAAACTCACCCACCATCTCACTCACCCACACACCAACTACCTCACTCCTACAGTCACTGGCTCACCCATTCACTATCTCACAAACTCACCCACCATCTCACTCACCCACACACCGACTACCTCACTCCTACAGTCACTGGCTCACCCATTCACTATCTCACAAACTCATCCACCATCTCACTCACCCACACACAAACTATCTCACTCCTACAGTCACTGGCTCACCCATTCACTTTCTCACAAACTCACCCACCACCTCACTCACCCACACACCAACTACCTCACTCCTACAGTCACTGGCTCACCCATTCACTATCTCACCCACCATCTCACTTATCCACATACCGACTACCTCACTCCTACAGTCACTGGCTCACCCATTCACTATCTCACAAACTCACCCACCACCTCACTCACCCACACACCAACTACCTCACTCCTACAGTCACTGGCTCACCCATTCACTATCTCACCCACCATCTCACTCATCCACACACCGACTACCTCACTCCTACAGTCACTGGCTCACCCATTCACTATCTCACAAACTCACCCACCACCTCACTCACCCACACACCGACTACCTCACTCCTACAGTCACTGGCTCACCCATTCACTATCTCACAAACTCACCCACCATCTCACTCACCCACACACCGATTACCTCACTCCTACAGTCACTGGCTCACCCATTCCCTGTCTCACAAACTCACCCACCATCTCACTCACCCACACACCGACTACCTCACTCCTACAGTCACTGGCTCACCCATTCACTATCTCACCCACCATCTCACTCACCCACACACCGACTACCTCACTCCTACAGTCACTGGCTCACCCATTCACTATCTCACAAACTCACCCACCATCTCACTCACCCACACACCGACTACCTCACTCCTACAGTCACTGGCTCACCCATTCACTATCTCACAAACTCACCCACCATCTCACTCACCCACACACCGACTACCTCACTCCTACAGTCACTGGCTCACCCATTCACTATCTCACAAACTCACCCACCATCTCACTCACCCACACACCGACTGCCTCACTCCTACAGTCACTGGCTCACCCATTCACTATCTCACAAACTCACCCTCCATCTCACTCACCCACACACCGACTACCTCACTCCTACAGTCACTGGCTCACCCATTCACTATCTCACAAACTCACCCACCATCTCACTCACCCACACACCGACTACCTCACTCCTACAGTCACTGGCTCACCCATTCACTGTCTCACAAACTCACCCACACACCGACTACCTCACTCCAAAAGTCACTGGCTCACCCATTCACTATCTCACAAACTCACCTACACACCAACTACCTCACTCCTACAGTCACTGGTTCACCCATTCACTGTCTCACAAACTCACCCACCACCTCACTCACTCAACCACCTACCCATCTACTACCTCACCTACCCACTATCCCACAAACCTGCCCACTATGTATGTTGAGGCAGTACAGTCTAGCATGTGAAGATGGACTACCCTGAAGATCACACAGTTCACACAGAAGATCGTAACTCCTATACTGTACGACGGTCGTAGCACTAAGATGATCATAACTCCCATACTTTAACATACAATTACAACAGTTGATATACTAAGACGATCACAACGCCCATATCTTAACATTGTTTGTTTGTTGTATAACACACTCAGTAATATTCCAGCTTTATGATGGCGGTCTGTAAATAATCGAGTAATTGACATTATTAGCATCGATCTATGCAATTGGGCAATGTCGCCTATTACAACAAGCATACTTTAACATAAACAGTCATATCACTAAGACAATCTCATTAAAATCAGATCTTAGTTCTCGCTGTCGCTAAACAAAGATCTGAGGACATCCCATTATGGGTCACATCAGACCGACCTTGCGCGAACTTTGACCGACCAATGGAATGACCAATCAGAAGGCAGCTTTCTCGTGCCTTACCGCATTAATTTCAAGTTGGCGACTACGCTTTGAAACTTATTTTTACAAATTCTCAAATACAAATTTGAAACCTGAACAAAAGAACATTCTGGAATGGCTAATAGATGATCTAGATTGTATGAATACAGTCGTTAAACCCGTAACTATCGTTCGGAGTTAAAGTTTTCGAGGCTGCATGATCAGAAATCACATTACGACTGTCACTTTCATAATCTGGTAAGGGATGCTCTGATTGGTCGGATGAAAGGTCGTTCTGACGTGACCCCTAAATGAGATGTCCTCAGATCTTTGTTTAGCTGTAGGGAGAACTGAGGTCTGATATTAATGAGATTGATCACTAAGACAATCGTAACAACCGCACCTTAACATAGACTTACGACAGTCACAGATCTATGATCGCTCTGAGAAACTGGACCCAGGTGTAAATGCTACTTGCATTCACCATACAGGGGGGCATGGGTGACCCAGTCATATAAGGTGTCGCAATTTGCTATGCAGAGTTGCGTCCCTTGGGCACATCAGAAACCTATGATTGTGGGTTTGAATCCTGGTTCGCCCTGATTATGTTTCTACCCGTGCTCGTGGGTTTCACCAAACTCACTCACTCACCATACAGATGGCTCGGGAGTATAGTCTTCGTCGATTTCCTCCAGGCAAAATGCGCCATCACTAGTTCGATATTTCAGCAACTCCGCAACGCCTGAAAGAACATGGGCTAGTAACATCCGATAAAGCTTGCAGTCCAAATGTGCCGACATCCCATATCTTGTCAACATAAATTTGGTTCGAGGCCAAGATGGACAAGCATGCACTGCTAAATATAACTGTTCACAGTCACCTTACTGCCAATCCTTACCTGTATTGTAGCCAAGTGATCAAAACTCAATGATGATGTTTATCGCTAACAAAATGGATTTCTTTATTTTGATTTCTTTAAAGGCGTACTTTGCATTTTTTGTCATTACTGTGAGTAAGAGTCCTTACCAACTGGAATGGCTTGTTTTTACTGTATAAATATAAGCTAACATGCAGCTACCCTTGTGTAATTAATAATCAAAATACGAGATTTGTGATTCTATTTTTAGCGGTGAGGACCATGGTATGCTACCTACCATATCATGCATATCTGGTTATATCATGATTGATTCTGTCAGTTCTCAAAAACATCATTCTGTTGAATGATGGCCAGTGGCAGATGCATATCGATAGTATTATTGTCAAAGTTAGACCAATGATTGACTGTTAAGAAGCTTGACATATCGTCTTCAAAGGAATAGCCTCCAAACTTTATGTAACTCATTTATTTGACAATCATATGACCATAAGGATTACATCAGAAATAACTATACAAAGAATCAAGAAATGCTATAAGAAAAAAAACCTTCATTTAGATGCATTAATAAACAATTGTTGATTTGTCAGAAGAGTGACTCATTCTAAAATATATAATGAAACAGGCCAGTTATTTCATCTCCAAGGTAATAAAATGTGTGTCTTTCATAAAATGTTAACAGAACGTCATATCTAGTTCCAGTAAATGTGTGGGTCAGTACCACACATGCTGCAAGGTCCACATACTCCAAATTCCATTTTGCTGTACAGAAACATATAAAACATCATTTTTTTTCATGTTTGCTATACTCGACTGTAATATGTTGAATGCCACTCTACAATGAACATAATTTTTGTCTTTTCTTAAAAAACACTTATAATAAAAATATATCAAGCAAAATAAATCACATATTCAAAATATATGGAACTAGAGTTAATCAGATTACTCATCGTAAACTTCAACTTGGTTGTTGCGACCTAAATGGGCACAAATTTGATCATGTTATTATAGTGATATGTCAACTTGTAGCTGGGTCTTCTATTTCTGTCATGTAAAACCCAACCGTTTTTTTCTAGAATAGGAGATACAGTATAACAAATGGGAATTCAGATTTGCTAGATACATTAAATTTCGACATTATTGATTCTGAACATGTGTATTTTACCCAGACAATTTCCGTAGACCACCATCATGTTATGTCGAAATTAAGTGTTACTACCATTTCATTGGAATAAAATATTTTTAAAGAAAGTATTCACCCTCTCTCTCTCTCTCTCTCTTTCTCTCTCTCTCTCTCTCTCTCTCTCACACACACACACCATATCGTATGTGGAGTCTTCCCTTGTTGAGCACTTCAGGGGTCAGCGAGTTTAGTCTTGACAGATACTGTAAACCATAGCAGCTCGGCGCCAACTCCATCATCAGGCTGTCGGCACTGTCGAACATGGATGGGAATGTGCTGCCAATAACGATGTTGCTGATGACGTCACCAAGTAGATCTCCTGTTGATCGATAATTAAACTTAATGATTTACTTCATTGATTTACTCTACTGACGGACAAAGTAACTGTGCTTCATGTTAAGTTTTACAAAAATAAACTGAACAGCATTGAAAACGCACCAGCAATAAATCTTGAAATATTACAAAAACAACTTAAGCAATGACCGATTTTGATTAGAACAGACATAGACGGATTATTAAGACAGAGGACAAAGGAAACAGGAATACCACACAGTAATTACAATTACGTCATCAGTGTAAGGAAGACACATAGGGTTAAAATGAAAAGTCAATATCTGGTATGTCCGCCATTGAAAGCAACACAGGCCATGCAACGTCTTCTCATTGATCGAATAAGTCTGCGAATAGTGTTCTGGGGCATTCCACTCTTGACGTAGTGTATCTTCAAGTTCTCTCAGGTTCTGTACTTGCGGACGACGTGAGAGGCGTTGACCCAGGTAATCCCATAGATGTTCAATTGGCGATAGATCGGGTGACAGGGCTGGCCATGGAAGCAGAGGCACATTATTGTTCACTAGGTACTGTGTTGAAACACGTGCTGTGTGCGCTCTTGCATTATCTTGCTGGAAGGTGTGCCTATCCTGGTGCTGTTGAAAGAATGGGATGACGTGATTTGCCAATATGTTATTCCTGTAGTAAAGGGCATTAACTCTTCCACGACAAATATGGAGCTCTGTTCGATGGTTATGACTGATGCCGCCCCACACCATGACACTCCCTCCCCCCAATCGATCTGTCTGTACAACGCAGTCATTGTGGTAATGTTCTCCATGTCAACGCCACACTCGCAGTCGACCGTCAGCATTCCGTAAATGAAAACAGGACTCATCAGAGATCAGCACACCATGCCACTGCCGCAATCTCCAATGACGATGCCTTTTGGCCCAACGCAGACGTTCATTTCGATGTCGATCAGTGAGTATGGGTCCAACATATGGACGTCGAGCACGTAGCCCTGCTACTGATCAATTCCGTCGGCCTTGTACGGTTGCTGCAGTCCTGGTAGCCGGAAGTGTACGATCACAAAGATGCCGACGAACAATATGGCGATCCTGACGTGGTGTAGTTACGTTGACCCGGACGTGGTCGATCTCTGGTGGTTCTTGTCTGCTGGTATCTGCTCAGTAGCCTGAGGGCTGTTGAATGATGGCATTGAAACCGTTGTGCAACGACTCTACTTGACGTACCCAAGCATGCCCAAGGCACGTTCACGTTCCTCTGCTGTTAATCTTGGCATTTCTTGTCCCTTTACCCTTTACGTCTGCAGCAACAAGTGATGTGGCTTTTAAAAGTCTGTCTTTTATAGCCCTACTCTGCATGCTTCCTGTGAAACAAAACATGTTTTCCATGATGTGCACGCAATTTGTTGCGTTTTGGCAATTTCGCGCACAAAAAATTTAGGAATGTGTTTTGACAAGCTGTTCTTCTTCATGCTTTGTCCAGAACATTGTATATTACTCATTCACTTATATATTTTCATATGACTTAAGCCCAGATAAAAATACATCCATTTTCATCGTGGTGCGTTTTCAATGCTGTTCAGTATATATTTATTCTCAAATTTTGGAGATGTTATTTACAGCAGAACAACACTCATGACTTGCCACAGGCCAGTTGTCACGTGTGACGTCACTTGAACAAGAAAACAGTATTCATCTTCGGAATTGATACCAAACTGCCCAATAAAGAGGTTGGCCAATTCCGGAGTTGAGACAATTAGTGGCAAAGCTGTACGCAACCGGTTGAGGGAGCACAACATTTCAGGGACACACCCAACTTTGTCAGTTTAGAGGTGGAAGTGTACTGGTCACAACTCACTGGAGAACACAACTCATCATTGTAAAGGCAATTTGAATGGGGTACGCTACCAGGACATCGTTAGATTATGTTCTACCCTTTGTGCAAATGCAGGGATGTGACTAAACGTTGCAGCAAGATAATGCCCGCCCACACGACAGGGCTAGAACAAGCCAGTTATGCTTGCTCCGTTTGGCCAATCTTGGTTGACATTTGCAACCACATCCCCCAGGCTGTTTTCAGTCATATGGTGTCTTCAATGTGCTGTTGCTGCAAATGGTGGTCACACTAATATTGACATTGTTAACCGAATGGTCTCACCACTCATCTTTTAGGGCTTGTTGTTCTGTCACTTATCACCAGGTATGGGTTCAGTCAAGGAATTTGTTATGATGAAATATTCATAAGATGAATTACCAAATATTATGATGGTATTTTCAATAACATAAAATCTACACAACATGAAGTACAGTTAATTTTTTCTGCAAGTACATATTATAGCATGGGTGAGTTCTAGGAATTCTTGAATGTTATGGGTTATGAATAAGTAGACACTGCAATTCCCAGTCTGCTCCTGAAAGCTTATGCACCAAGCAGTATGTCTATGAAACCACTCCTCGTCCCATATACAACAGTTTGAGTTGTGCGAGAACTCCTTTCTCATTTAAACAACATGCACTATGCAAAGGAGGAGGAGGAGGAGGAGGGATGACTATGTGGATAGCTCACCTGGTGGGCAGATGGGTCTGAAAGCTCACCTGGTAGGGAGATTGGTGTGATAGCTCACCTGGTTGGGAGATGTGTGTGACAGCTCACATGGTAAAGAGATGGGTGTGATAACTCTTATGGTGGAGAGATGGGTGTGATAGCTCACCTGGTGGACAGATGTGTGTGATAGCTCACATGGTGGGGAGATGTGTGTGATAGCTCACATGGTGGGGAGATATGTGTGATAGCTCACCTGATGGAAAGATTGGTGCGATACCTCTTATGGTGGAGAGATGGGTGTGATAGCTCACCTGGTGGACAGATGTGTGTGATAGCTCACATGGTGGGGAGATGTGTGTGATAGCTCACATGGTGGGGAGATATGTGTGATAGCTCACCTGGAGGAAAGATGGGAGTGATAGTTCACCTGGGTGTAGCTGTACAAAAACAACCTGTCGTAAATCTATGTCATGGTATGGTAGTTACCACCTTCTTAGGGTCAACATAGCTTTGTACAACAGTACCCTGGTGGAAAGATGGCTGAAGAGAAGGGTATGATAGCTCACCTGACGCTGTGATATGTATGTTTTCTGATTCTGGGATAGCCTCATCTGGAAACGCCATATGTATGCGGGTTTCCTGGACACGTCTATTTACCGATTCTGTAACATAATGTTGTGCACATGGAAACAAACCAAATAGGTATACTTAACAATAAAATTTCCACACTATAGAAATTTAACAGCATTTTTCTAAAAAAATATTCCTTTATTACACACATCCCCAAAATTACACACATTTCCTGATGTAACAAATTCCTGATGTAACAAATTCCCTGATTTACACATCCCTGATTATACACACCCCTGATTATACACATCCCTGATTATACACACCCCTGATTATACACATCCCTGATTATACACATTCCTGATTAAACATACATTCCTGATAATACACATCCCTGATTATACACATCCCTGATTATACACACCCCTGATTATACACATCCCTGTTTATACACATCCCTGATTATACACACCCCTGATTATACACATCTGATTATACACATCTCTGATTATACACATCCCTGATTATACACATCCCTGATTATACACATCACTGATTATAGACATCTCTGATAATACACATCTCTGATTATACACATCTCTGATTATGCACATCCCTGATTATACACATCCCTGATTATACACATCTCTGATAATACACATCTCTGATTATACACATCCCTGATTATACACATCCCTGATCATACACATCACTGATTATAGACATCTCTGATTATACACTTCCTTGATTATACACATTCCTGATTATACACACCCCTGATTATAAACACCCCTGATTATACACATCCCTGATTATACACATCCCTGATTATACACATCCCTGATAATACACATCTGATAATACACATCACTGATTATAGACATCTCTGATTATACACATCCCTGATTATAGACATCTCTGATAATACACATCCCTGATTATACACACCCCTGATTATACACATCCCTGATTATACACATCCCTCATTACACACATCTCTGATTATACACATCCCTGATTATACACATCCCTGATTATACACATCTCTGATTATACACATCCCTGATTATACACATCCCTGATTATACACATCACTGATTATAGACATCTCTGATAATACACATCTCTGATTATAGACATCTCTGATAATACACATCCCTGATTATACACACCCCTGATTATACACATCCCTGATTATACACATCCCTGATTATACACATCCCTCATTACACACATCTCTGATTATACACATCCCTGATTATACACATCCCTGATTATACACATCCCTGATTATACACATCTCTGATTATACACATCCCTGATTATACACATCACTGATTATAGACATCTCTGATAATACACATCTCTGATTATACACATCTCTGATTATACACATCCCTGATTATACACATCCCTGATTATACACATCACTGATTATACACATCTCTGATAATACACATCTCTGATTATACACATCCCTGATTATACACATCCCTGATCATACACATCACTGATTATAGACATCTCTGATTATACACTTCCTTGATTATACACATTCCTGATTATACACACCCCTGATTATAAACACCCCTGATTATACACATCCCTGATTATACACATCCCTGATTATACACATCCCTGATAATACACATCTGATTATACACATCACTGATTATAGACATCTCTGATTATACACATCCCTGATTATACACACCCCTGATTATACACATCCCTGATTATACACATCTCTGATTATACACATCTGATTATACACATCACTGATTATAGACATCTCTGATTATACACATCCCTGATTATACACATCCCTGATTATACACATCCCTGATAATACACATCCCTGATTATACACATCCCTGATTATACACATCCCTGATTATAGACATCTCTGATTATACACATCTGATTATACACATCACTGATTATAGACATCTGATTATACACATCCCTGATTATACACATCCCTGATTATACACATCCCTGATAATACACATCTGATTATACACATCACTGATTATAGACATCTCTGATTATACACATCCCTGATTATACACACCCCTGATTATACACATCACTGATTATAGACATCTCTGATTATACACATCCCTGATTATACACACCCCTGATTATACACATCCCTCATTATACACATCCCTGATTATACACATCCCTGATTATAGACATTCCTGATTATACACATCCCTGATTATACACATCCCTGATTGTACACATCCCTGATTATACACATCCCTGATTATAGACATCTCTGATTATACACATCTGATTATACACATCACTGATTATAGACATCTCTGATTATACACATCCCTGATTATACACACCCCTGATTATAAACACCCCTGATTATACACATCCCTGATTATACACATCCCTGATAATACACATCCCTGATAATACACATCTGATTATACACATCCCTGATTATACACATCACTGATTATACACATTCCTGATTACACACATCCCTTATTATACACATCCCTGATTATACACACCCCTGATTATACACATCCCTGATTATACACATTCCTGATTATACACATCCCTGATTAAACATACATTCCTGATTATACACATCCCTGATTATACACATCACTGATTATACACATCCCTGATTATACACATCTCTGATTATACACATCCCTGATTACACACATCACTGATTATACATATCACTGATAATACACATCCCTGATTATACACATCTCTGATTATACACATCCCTGATTATACACATCCCTGATTATACACATCCCTGATTATACACATCCCTGATTATATACATCAGTGATTATAGACATCTCTGATAATACACATCCCTGATTATACACATCCCTGATTATACACATCACTGATTATACACATCCCTGATTATACACATCCCTGATTATACAAACCCCTGATTATACACATCCCTGATTATACACATCCCTGATTATACACATCACTGATTATAGACATCTCTGATTATACACACCCCTGATTATACACATCCCTGATTATACACATCCCTGATTATACACATCTCTGATTATACACATCCCTGATTATACACATCCCTGATTATACACATTCCTGATTACACACATCCCTTATTATACACATTCCTGATTATACACATCCCTGATTAAACATACATTCCTGATTATACACACCCCTGATTATACACATCCCTGATTATACACACCCCTGATTATACACACCCCTGATTATACACATCCCTGATTATACACACCCCTGATTATACACATCCCTGATTATACACATCCCTGATAATACACATCCCTGATTAAACATACATCCCTGATTATACACACCCCTGATTAAACATACATTCCTGATTATACACATCCCTGATTATACACATCCCTGATTATACACATCCCTGATTAAACATATATTCCTGATTATACATATCATTGATTATACACATCCCTGATTATACACATCCCTGATTATACACATCCCTGATTAAACATACATTCCTGATTATACATATCATTGATTATACACATCCCTGATTATACACACCCCTGATTAAACATACATTCCTGATTATACACATCCCTGATTATACACATCCCTGATTATACACATCCCTGATTATACACATCCCTGATAATACACATCCCTGATTATACACAACCCTGATCATACACATCCCTGATTAAACATACATTCGTGATTATACACATCCCTGATAATACACATCCCTGATTAAACATACATTCCTGATTATACACATCCCTGATTAAACATACATTCCTGATTATACACATCCCTGATTATACACATCCCTGATTATACACATCCCTGATTATACACATCCCTGATAATACACATCCCTGATTAAACATACATCCCTGATTATACACACCCCTGATTAAACATACATTCCTGATTGTACACATCCCTGATTATACACATCCCTGATTATACACTTCCTTGATTATACACATCCCTGATTATACACATCCCTGATTATACACATCCCTGATTATACACATCACTGATTATACACATTCCTGATTATACACATCCCTGATTATACACATCCCTGATTATACACATCCCTGATTATACACATCCTTGATTATACACACCCCTGATTATACACATCCCTGATTATACACATCCCTGATTATACACACCCCTGATTATACACACCCCTGATTAAACATACATTCCTGATTATACACATCCCTGATTATACACATCCCTGATTATACAAATCACTGATTATACACACCCCTGATTATACACATCCCTGATTATACACATCCCTGATTATACACACCCCTGATTATACACACCCCTGATTAAACATACATTCCTGATTATACACATCCCTGATTATACACATTCCTGATTATACAAATCACTGATTATAAACACCCCTGATTAAACATACATTCCTGATTATACAAATCACTGATTATACACACCCCTGATTAAACATACATTCCTGATTATACAAATTATTGATTATAGACATCTCTGATTATACACATCCCTGATTATACATATCACTGATTATACACATTCCTGATTATACACATCACTGATTATACACATTCCTGATTATACACATCACTGATTATACACATCACTGATTATACACATTCCCTGGACATTTGTAAGCCAGAAACTAACCCTGCTTTAAAGGGAAAACCTATTGATGCAAAAACAAGTCCCGCTGACTCTCATTGCATGCACTGGTCACAAGTATGACTTAAAACCCTTACGTGTGACTGTGAGGTCATTCCTGGGTTTACCATTGGGGTCAAGGTTGAAGTTTATTGTTTTCTTGTTTGGTTCGCCTTCACTCTAAAAGTAAGAGTCAAGGTGGAGGTACACTGATTAAATAACACAGATTACACCATAGCTACAGGATATTTGTTTTCAAAACTATTTGTGAAATGGCAATGCAATCATAGAAGAATTATCCTGTCATATATCTTGTACATTTTCCATCTTGTGAATGGCACAATCACAGGTATAGTACTGACAACCCTAGAAATATAATCAGGGTGAATCCACAATCAAACCCATGATCATAAGTTTCTGCCATATCCCAGGGACATTGCGGTTAACAGCCGACTGAGTGTGCACACCATACTTGTGGATTGATTCCTATGGTATGGAGTGAATAAATATCATTTGACACTGCATTCATTACAGATTATTTGACATCATGAACATGATATTGGGTGTTGTAAATGTTGTAAACGATCCACGACAACTGTAAAAGATCGTACTGAAGAAATTCAGTGACTGAAAGCGTGGACAACTATCAACATCATGGGGAACGATAACACTCAATCACCCAAGTCACCTATCCACTTAATACCCTTTCAGCCCTATGACAAACTTGTACTGTTGGTCACTTCACATCTAGAATCCAAACATATTACTAGCATGTGCAGTACTACTAATACATAAAGCTTTGGGGTGGATGGGTAGCTTAGTGGGTAAAGTGTTCCCTTGTAAGCAGAAGATCCAGGTTCAATTCCCAACATTGGTACATGTATAAAGCCCATTCCTGGTGTCTCCCGCTGTGATATTGCTAGAATATTGCTAAAAGCATCATAAAACCATGCTCACTCACTCTCATGTCATATTTGAATATATAGAATAGCTATGTGATAAATCGCAAAGAACCGTAAAGAACGAAGCATTGTTATTTCATATATGTTCTATCATGACGTCATTTCTGGAGATTCGAAAATCCGCTCACAACTTGACGCTTTAGCGCTCGGTTCCAAACAAAAACACAGTAGGTTTATCTCCTACTTGGAAGACATTATTTTTGAGAGGGGAGTGTCTCATGAGTTGTTCCCCATAGACGGATAGCTGGGCAAAGCAGATAAACGCGATGGCCAAACGATAGCATCCAAAAGCAGGAGAGATATGACACACGGTAATGGGAGAAAAGACACAGGTAATCAATATGAGGATTGTGAGAATAAGCGGGAAATACCCACGCATGCATAAAAAGGGCTTTAAAACAAACTGGTCCAACATTGCTGGGGTCGGATAATATTGAGTGAGTCATCATTATTTAAATATTGTAAATAGTTTTAAAGCTTGTACATTTTATCATCATCCTTAAAGAGGCTGTATATGATGTTGATATCTCATGTAAGAAATAAACAACTCGCAGTCATGAAACAATGCAGAGAGAATAAACTACTCAGGGCTGCAACCCTCATGGTTTATTCTCCCTGCAGTGTTTTCTTGTACGATCAACAATGACCACGAGTCGTTTATTTCTTCAGTTGAAGTCAGTGTCATTGGCAGTTACATGGTTCTAATCTCTGTATGTGTTTGTCTTTGCAACCACTGCATTGAACCCAATACCTACCTCCAATATGTTTTAATTACCTGGAATACAAACACTGGTACAGGCATGCCAGTACTACTGATACGTAAAGCACTCGCAGAATGGTGACCAATTGATTGGTTTGCTCACTGATCAGTAGTTCTTGATGTATATGTTTTTACACTGCCTTACACTATTCAGAAACATGAAGATGTCTTTCACAAAGAACAGGTGTAACACTTTAACCACTAGGCTAGTATGGCCTTGTGGTTATGTAGTGGATGAGAGAGAGACGCATCTTCTTCACCATAGGTAAGTACTTAGTGAGTGAGTTTGCTTTTATGGCGCTTTAAACAGTCTTCAGTCATATCACGGCATATAAGCTAAATGTAGAAAACACAGTATTGCAGGTCATAGTCGTTTACCACTCTAGAAAAAAAACAAAAATGTTTTGTGTGGTGCCGATGAACCAACCATCTCAATCGTGTTGAATCGGCGATACAGCTCTACACTGCAAATTGCAGCATGTTTGACGACAGGGTCACATGAGTCACAAATATGTAATGAAACCATGCAGATCACACATAACACTTACAACCACCACCAGGTGTCGCTCAACTATGTCTTGTTTAACTCTACTCGCTGTGACAGCTGCTACTCGGATAACATATGTCCCAGGGTTTACGGGGAGGATGGAGAAAGATTCTGTTCTTTTCCCTCCATTCGGCACACTGAACGGCGGAATTGTCAGCTCATCCCCATCACAGTCCAGCATACATATCCCGTCTGCAGTTGCTGTCAAAGTCACCTGCAGTGAAGAGAAGATGTAAAGCAGATTGAAGAAGATGTAGAGAAGATGTAGTAGATGTAGAGAAGATGTAGTAGATGGAGAGAAGATGTAGAGAAGATGGAGAGAAGATGTAGTAGATGGAGAGAAGGTGTAGTAGATGTAGAGAAGATGTAGTAGATGTAGAGAAGATGTAGTAGATGGAGAGAAGGTGTAGTAGATGTAGTAGATGGAGAGAAGATGTAGTAGATGGAGAGAAGGTGTAGTAGATGTAGTAGATGGAGAGAAGATGTAGAGAAGATGTAGTAGATGGAGAGAAGATGTAGTAGATGGAGAGAAGATGTAGTAGATGGAGAGAAGATGTTGTAGATGTAGAGAAGATGTAGTAGATGTAGAGAAGATGTAGTAGATGGAGAGAAGATGTAGAGAAGATGTAGAGAAGATGGAGAGAAGATGTAGTAGATGTAGAGAAGATGTAGTAGATGGAGAGAAGATGTAGAGAAGATGTAGAGAAGATGGAGAGAAGATGTAGTAGATGGAGAGAAGGTGTAGTAGATGTAGAGAAGATGTAGTAGATGTAGAGAAGATGTAGTAGATGGAGAGAAGGTGTAGTAGATGTAGTAGATGGAGAGAAGATGTAGTAGATGGAGAGAAGGTGTAGTAGCTGTAGTAGATGGAGAGAAGATGTAGAGAAGATGTAGTAGATGGAGAGAAGATGTAGAGAAGATGTAGTAGATGTAGAGAAGATGTAGTAGATGGAGAGAAGATGTAGTAGATGGAGAGAAGATGTAGTAGATGGAGAGAAGATGTAGAGAAGATGTAGTAGATGGAGAGAAGATGTAGTAGATGGAGAGAAGATGTAGTAGATGGAGAGAAGATGTAGTAGATGGAGAGAAGATGTAGTAGATGGAGAGAAGATGTAGAGAAGATGTAGTAGATGGAGAGAAGATGTAGAGAAGATGTAGTAGATGGAGAGAAGATGTAGTAGATGGAGAGAAGATGTAGTAGATGGAGAGAAGATGTTGTAGATGTAGAGAAGATGTAGTAGATGTAGAGAAGATGTAGTAGATGGAGAGAAGATGTAGAGAAGATGTAGAGAAGATGTAGAGAAGATGTAGTAGATGTAGAGAAGATGTAGTAGATGGAGAGAAGATGTAGAGAAGATGTAGAGAAGATGGAGAGAAGATGTAGTAGATGGAGAGAAGGTGTAGTAGATGTAGAGAAGATGTAGTAGATGTAGAGAAGATGTAGTAGATGTAGAGAAGATGTAGTAGATGGAGAGAAGGTGTAGTAGATGTAGTAGATGGAGAGAAGATGTAGTAGATGGAGAGAAGGTGTAGTAGATGTAGTAGATGGAGAGAAGATGTAGAGAAGATGTAGTAGATGGAGAGAAGATGTAGTAGATGGAGAGAAGATTAAGTAGATGGAGAGAAGATGTAGTAGATGTAGAGAAGATGTAGAAGATGTAGTAGATGTAGAGAAGATGTAGTAGATGTAGTAGATGGAGAGAAGATGTGGTAGATGGAGAGAAGATGTAGTAGATGGAGAGAAGGTGTAGTAGATGTAGAGAAGATGTAGTAGATGTAGTAGATGTAGAGAAGATGTAGTAGATGGAGAGAAGATGTAGTAGATGGAGAGAAGATGTAGTAGATGGAGAGAAGATGTAGTAGATGGAGAGAAGATGTAGTAGATGGAGAGAAGATGTAGTAGATGGAGAGAAGATGTAGTAGATGGAGAGAAGATGTAGTAGATGTAGTAGATGTAGAGAAGATGTAGAAGATGTAGTAGATGTAGTAGATGTAGAGAAGATGTAGTAGATGTAGTAGATGGAGAGAAGATGTGGTAGATGGAGAGAAGATGTAGTAGATGGAGAGAAGATGTAGTAGATGTAGAGAAGATGTAGTAGATGTAGAGAAGATGTTGTAGATGTAGTAGATGGAGAGAAGATGTAGTAGATGGAGAGAAGATGTAGTAGATGTAGAGAAGATGTAGTAGATGTAGAGAAGATGTAGTAGATGGAGAGAAGATGTTGTAGATGTAGTAGATGGAGAGAAGATGTAGTAGATGGAGAGAAGATGTAGTAGATGTAGTAGATGTAGTAGATGGAGAGAAGATGTAGTAGATGGAGAGAAGATGTAGTAGATGTAGAGAAGATGTAGTAGATGGAGAGAAGATGTAGTAGATGTAGAGAAGATGTAGTAGATGGAGAGAAGATGTAGTAGATGGAGAGAAGGTGTAGATGTAGTAGATGGAGAGAAGATGTAGTAGATGGAGAGAAGATGTAGTAGATGTAGTAGATGTAGAGAAGATGTAGAAGATGTAGTAGATTGAGAGAAGATGTAGTAGATGGAGAGAAGATGTAGTAGATGTAGTAGATGTAGAGAAGATGTAGTAGATGTAGTAGATGTAGAGAAGATGTAGAAGATGTAGTAGATGGAGAGAAGGTGTAGTAGATGTAGTAGATGGAGAGAAGATGTCGTAGATGTAGAGAAGATGTAGTAGATGTAGAGAAGATGTAGTAGATGTAGAAGATGTAGTAGATGTAGAGAAGATGTAGTAGATGGAGAGAAGATGTGGTTGATGGAGAGAAGATGTAGCAGATGGAGAGAAGATGTAGTAGATGTAGAGAAGATGTAGTAGATGGAGAGAAGATGTAGTAGATGTAGTAGAAGGAGAGAAGATGTAGTAGATGTAGAGAAGATGAAGAGAAGATGTAGAGAAGATGTTGTAGATGTAGAGAAGATGTAGTAGATGGAGAGAAGATGGAGAGAAGATGTAGTAGATGGAGAGAAGATGTTGTAGATGGAGAGAAGATGTAGTAGATGGAGAGAAGATGTAGTAGATGTAGAGAAGATGTAGTAGATGTAGTAGATGGAGAGAAGATGTAGATGGAGAGAAGATGTAGTAGATGTAGAGAAGATGTAGTAGATGTCATAGATGGAGAGATGTGGTAGATGGAGAAAAGATGTAGTAGATGGAGAGAAGATGTAGTAGATGGAGAGAAGGTGTAGTAGATGTAGCAGATGGAGAGAAGATGTAGTAGATGGAGAGAAGATGTAGTAGATGGAGAGAAGGTGTAGTAGATGGAGAGAAGATGTAGTAGATGGAGAGAAGATGTAGATGTAGAGAAGATGTAGTAGATGTAGAGAAGATGTAGTAGATGTAGAGAAGATGTAGTAGATGGAGAGAAGATGTAGTAGATGCAGTAGATGGAGAGAAGATGTAGTAGATGGAGAGAAGATGTAGTAGATGTAGTAGATGGAGAGAAGATGTAGTAGATGGAGAGAAGATGTAGTAGATGTAGTAGATGGAGTGAAGATGTAGTAGATGGAGAGAAGATGTAGTAGATGGAGAGAAGATGTAGAGAAGATGCAAGGAAGTTGCAGAAAAGATTTAGTAGATGGAGGGAAGATGTATGGAAGTGGTAGAAAGGATTCAGTAAATGTTGAGAAGATGCAGTTGAGTGAGTGATTGGGGTTTTACGCCGCTCTTAGTTCTATTCCTGAGTCGGTGTCAACAGAAATGGGCTTAACACATTGTACCCATGTGGAACTAGAACACAGTTCTTTGGCATGACGAGCGCACACTTTTACCGTGAGGCTACACCAGGCTAAGGTGAATGAAAGAATTTTATATTTCTTTGTCAAATTTACTGAAAGTAATATTTATAATTTCGGTTTGGAAAATTTGTTGGAGACGAAATATATTTCAGTCTGAGCTTCAAAATAAATTTTATTACTACTCATCAAAGAGGGTTCAAACACATTTTGTTTTGTTATTCCTGTTTTCACAAAATGAAATAGTATTGAACATGGCATTAAACCCAACTCACTCATTCATTCAATTCAAGACATCACTCTTACCGTTGTATTGTAGCCGATGTAGCTTGAAACTGTGACATTGACCCTGACCTCCTCAAGCTTCACGGCCTTGAAGGGAAGTTGAACGTCAAGAAAGAAGTCTTGTGAAACTACAACTCGTATGGCGTTCGAGACACAGATACCCTGGTCTTGAGACACGCCCACTGCATGCATGACCCAGGTTGTGATTGAGTCAGGGTATTTCACATCACGGACTAAATTTCCACTTGCACTGAAACAGATCGCCAGTGTTGGTGTGAAATTGTGAGTGAGAGAGTAGGGTTTAAAGCCGCTTTTAACAGCAGCTTAATGTGGGAGGAAATCTCGAAGCGATGTAGGTCTCTGACACTTACCACGTTGGTGAAACCCATGAACCTGGTAATGGTGCTGACAAACCTAGAAACATAATCAGGGCCAACCGGGTTTCATAAACCACCATCATGTTTCTGGCATGACCAACAGACACAACTCTGCACAGCGAATTGTGGTGCCTTTGACGACTGGGCCACCATGTCCCGAGTGAGTTTGGTCTAACTTCGCATTGACCATTATTTATATACCACATGATGACGTGTCAGTCCATGGAAAGAAAGCACAAAATGATACAGGTCTTTCATTACAGACTTTGGTGAAATCCATGAGCATGAGCACTGAACAACCTAAAAACCTAATCATGGCAAATCTAGAATTAGCGCCCACAATCATAGCTTTCTGGCACACCTAAGGGCTGCAGCGCCTTAGGCGATTGAGGCTTGTCCTTAGTCTGAAGAGGCATTTCTGATTCCTGTGGTATAAAGTAAATGAATATGAATATGAGTCACCCATGTCCCTAGCTAACAAGAAGTAAAGATGACGTACTCAAGTATAGCTTCCTCAAAGAGCCAGGACTCAGGAAAGAAGGATCTCAGAATGCGCTCTTCCATCGGAGAGACGGTGTCCTCGCTATTGCGGGATGACATACGAGCGGTGGTCCACAAGTTGTGCTCTGCAATAATATAGAGGTCTTACTACAAGTAATGTACAGACAGGTGATGAGTCTACTCTGTGTAAGGTTAGGTGCGTAAAGTTGAACACTTATTATCATGTATGGAATAATGCAGAGTGAGGTAGGTGCACGTGAGGTGAGGTAAATGTTGCTTTCAAGACTATTGCACTTATATGTCAACGTGCATGTGTGTGCATGGCTGCTTGTAATAGTCTTGACTAATGCCGATTTTATAGTGCTAGCCTAATAAGATACCTTGCCACAGTTAAATATGAATAACCCACTCAGACACACTGTACTGAATGTAAGTGCCAGGCAGGGTAACAACAAGTACCATCTTTAAATGTCTTTTGGTGCGCTGCGGCCGGGAATCAAACCCACGACCTTTTGCTCTATGGGCAGACACTCTAGATTACACCATGGAGGTGGTCACATGACAGTCTTCATGCATCACGATTCAATATCCATGTGAGGGACTTTACTTTCATGTGTGAGATTATTCATTATGACTTTACTTTAGTGTGTGAGATTATTCATTGTGATTTTACTTACATGTGAGGGATGACTCAGTGTGACTCCAATGGTGGTATAGTAAAGAGGAAAGAAAAATGTTGTATGGTGAAGTCGATGTCAAAATATCTACTTATTATAACTGTCTTTGGTTGTTGTTTTCTATTCAAAGTGTTGGTCCAAGGGAAATAACTCACTTGTACATAAAGCATATAAGGCATTTTTTGCTGCAAAGTAATTATAATACAAATACAAAAATAATTCAGTGTCAGTCTTAGATACCTAGATAAAACCTATTTTGTGATATTCATCTGAAATTTGGGGATGTTCTAAGATAGGATTTATTGAACGATTTCATGTTAGATTTTGTAAATTTGCATTCCGAATAAGTTATCATGTCCCAAAGGTTGCTGTGCAAGGTGAATGTGGCAGACATGGTATATTTATTGATTATCATAAGAAATGTGTTAAAAATTTAAATATTGGCTGAAATTGTTATCAATTCCAAATACATATGTATTTTTTAGGGTCAATATTGTTTACACTTATCCTGATTCATACTTATTGCTTATCTCTACGTATTTGAGAACAGTGGTAGAAACTTTCTGAACTGTGTTCCCCGGAGAACAGGGAAAATATCTCACCCGAAACGCACCCCTGGACTGCGCATGCATCACACTCTCATTTCCCGTACTAAATTTGATCGAAACAGGGGCGGCTGGATGGGGGCTTTAGCATATGAGTCAGGATAAGTATAAATGATATTTTTATCCTAAAAAAATATTTTTTATCGTATCCTGACTCATACTTATTGCTTGAATCCTATAGTTGAGGTGTATTCCACCCGTTCGAAGTTCAGATCAAGATCTGTCCATTAAACTCCAGGGAATGTAAAATTCTACTTAATTTCTTCTTTGTATCAAACAGTGAACCACCTACTTCTCCTGAAAGAGAAGGGTCAATCTGTTAGATTTTGTGGGTTTGTAAAGTTCGCTAAAGGAAAGGGACTTTTCCTCTCTTACTTTGAACGACTCATGCTCAGCATTGCATAGTAAAACAGGGGAACATGGACTTTCAGTTGTTGGTTATGGAACAGTTACCATAAGTCAACGTGAATACTGGGTGAGTGTCCTGGTAATAAAGTCTACCTTCTGTTTGGCATCATAATTCTTCCGTGACCAGTAATGGTCAAAACTGGTAATCTCTGAGGTCATGGAAAGTGAAATCTCCAGGTACAACCTTCCATAATAGAGCAGTTTCTTAATAGAGCTAAAGTAGATGCTATGGCTCTTACTTCATGTGGGTTGGAGGGTGATGGTGGGGGGCTAATCCTGTAGGCTCTGCAGAATACTGAGGATCCTCAATAATGGAATGAACAGTCTTCTTACTCTTTCTCGTCTGGAGCTTGATATGTTTAGGTTGATGCTTAAAGCTCGAACTGGACATAGGGATAAATAAATCCTTGGTGTCCTCGGCTCCTAAGATTTATGAAAGTGGCGGAATATAAACTGTCCGACCAGTCTCGGTCCGAGATGGGCTGATGCATTCTCACCGCTTGGCAAATTGAGAACAAGAGAAACTGATTGTCTGAATCTCTGACATTCTAGCTGCCGTGGTTGATACTAGTAGAAATAACATCTTCTATGACGTTCAAAAGATGTTCAAAATCAGCTTGTTGTAAGGCTTAATTCGCTTCACTGGTAAGCACCACATTCAGATCCCAGGCGGAGGCTCTGAATTTCTTCTGTTGATCTTCAAGCCTGTTTGATCTTTGTAAGGCTAATAATTCTGGAACTTTGGTGAGCTTGATTCTGTTATGCGCTGTTAGAATGGAACTAACTGTTGTAAGTATGAACGTTGAACCTATGAGATTCCTTGTACGACGTATGTTCCCTATGTGAAGTTCGTAAACCTCTGGTGTGAGGATGAAGAAGACGGTCTGGCCAGTTTGGGAGTTTTACTGTTGGTTTCCCTGTTAGCGTGACAGGCTCTGGGAACCAAGTCTTTGCTGGCACAACCAAAAGCAGTAGTAGGTTGTTGGTCTGCCTGATTTTCTGATAATCAGCCTTTCCCAAGATAATGCCAGCGTGTTGACAGCCAACGGTAGAGGGTCCAGTACTGGTGAGACAAAGGTTGCTACCTGCATTTGAAATCTGGTTGCCAAGACATCCTCTGAGTTATTGATGCGGTGATTTCGTTCATCTCTTGACGAAGCGTAGAGAACATTTGGAGGGTATGCTGCATCAACATATCTGTTTTCACAAATTACCGATCCTCAAAAGTGAAAGATGACTTGTTCTTCCGGGTTGATTATCTCCATGTCTGCTTGTAGTTCTGGTGAAAAGGTGAAGGATTCCATCCCCTGGGTGCCCTTTAAGTGCTCCCGTTGTTATATCAAGCTGACAATGAAGGATGGTGCCTCAGTATAAATTACACCACATGACATCATTGGGGGTCAACTAAAGTTAGTGACCCATTCACATTGATGTATAGTGTCAGGCATTTGATCAGACAAGTAATCATGCAAACCAATATGTGAAGGTGCACTGCATATCTTGCATTAGGTCAGTTTGACCTAATTCCAGCATAGTCACATAGTTTGTTTACAGTCAGTGAAATCTTGACATGTGACATGCACAGATAACACAGAAAACTGCATTCTTGCCGCGGATGAGGTCCAATGCTCCACCCACTGACAATCCAGTGTGAACTGTATGGTTAATAGACAAAGTGATGTGTCGAGTTCTGAAGCATAACGGTGTACGTACAGTCAGTTCCCTGTAGAATCTGTGACATGTCCAGTGCAGAAGCAATTTGATTTTCATGATATTTGTTGCATGTAGGTAACTGCAAACTGTCAATATTTGACGAAGCTTTGCTGATCGTACTTGTGAAGTTTCGATGAATAACACAGTTGATGTCTACCTTGTCTTGATGTCCATGAATGACTGATCCTCTTGGTACAGATACGCTGAAGCAATAATGTACTGCAATCACTTTAGCAGGGTTTGGATCCCGAGGTGAGAATCATGACAGTTATGAATGATAATGAGAGAATTTGGGTACCTAAAAAAAAAGCTAAAAAGCTGCCTATGTGAAGGTCTATGGCTGCCTTTGTGAAGGTATGAAGTTGCCTATGTGAAGGTCTGTGGCTGCCTGTGTGAAGGTCTGTGGCTGCCTGTGTGAAGCTCTGTGGCTGCCTGTATGAAGGTCTGTGGCTGCCTATGTGAAGGTCTGTGGCTGCCTATGTGAAGGTCTGTGGCTGCCTGTGTGAAGGTCTGAAGTTGCCTATGTGAAGGTCTGTGGCTGCCTGTGTGAAGCTCTGTGGCTGCCTATGTGAAGGTCTGTGGCTGCCTATGTAAAGGCCTGTGGCTGCCTATGTGAAGGTCTGTGGCTGCCTGTGTGAAGGTCTGAAGCTGCCTGTGGGAAGATCTGTGGCTGCCTATGTAAAGGTCTGAAGCTGCCTGTGTGAAGGTCTGAAGCTTCCTATGTGAAGGTCTGAAGCTGCCTGTGTGAAGGTCTGAAGCTTCCTATGTGAAGGTCTGTGGCTGCCTATGTAAAGGTCTGAAGCTGCCTGAGTGAAAGTCTGAAGCTGCCTATGTGAAGGTCTGTGGCTGCCTATGCGAAGGTCTGAAGCTGCCTGTGTGAAGGTCTGAAGCTTCCTATGTGAAGGTCTGTGGCTGCCTATGTAAAGGTCTGTGGCTGCCTGTGTGAAGGTCTGTGGCTGCCTATGTAAAGGTCTGTGGCTGCCTATGTGAAGGTCTGTGGCTGCCTATGTAAAGGTCTGAAGCTGCCTGTGTGAAGGTCTGAAGCTTCCTATGTGAAGGTCTGTGGCTGCCTATGTAAAGGTCTGAAGCTGCCTGAGTGAAAGTCTGAAGCTGCCTATGTGAAGGTCTGTGGCTGCCTATGTGAAGGTCTGAAGCTGCCTGTGTGAAGGTCTGTGGCTGCCTGTGTGAAGGTCTGTGTCTGCCTGTGTGAAGGTCTGAAGCTTCCTATGTGAAGGTCTGTGGCTGCCTATGTAAAGGTCTGTGGCTGCCTGTGTGAAGGTCTGAAGCTGCCTATGTGAAGATCTGTGGCTGCCTATGTGAAGGTCTGAAATTGCCTATGTGAAGGTCTGAAGCTGCCTGTGTGAAGGTCTGTGGCTGCCTATGTGAAAGTCTGTGGCTGCCTGTGTGAAGGTCTGTGTCTGCCTGTGTAAAGGTATGAAGTTGACTATGTGAAGGTCTGTGGCTGCCTATGTGAAGGTCTGAAGCTGCCTATGTGAAGGTCTGTGACTGTATGAAGGCTTGAAATCTATTACTGTGTGCTGCTGCATAACAAGTAAACACTTGCTAGGTAACACAAATTACTAATGTGCATAAGTATATGAAGCTGGTATCGTATTTTGCAAAAAGTTAGGCTGCGTGCATCTTAAAGGCTACGTGAAAGCTGAAAACTGTGAGAACTTTGAGGGTTGCATGAATCCTTGCGACTGCATGCCATTGACTGCTGCATGAACTTCTGGGACTGTGTGCAGTTTGCCTGAAAGGCTGCGTGAACCCAAGAGGCTTTGAACAGGTGGGCTTTGTGAACCCCTGTTAATGTGAAAGGAGTGGTGGCTGTGCAAAGGAAACGGCCTCAGAGTAGGTTGCTGTGTGAGGTCTTCTGCGTGCAGGGTGGCTGCATGAACCCTAGAGGCTGCGAGCAGGGAAGTACCTGCACAAACCCCCGCACCTGTTAAAAGGCTGGTGTGTTGGTTGCTGCAAGACGGTCTTCTGTGTGCATGGTGGCTGCGTGAACCTGGCAGGCTGCGAGAACCCAAGAGGCTTCACTCAGGTGGGATGCGGGAACCATTGCACCTGTCAAAGGGATGGTTGCTGTGGGAACCATTGCACCTGTCAAAGGGCTGGTGGCTGCGGGAACCACTGCACTTGAGAAAGGGCTGGTTGCTGTGGGAACCACTGCACCTGTCAAAGGGCTGGTGGCTGTGGGAACCACTGCACTTGAGAAAGGGCTGGTTGCTGTGGGAACCACTGCACCTGTCAAAGGGCTGGTTGCTGTGGGAACCACTGCACCTGTCAAAGGGCTGGTGGCTGTGGGAACCACTGCACTTGAGAAAGGGCTGGTTGCTGTGGGAACCACTGCACCTGTCAAAGGGCTGGTGGCTTCACAAAAGTTAATGCCTCAGTGTAGGTTTCTGTGTGAATGTTCCCTTCTCAGCTGCAGCAGTTCTTTCATGATATTCACATTAGCATGGACGTGTTAATGAAGTAAAAGAAGGCTTCTTCAGCAATTGTAGATTCTTATTCTCGTTGCAGGTAAACAACTTCAGGTCGGGTGCATGTTTTACAGGGGTGTCAACAATTCTGCTGCAGGGAATTTGACTACTGAGGGATGTCTCAGTGTGACTACTTACTTGTGAGGGATGTCTCAGTGTGACTACTTACATGTGAGGGATGTCTCAGTGTGACTACTTACATTTGAGAGATTTCTCAGTGTAACTTCTTACACAAGAGGGATGACTCAGTGTGACTACTTACATATGAGGAATGACTCAATGTGACTACTTACATGTGAGGGATGATTCAGTGTGACTACTTACATGTGAGGGATGATTCAGTGTGACTACTTACATGTGAGGGATGTCTCAGTGTGACTACTTACATGTGAGGGATGATTCATTGTGACTACTTACATGTGAGGGATGATTCAGTGTGTGACTACTTACATGTGAGGGATGTCTCAGTGTGACTACTTACATTTGAGGGATGACTCAGTGTGACTACTTACATGTGAGGGATGTCTCAGTGTGACTAATTACATGTGAGGGATGACTCAGTGTGACTACTTACATGTAAGGGATGTCTCAGTGTGACCACTTACATGTGTAGGATGACTCAGTGTGACTACTTACATGTTAGGGATGTCTCAGTGTGACCACTTACATGTGTAGGATGACTCAGTGTGACTACTTACATGTGAGGGATGTCTCAGTGTGACCACTTACATGTGTAGGATGTCTCAGTGTGACTACTTACATGTGAGGGATGACTCAGTGTGACTACTTACATGTGTGGGATGTCTCAGTTTGACTACTTACATGTGTGGGATGACTCAGTGTGACTACTTACATGTAAGGGATGACTCAGTGTGACTACTTACATGTGAGGGATGTCTCAGTGTGACTATTTACATGTGAGGGATGTCTCAGTGTGACTATTTACATGTAAGGGATGTCTCAGTGTGACTACTTACATGTGAGGGATGTCTCAGTGTGACTACTTACATGTGAGGGATGTCTCAGTGTGACTACTTACATGTGAGGGATCTCTCAGTGTGACTACTTACATGTAAGGGATGTCTCAGTGTGACTACTTACATGTGAGGGATGACTCAATGTGACTACTGACATGTGTGGGATGTCTCAGTGTGACTACTTACATGTGAGGGATGACTCAGTGTGACCACTTACATGTAAGGGATGTCTCAATGTGACTCTACTTACATGTGAGGGATCTCTCAGTGTGACTACTTACATGTAAGGGATGTCTCAGTGTGACTCTACTTACATGTGAGGGATGTCTCAGTGTGACTACTTACATGTAAGGGATGTCTCAGTGTGACTACTTACATGTGAGGGATGACTCAGTGTGACTACTTACATGTAAGGGATGTCTCAATGTGACTCTACTTACATGTGAGGGATGTCTCAGTGTGACTACTTACATGTGAGGGATGTCTCAGTGTGACTACTTACATGTAACGGATGACTCAGTGTGACTACTTACATGTGTGGGATGTCTCAGTGTGACTACTTACATGTAAGGGATGACTCAGCGTGACCACTTACATGTGAGGGATGACTCAGTGTGACTACTTACATGTGAGGGATGTCTCAGTGTGACTACTTACATGTGAGGGATGACTCAGTGTGACTACTTACATGTAAGGGATGTCTCAGTGTGACTACTTACATGTGAGGGATGTCTCAGTGTGACTACTTACATGTGAGGGATGTCTCAGTGTGACTACTTACATGTGAGGGATGACTCAGTGTGACTACTTACATGTGAGGGATGTCTCAGTGTGACTACTTACATGTGAGGGATGTCTCAGTGTGACTACTTACATGTGTGGGATGTCTCAGTGTGACTAATTACATGTGAGGGATGTCTCAGTGTGACCACTTACATGTGTAGGATGACTCAATGTGACTCTACTTACATGTGTGGGATGACTCAATGTGACTACTTACATGTGTAGGATAACTCAATGTGACTCTACTTACATGTGTGGGATGTCTCAGTGTGACTACTTACATTGGAGGGATAACTCAATGTGACTACTTACATGTGTGGGATGTCTCAGTGTGACTACTTACATGTGAGGGATGACTCAGTGTGACTACTTACATGTGAGGGATGACTCAATGTGACTCTACTTACATGTGTGGGATGACTCAGTGTGACTACTTACATGTAAGGGATGTCTCAGTGTGACTACTTACATGTGAGGGATGTCTCAGTGTGACTACTTACATGTGAGGGATGTCTCAGTGTGACTACTGACATGTGTGGGATGACTCAGTGTGACTACTTACATGTGAGGGATGACTCAGTGTGACTACTTACATGTGAGGGATGACTCAGTGTGACTACTTACATGTAAGGGATGTCTCAGTGTGACTACTTACATGTGAGGGATGTCTCAGTGTGACTATTTACATGTGAGGGATGTCTCAGTGTGACTATTTACATGTGAGGGATGACTCAGTGTGACTACTTACATGTAAGGGATGTCTCAGTGTGACTACTTACATGTGAGGGATGTCTCAGTGTGACTATTTACATGTGAGGGATGTCTCAGTGTGACTACTTACATGTGAGGGATGTCTCAGTGTGACTATTTACATGTGAGGGATGTCTCAGTGTGACTACTGACATGTGTGGGATGACTCAGTGTGACTACTTACATGTGTAGGATGACTCAGTGTGACTACTTACATGTAAGGGATGTCTCAGTGTGACTACTTACATGTAAGGGATGTCTCAGTGTGACTACTTACATGTGAGGGATGACTCAGTGTGACTACTTACATGTAAGGGATGTCTCAGTGTGACTACTTACATGTGAGGGATGACTCAGTGTGACTACTTACATGTAAGGGATGTCTCAGTGTGACTACTTACATGTGAGGGATGACTCAGTGTGACTACTTACATGTAAGGGATGTCTCAGTGTGACTACTTACATGTGAGGGATGACTCAGTGTGACTACTTACATGTAAGGGATGTCTCAGTGTGACTACTTACATGTGAGGGATGTCTCAGTGTGACTACTTACATTGGAGGGATGACTCAGTGTGACCACTTACATGTGTAGGATGACTCAGTGTGACTACTTACATGTGTGGGATGACTCAGCGTGACCACTTACATGTGAGGGATGTCTCAGTGTGACTACTTACATGTGAGGGATGTCTCAGTGTGACTACTTACATGTGAGGGATGACTCAGTGTGACTACTTACATGTAAGGGATGTCTCAGTGTGACTACTTACATGTGAGGGATGTCTCAGTGTGACTACTTACATGTGTGGGATGACTCAATGTGACTACTTACATGTGAGGGATGACTCAGTGTGACTACTTACATGTAAGGGATGTCTCAGTGTGACTACTTACATGTGAGGGATGTCTCAGTGTGACTACTTACATGTGTGGGATGACTCAATGTGACTACTTACATGTGAGGGATGACTCAATGTGACTACTTACATGTGAGGGATGACTCAGTGTGACTACTTACATGTGTGGGATGTCTCAGTGTGACTACTTACATGTGAGGGATGACTCAGTGTGACTACTTACATGTAAGGGATGTCTCAGTGTGACTACTTACATGTGAGGGATGTCTCAGTGTGACTACTTACATGTGAGGGATCTCTCAGTGTGACTACTTACATGTGAGGGATGACTCAGTGTGACTACTTACATGTGAGGGATGTCTCAGTGTGACTACTTACATGTGAGGGATGACTCAGTGTGACTACTTACATGTGTGGGATGTCTCAGTGTGACTACTTACATTTGAGAGATGGTGACTCTACTTACTCTTATACAATGTGTCTCTCATTAAACATGAAGGGTACTTGTGTGATGGAATGTATATAGTGTTAAGTCATCACATACAAGTGATATAGGGATGTATATTTACCAAACAGAGGCACGTTACTCCTGATGTTTCCATACACCAACTTGAACCCTGCAGCCTGTCAACAGCAACGTCAGCTCAATTTAATGTCGCACCTCGCTTATCCTCTAACATGTGGGACATAAAAGTTGAAGCAGTATCACTAGGTTGGTTGTTTGTTGTTTAACGCCGCACTCAGCAATATTCCAGCTATATGACGGCGGTCTGTTTATAATCGAGTCTGGACCAGCATCAATCCACGCAATTGGGATACGATGACATGCATCAACCAAGTCAGCGAGCCTGACCACCTGATCTCGATAGTCGCCTCTTACAGTATCACTAAGGGAACATGTGGTTTAATAAGTCCCACGTTAGGTTTTATACCAGCCGGACCAATGAAATGACTGACAGGAAGTTTACATAAGCAACTAAGAAAGCTGCTTTATTGACGTTTGCAGCATTAGTTTCAACCTGTCGACGACTAGGCTCTCAAATTTATTTTGAATCAGTCATACAGCCTGTAACAGTAATTCGGAATACCCTGTGTGAAGCATTTGAGGTTGCATAATTAGAAAACATATTCTGCTGACAATATAACATAACAATATGATTATTTCCTGTTTAATTATTTTATAGCAATGTATATGTACTGTTATCTATCATGATATTGTCTGATTTTCAATTGCGAACGTTGATGCTACATAATTTTGTTTATACGACATACTCACAGGTGAACAGGATTTGATTGAATATATTTTGTTTCAGGTAAATATCGTCCAGTGGGCGAGATTTCCGGATATCTGGGGTCGGGATAGAAGGGTTCCACAGTTCTAACATGAAAGTCAAAAGTGAAGATGAATACTAGGACCAATATTGAAACAACCTGGGAAACACTCACCTCAAAAATCTTCCAACTATTCGCTGCAGATCCAGATCCAGATCCGAAGTCATGACTGTCAAGGTCATTAAACATCTGCCAACAAGAAAAGTGTAGGGGCAAAGCAGTTGTAGTGATGGCGATGGTAGCATTAGTTGTAGTGATGGCGATGGTAGTGTAAGTTGAAGTGATGGTGATGGTAGCATTAGTTGTAGTAATGGCGATAGTAGCGTTTGTTGTAGTGATGGCAATCGTAGCGTTAGTTGTATTGATGGCGATGGTAGCGTTGGTTGTTTGTGATGGCGATGGTAGCGTAAGTTGAAGTGAATGTGATGGTAGCATTAGTTGTAGTGATGGCGATGGTAGCATTAGTTGTAGTGATGGCGATGGTAGCGTTAGTTGTAGTGAGTGAGTTGATCAGTGTATTTCAGTTATATGATGGTGTAGTATGGGCAGTAGTAGGTGTACTGGTACTGAAGTGGTGGTCAGTAAGTGAGTGAGTATGGTCTTTTGACCCGATCTGAAGTCATGACTGTCAAGGTCATTAAACATCTGCCAACAACAAAAGTGTAGGGGCAAAGCAGTTGTAGTGATGGCGATGGTAGCGTTAGTTGTAGTGATGGCAATGGTAGCTTTAGTTGTAGTGATGGCAATGGTAGTGTAAGTTGAAGTGATGGTGATGGTAGCGTTAGTTGTAGTGATGGCGATTGTAGCTTTAGTTGTAGTGATGGCGCTGGTAGCATTAGTTGTAGTGATGGCGATTGTAGCATTAGTTGTAGTGATGGTGATGGTAGCATTAGTTGTTGTGATGGCGATGGTAGCAATAGTTGAAGTGATGGAGATGGTAGCATTAGTTGTAGTGATGGCGATGGTAGCGTTAGTTGTAGTGATGATGATGGTAGCGTTAGTTGTAGTGATGGCGATGGTAGCGTTAGTTGTAGTGATGGCGATGGTAGCAGTAGTTGTAGTGATGGCGATGGTTACGTTAGTTGTAGTGATGGCGATGGTAGGGTTAGTTGTAGTGATGGTGATGGTAGCGTTAGTTGTAGTGATGGCGATGGTAGCATTAGTTGTAGTGATTGCCATTGTTGTGTTAGTTGTAGTGATGGCGATGGTAGGGTTAGTTGTAGTGATGGTGATGGTAGCGTTAGTTGTAGTGATGGCCATTGTTGTGTTAGTTGTAGTGATGGCGATGGTAGCAATAGTTGTAGTGATGGTGATGGTAGCATAAGTTGTAGTGATGGCGATTGCAGGGTTAGTTGTAGTGATGGCGATGGTAGCGTTAGTTGTAGTGATGGCAATGGTAGTGTAAGTTGAAGTGATGGTGATGGTAGCGTTAGTTGTAGTGATGGCGATTGTAGCTTTAGTTGTAGTGATGGCGCTGGTAGCATTAGTTGTAGTGATGGCGATTGTAGCATTAGTTGTAGTGATGGTGATGGTAGCATTAGTTGTTGTGATGGCGATGGTAGCAATAGTTGAAGTGATGGAGATGGTAGCATTAGTTGTAGTGATGGCGATGGTAGCGTTAGTTGTAGTGATGATGATGGTAGCGTTAGTTGTAGTGATGGCGATGGTAGCGTTAGTTGTAGTGATGGCGATGGTAGCAGTAGTTGTAGTGATGGCGATGGTTACGTTAGTTGTAGTGATGGCGATGGTAGGGTTAGTTGTAGTGATGGTGATGGTAGCGTTAGTTGTAGTGATGGCGATGGTAGCATTAGTTGTAGTGATTGCCATTGTTGTGTTAGTTGTAGTGATGGCGATGGTAGGGTTAGTTGTAGTGATGGTGATGGTAGCGTTAGTTGTAGTGATGGCCATTGTTGTGTTAGTTGTAGTGATGGCGATGGTAGCAATAGTTGTAGTGATGGTGATGGTAGCATAAGTTGTAGTGATGGCGATTGCAGGGTTAGTTGTAGTGATGGCGATGGTAGCGTTAGCTGTAGTGATGGCAATGGTAGTGTTAGCTGTAGTGATGGTGATGGTAGCGTTAGTTGTAGTGATGGCGATGGTAGCCTTAGTTGTAGTGATGGCCATTGTTGTGTTAGTTGTAGTGATGGCGATGGTAGCAATAGTTGTAGTGATGATGATGGTAGCATAAGTTGTAGTGATGGCGATGGCAGGGTTAGTTGTAGTGATGGCGATGGTAGCGTTAGCTGTAGTGATGGCAATGGTAGTGTTAGCTGTAGTGATACCGATGGTAGCGTTAGTTGTAGTGATGGCGATGGTAGCCTTAGTTGTAGTGATGGCCATTGTTGTGTTAGTTGTAGTGATGGCGATGGTAGCAATAGTTGTAGTGATGATGATGGTAGCATAAGTTGTAGTGATGGCGATGGCAGGGTTAGTTGTAGTGATGGCGATGGTAGCGTTAGCTGTAGTGATGGCAATGGTAGTGTTAGCTGTAGTGATACCGATGGTAGCGTTAGTTGTAGTGATGGCGATGGTAGCATTAGCTGTACTGATGGCAATGGTAGTGTTAGTTGTAGTGATGGCGATGGTAGTGTTAGCTGTAGAGATGGCGATGGTTGCACTAGTTGTAGTGATGGCGATGGTAGCATTAGTTGTAGTGATGGTGATGGTAGCGTTAGTTGTAGTGATGGCAATGGTAGCGTTAGTTGTAGTGATGGCGATGGTAGCGTTAGTTGTAGTGAGTGAGTTGATCAGTGTATTTCAGTTATATGATGGTGTAGTATGGGCAGTAGTAGGTGTACTGGTACTGTGGTGGTGGTCAGTAAGTGAGTGAGTATGGTCTTTTTCCCCCATCCGAAGTCATGACTGTCAAGGTCATTAAACATCTGCCGACAACAAAAGTGTAGGGGCAAAGCAGTTGTAGTGATGGCGATGGTAGCGTTAGTTGTAGTGATGGCGATGGTAGTGTAAGTTGTAGTGATGGTGATGGTAGCGTTAGTTGTAGTGATGGCAATGGTAGCCTTAGTTGTAGTGATGGCGATGGTAGCGTTAGTTGTAGTGATGGCGATGGTAGCGTTAGTTGTAGTGATGGCGATGGTAGCCTTAGTTGTAGTGATGGCGATGGTAGTGTTAGTTGTAGTGATGGCGATGGTAGCGTTAGTTGTAGTGAGTGAGTTGATCAGTGTATTTCAGTTATATGATGGTGTAGTATGGGCAGTAGTAGGTGTACTGGTACTGTGGTGGTGGTCAGTAAGTGAGTTAGTACGGTCTTTTTCCCCCATCCGAAGTCATGACTGTCAAGGTCATTACACATCTGCCGACAACAAAAGTGTAGGGGCAAAGCAGTTGTAGTGATGGCGATGGTAGCCTTAGTTGTAGTGATGGCGATGTCAGCGTTAGTTGTAGTGATGGCAATGGTAGCCTTAGTTGTAGTGATGGCGATGGTAGCGTTAGTTGTAGTGATGGCGATGGTAGTGTAAGTTGTAGTGATGGTGATGGTAGCGTTAGTTGTAGTGATGGCAATAGTAGCGTTAGTTGTAGTGATGGCGATGGTAGCATTAGTTGTTGTGATGGCGATGGTAGCGTTAGTTGTAGTGATGGCGATGGTAGCATTAGTTGTAGTGATGGCGATGGTAGTGTTAGTTGTAGTGATGACGATGGTAGCGTTAGTTGTAGTGATGGCGATGGTAGCCTTAGTTGTAGTGATGGCGATGTCAGCGTTAGTTGTAGTGATGGCGATGGTAGCGTTAGTTGTAGTGATGGCGATGGTAGCGTTAGTTGTAGTGATGGCGATGGTAGTGTAAGTTGTAGTGATGGTGATGGTAGCATTAGTTGTAGTGATGGCAATAGTAGCGTTAGTTGTAGTGATGGCGATGGTAGCATTAGTTGTTGTGATGGCGATGGTAGCGTTAGTTGTAGTGATGGCGATGGTAGCATTAGTTGTAGTGATGGCGATGGTAGTGTTAGTTGTAGTGATGACGATGGTAGCGTTAGTTGTAGTGATGGCGATGGTTGCATTAGTTGTAGTGATGCCGATGGTAGCGTTAGTTGTAGTGATGGCGATGGTAGCATTAGTTGTAGTGATGGCGATGGTTGCGTTAGTTGTAGTGATGGTGATGGTAGCGTTAGTTGTAGTGATGGTGATGGTAGCGTTAGTTGTAGTGATGGCCATTGTTGTGTTAGTTGTAGTGATGGCGATGGTAGCGTTAGTTGTAGTGATGGCGATGGTAGCATAAGTTGCAGTGATGGCGATGGTAGCATTAGTTGTAGTGATGGCGATGGTAGCATAAGTTGTAGTGATGGCGATGGTAGCGTTAGTTGTAGTGATGCCGATGGTAGCGTTAGTTGTAGTGATGGCGATGGTAGCATTAGTTGTAGTGATGGCGATGGTTGCGTTAGTTGTAGTGATGGCGATGGTAGCGTTAGTTGTAGTGATGGTGATGGTAGCGTTAGTTGTAGTGATGGCCATTGTTGTGTTAGTTGTAGTGATGGCGATGGTAGCATTAGTTGTAGTGATGGCGATGGTAGGGTTAGTTGTAGTGATGGCGATGGTAGGGTTAGTTGTAGTGATGGCGATGGTTGCATTAGTTGTAGTGATGGCGTAGTATCGTTAGTTGTAGTGATGGCGATGGTAGCATAAGTTGTAGTGATGGCGATGGTAGCATTTGTTGTAGTGATGGCGATGGTTGCATTAGTTGTCATGATGGCGATGGTAGCATAAGTGGTAGTGATGGCGATGGTAGCATTAGTTGTAGTGATGGCGATGTAAGGGTTAGCTGTAGTGATTGCGATGTTAGGGTTAGCTGTAGTGATGGCAATGTGAGCGTTAGTTGTAGTGATGGCGATGGTAGCATTAGTTGTAGTGATGGCGATGGTAGCATTAGTTGTAGTGATGGCGATGTTAGGGTTAGCTGTAGTGATTGCGATGGTAGTGTTAGCTGTAGTGATGGCGATGGTAGCATTAGTTGTAGTGATGGCGATGGTAGCATTAGTTGTAGTGATGGCGATGTTAGGGTTAGCTGTAGTGATTGCGATGGTAGTGTTAGCTGTAGTGATGGTGATGGTAGCGTTAGTTGTAGTGATGGCGATGTTAGGGTTAGCTGTAGTGATTGCGATGGTAGTGTTAGCTGTAGTGATGGCGATGGTAGCGTTAGTTGTAGTGATGGCGATGGTAGCGTTAGCTGTAGTGATTGCGATGGTAGTGTTAGTTGTAGTGATGGCGATGGTAGCATTAGTTGTAGTGATGGCGACGGTTGCATTAGTTGTAGTGATGGCGATGGTTGCATTAGTTGTAGTGATGGCAATGGTATCGTTAGTTGTAGGGATGGCGATGGTAGCATTAGTTGTAGTGATGGCGATGGTAGCGTTAGCTGTAGTGATGGCGATGGTAGTGTTAGTTGTAGTGATGGCGATGGTTGCGTTAGCTGAAGTGATGGCGATGGTTGCGTTAGTTGTAGCGATGGCGACGGTTGCGTTTGTTGTAGCTATTGCGATGGTAGCGTTAGTTGTAGTGATTGCGATGGTAGCGTTATTTGTAGTGATTGCGATGGTTGCGTTAGTTGTAGTGATGGCGATGGTAGCGTTAGCTGTAGTGAGTGAGTTCATCAGTGTATTTCAGTTATATGACAGCGTAGTATGGGCAGTAGTAGGTGTGGTAGGTGGTAGTGTAGTGGTGGTCAGGAATTGAGGTTTTATGGTCTTTTGCCCCTTTCAGCAATATTCATGCAATATCATGAAGGGATCTCGATCTTCAGTGTGATGTGATAACGCCTTAACACTAGGCTTCCCCATTGCAATAGTGAGATATTGTAGTGGTAGATGTAGTTGTAGTAGAGGAGGCAGTAGTTGTGAGTAGTAGTAGTAGTAGTAGTAGTAGTAGTAGTAGTAGTAGTAGTAGTAGCAGTAGCAGTGAAGGTAGAAGTGGCAGTAGTGGAAGTGAAGGTAGTGGCGGAAGTAGTTATGGCAATAGTTGTGATGGTAGTAGTTGTGATGGTAGTAGTAGTGGTTGGTTGGTTTGTTTCTTGTTTAATGCCTCACTCAGCAATATTCCAGCTATATGACGACAGTCTGTAAATAATGGAGTCTGGACCAGACAGTCCAATGATTAATATCATGAGCATCGATCCACGCAATGGGGATTGATGACATGTAGTTGTGGCAGTAGTTGTGATGGTTGCAGTACTTGGAGTGATGATGTTAGTAGAGGTGGTGGTCAACTGGTTATGTTGATAACGCTCTGTTCATCAATATCATAATGGGCATTGTTATCTTAATAATCAACACTAGATTTCTGTACAATCTGCTCTTTTGCCCACTATCATAATTGATTCATATTTGTATCACTGCATTGGCTATACACCATATATACCTTTTTTCTTGTCAGGGATTTTTCAAATTTTAGTACATAGACAGCTTTGTCTACTGCCAGCAATCCTATGCTCATGTTAGCCCCACCAGACAGGCTGATCTGACCAGTTTCTTTGGGCAGATAGGAATCTTTGTTCCCAACTCTGCGAATCTGAAAAGAAAAATATAATTTAAAAAATGTAAATAAGTGAGTGAGAGAGCCCTATTTTAACATGACGACAGCAAAACGATGACACCAAGAATTGGCTTCACATATTGTTACCATGTGGAGAATTGAACCCATCCATTCTATGCAGTTGTCCAACATCATTGTCTAATTGCCATAACAGGAATATATCTGGACCTGCTCACAGGCCAATGTTTGTCCTCAAGTCTGCAGCAAATGTCAGTAAACTTCCCAATTCATGTTTCCTAGTAATAACTCATGTCAAGGTTCTGTACAGGTGACTTGCATTTCAAAGGCCAATCTGAACAAAATAATGATTTTGTTCCCAAACTGCCTGCCAAGGGCACTTGAATTTTAGTTTGGAATCCTTGATAAATCTATGGACAGCCATTCGATCACAAAAATACAAAGTTGAAAGAAAGGACAAAAGTACACAATAATAGTCAAATGTTATGAATAAAGTATAAAATTTTACTAATAAAAGACAAAATACAAAACAAACAGACACCGGTTAAAAAATACAAAGTTGAAATAAAGGTCAAGTACCGGTACACAATATTATAGTCAAATGTTACGAAAAGACGTCATATGAAAAGAAAGAACAATTTAAGGGTAATGTTCAGGGTAAAAACCCAGTCTGGGTTAATTAGAGTTAGCTCCCTTATGTTTGCGTATTACCTCATCAGGTGACGTAATGATTTGTGGGGGAATCGAGTGAATGCCATGCTGGCTGTCGCATGTAACTCTGGTCAATAAATCGTACTCAAACGAACCCTAGTCTTAGTGTCAACGTAACACAACATGGTGTCAGAAGTGTCTAACTACGTTCTCGACACGGAACTTTGTGAGTGCGACGAGCGGGTGTCAAAAAAGGTTGGATTTCTCCTGTGAATACTAAACGGAAACAAGAATGTGTGCCTCTAAACCGAGAGAGTGAGTGAGTGAGTGTGGTTTTACGCCGCTTTTAGCAATATTCCAGCAATATAACGGCGGGGGACACCTGAAATGGGCTTCACACCATGTACCCATGTCGGGAATCGAACCCGGGTCTTCGGCGTGACGAGCGAACGCTTTAACCACTAGGCTACCCGACCGCCCCCTAAACCGCGAGAAAAGACAGTGAGTAATTCCGAAGTACAGAAACAGTATCAGTGGGTGAACAGCGGTGTAATGCTTAACTGAAGACTCAAACCAGTAAATACAGAACTTTGAACTTTATTTTCTTACGAAACAAACGTGACATTATTCCAAATTCATCCACCTGAGCAGTTTGACTTTTGTAACGATGAAAAGTGGGAACAGTGGAGAAAACGCTTTGAAAGATTCAGAATTTCGTCAAAACTAAGCGCAGATGATGAGAAACTGCAAATTAATACACTTGTGTATACGATGGGATCTGAAGCAGAGGAAATACTTACGTCATTTCGTTTGTCAAATGATGATGCCAAAAAGTATAATGCGGTTTTGGGCAAGTTTGATCGATTCTTCATTGTGAAACAGAACGTTATATTTGAAAGAGCCAAATTTAACAGTCACAAACAAGATGAGGGGGAATCAGTTGATTCTTTTATCACTGCACTTTATGGACTTGCTGAACATTGCAATAACCAGAATTTGAAAGAAGAGATGATCAGAGACAGGATAGTTGTAGGACTACATGATACTAAACTTTTCACCCTGGATTTAGCGATCACACAGGCTCGCCAGTCAGAAACTGTATACAAACAACAGGAGGCCATGAGAAACACCTTTCAAAATCCTTACGCAGAGGGGAAAGTTAATTCAGTTATCCGAAAGGGCAAGTTCTCCAACCAGAGACCAACCCATTCATCTTGTTTCCAGAAAGGAAACAAAAGACCTAACTATGGTAGCGGAGGAAAACCACACAACCAGCACACACCTGAACAGGCCTCAGAAAATTGTCCACGCTGTGGAGGCAACATGCACTTCAAGTCAAGATGCCCTGGTAGAGATTCAAATTGCATTTTATGCAAAAAGAAAGGACATTGGACAAAAGTGTGTAGGTCTTCAAGCAGAAACGTGCATGAGGTAGTTAGTGATAATGAATCTGAAGAGGAAACAATCTTAGGTTCAGTCATTGTGGATCCAGTTACTAAAGCAATGTTAGAATCAGTCCGTGATGAGACCAGCAAACCATGGATGATCAAGGTGAAGGTTGAAAAGCATTATGTGAAATTCAAGATTGACACAGGCGCTGATGTAACTTTGATACCAGAGAAAAACTTTGCAGAAATTGCAAGTAATTCTGACATTGAGTATGAATCGCCTGATAGAAAGCTCTCAGGAGTTGGCGAGTACAAACTCAAAGTTTGTGGACAGTTTATGACCACATTAAAATGGCAGGACAAACAGATCACACTAAAAATTTACGTAGTCGAGGACTCGGAACAACATGTACCCCCGCTTGGAAGGCCTGCAATAGAAGCCATGGAAATCATCACTTAGGATGCTAGACTTGATGCAGTCTTCTTGAAGAAACAGAATGTCTACAAGGAACAGTGTCCAAAACTTTTCAGTGAATTGGGAAATGCTCAGCGCACATATAAGATCCAATTGAAACCAGATGCAAAACAATTTGCTTTGTCTACGCCAAGGAAAATTGCACTGCCTCTCAGGAAGCAGATCTAAGAGGATCTTGCCAGAATGGAACGTCTTGGTGTTATATCACCAGTTACAGAGCCTACAGAGAAGTGTGCAGGAATGGTTGTCATACCTAAGCCTAAGAAACCTCAGAAATAAGGTTAGGATTTGTGTAGATCTTACAAAACTGAACGAGAATGTTCGCTGAGAGAATCACCCTTGCCGTCAATCGAGCAGACACTGGGACAACTTGCAGGAGCAAGGTACTTTACAAAGCTTGACGCAAACTCAGGATTCTACCAGATACCTCTTCTCACCTAACCACCTTCATTACACCCTTCGGGCGCTTTTGTTTCAACAGACTTCCATTTGGAATATCATCGGCTCCAGAGGTATTTCAAAGACTAATGACCCAAATCCTAGATGGAATTCAAGGTGTGCCATGTCAGATGGATGACATATTAGTTGCTGGCAAAACAATTGAGGAGCATGATGCTCAACTCTAAGACGTACCAGAAAAGGTACAGAAAGCAGGAGTGACAATAAACTTTGACAAATGTGTATTTGCACAAATTCCCAGGTTTCATCATTGATGAATCAGGAATCAGAGCCGACCCAGAAAAGGTCCAAGCCATATGGAACATGCCAGAACCAACCTCTATCTCGGAAGTCCGACGCTTCTTTGGAATGGTCAATTTTCTGAGCAAATTCTCACCAAATTTAGCAGAGAAATCCAAGCCAATCAGAGATCTTCTCAGAGTAGACTCATGGAAAAGACTGGAGACAGAGTTGCTTATGAATCTAGATCACTGACCACAACAGAACAGAGGTATGCACAGGTCGAGAAGGAAGCCTTAGCGACGACATGGGCATGTGAGAAATTCTCAACATATCTGATTGGACTACAGTTCACCATAGAGACTGACCATAAGCCATTAGTGTCTTTGCTTGGATCCAAAGAACTTGACTTGCTCCCTCCCAGAGTTCAGAGATTTTGCATGAGATTAATGAGATACCACTACTCCGTCAACTATGTTCCAGGAAAGAATCTTGTAGTCGCAGACACTCTCTCCCATGCACCTATCACGTCTGAAGTCTTGCAGTCATAACAGGAACTGGGACAAGAGACAAATATGTATGTCGACATAGTCATACAAAATATGCCAGCGTCAGAAAAACGTCTGGATGAACTTCGCACTGAAATCAAACAAGACGAAGTATGCAGAGAACTTAAAAGACTTTGCCAAGAATGATGGCCTGACAGACCAAGACTGAATGGAGCCATAAAGCCATACTACGCTTTCAGGGATGAACTAAGCGAAGAGAATGGACTTTTGCTCGGAGGGAATAGACTAGTTATTCCCATGTCAATGCTTGACAGACTGCATAAAGGACATCAGGGTATTGTGAAATGCCGTGAACGAGCTAAACAATCGGTTTGGTGGCCAGGATTGTCGAAACAGTTGAGTAAGCTTGTAGAGAACTGTACAGAGTGCATAAGGAAAGAGTGAATCCTCCTGAGCCTCTTATCCCTTCCATTCTACCTGACCATCCATGGCAAAAGGTAGGAATGGATCTGTTCACATTACAGAGTACCAACTATCTGCTAGTCATAGACTACTTTTCCAGATACATTGAAATAGCGAAGCTATCACAAACAACAAGCGTGGATGTCGTCAACCACTTAAAGTCCATCTTCTCCAGACACGGTATCCCTGAGACAGTGATGTCAGACAATGGATCACAATTCTCCACTTCCAGATTCCAAGACTTTTCAAGAGAGTTTGGTTTTGACTAAGTCACAAGAAGCCCTACATTTCCACAAAGCAACGGGGAAGCTGAGAGAGCAGTTAAAACTGTCAAATTATTGCTCAAGAAGGAGAAAGATCCTTACCTCACTCTCTTATCGTATCGTACTACACCACTGCAGAATGGGTACAGCCCAGCTGAACTTCTGATGAGAAGACGCCTGAGAACAACAGTTCCAGTGCTACCAGAATTGTTGAATCCTAAGCTACCAGACCCTTGTCTACTTAGGGACAAAGAGCAGCAAAGCAAAGCAGCCCAGAAGAGAAACTTCGATCATCAACATAAGGGTAGAGACTTATGTAAGCTTGAACCAGGACAGACAGTCTGGTCTAAGTTCTTAGGTCAAGCTGTTGTTGCAAAACAAACAGACTTTCCAAGGTCTTACATTGTTGAGACCCCTTCAGGCAGTTACCATAGAAACCGGCAACAACTGGCACCAATGCCAGTATCAGCATGTCCAGATTCGCCGGCGGCACTTCTTCCAGTAGATGTACCTGTATCACCATCATCAACAACTACAACATCATCTACCGGTGTGACTTCTACCACAAGATCTGGAAGATGTGTGGTGCCTCCAAATAGACTTGATTTGTGACATTAATGTGTTAACATTACTTCATGTACTGTTGAGTACACGTTCAAAGGAGACTTTAAAGTTTGAATGTTTCAAGTCCCAAAATTCATGGGAAAGTTTTCAGTTAAATTCAAGTGTGCCAAAGTTAAATGGTAAATGTTTAATTCTAATTCGTGTTGTGCCAAATTGACTTTAAAGGTGGCTCTGAACTTTAATTAATGAAAGTTCTCAAAGGAAAGGGGGATGTAGCATTATTGCTGTTCGGGGTAAAAACCCAGTCTAGGTTAGTTAGAGTTAGCTCCCCTATGTTTGCGTATTACGTCATCGGGTGACGTCATGATTTGTGGGGGGGACTCGAGTGAACGCCATGCTGGCTGTTGCATGTAACTCCGGTCAATAAAACATTTACCGCAATCAACACGAATGTCACTGACCCACTTTTACAAATATGGAAACGTCATAGAACAAACCAGATGATGTAACCATTGAACGTGACATCTGTACACGTTATAGTTTATGTCAATGCTGTTTTATGCAGATGTTCATCTGGTAAAAAATACATGTAAATTATAGGATACAGGTGGCCTCAGACGCATCAGGTGCCTTTGGAAGATGGGAAATATAATTCTCTACACAAGACATTTTTCAAAATTCAGGCATGTCTGGCGTAGCAGACAAATGGAGCCAGTTTAACCTACCCTTAATTCCTCCCTACAAGCAGTCTTCATTAGAAGGTGGGTGGAGTCAGCAACCACATGATCAGATGCAACGTAAAACACGACAATCCGGGCGCTTGGCACCATGTCTTTCAGAAACCGTCTTGGGATTGTTCTGACGTCATCGCCATTTGAACCGGAAGTGTAACTTTCTCTGAAAACCACCTGACCACGGGAAGACACCTGCAATAAAAAAAAAAGGGGACATAATAACTTTTTCTTATTTTGTAATCCAGTTTTAGCAGAGATGAATCATCAGTGTTGAAACATTTCTTACATAGCCTCAGAAAAACACAGTGACAGTATCTGGTCACCATAGCAAGATCCAGATTCAGTTCAGGAACGAAGGGGGTAATGGGTGGCCTAGACTAACATTTAGTCTCTGAAATCTTATATTACACAATATCCTTCTTGACTCTAAAAATAAAAATAAAATTCCCTATGCTGATTTCAGCTGATTGTGGAATAGAGCTAGCTTGAGCTGGCTAGACTTGCTTTTGTATGCATTTCTAGATTATGTTTTTTTCATAAAATAAATATATTCCACGGTCATGGTGCAGGACTATGGGTGGCCCAGTCATCTAAGGCACCGCAGCTCGCTGTGTAGAGCAAGGCGCGACTGAAACCAATGATCATGGGTTTGAATGCAAGATCGCCTGATGATTTGTTTAGGTTTGTCAACACCATACCCATGCTAGTGGGTTCCACCAAAGTGGCAAATATCTAAGACCTGCTTCACATCGAGTTTTCCGCCCACACCAAGTTGACACGCCTCAACAAAACTAAGATACTGCTCAAACCGGTGTTAAATCAGGCTCACCTACTCACTCACTTTGGAATCAAACATGGTGAATAAGATCAAAAGAACATACAATAAGACTCTGGTCACCTGGCAACAGAAACAACATTATTATGGAACTTTAATAATTATATCAATAACAAGAAGAAGTCCATTTATGCGTCAGATTCCATTCACCAAGTGAATGCTCTTGGCGCTAGTTTATTAATATCCTGGTCTGTTGATCAGTGAACGCTCAAACCAATTATCAGGATTATGTTGTATAACTTACCATGATGAAATAGAGGCCAGGAGATCCATGGTACCTCACATGGACAGGCAAGTCTTGATTCAACTGAAACGGAGAGCGAAATCATTTTAGATTTCTTAAGAAAGCTGTTTGACATAAATCTGAGCGTGACCTTACTATGCACCACCAGAACACGCATCATTATTAATACATCATAGATTTGTATACGGCAATGCATATGGGGAGAGACTGAGTGAGTATAGTTTTATGCCACTCTTAGCAATATTCCAATAATATCACGACGTGGGTCACCTGAACTTGGCTTTACAAATTCTACCCATTGAAGTAATACTACCCAAACAGGATGTTAGAAATAAAACGCAAGTTATCGATTGTTAATTGTTATTAAAATTATTCACAATGTCATGATCCAATGTCGTTTCACAAATTCAATAATGTATGTGTCACGGCCATAAAATTTCCGAGTTCCATCATGGGATTCGAACCACGGACCTTCTGATCAGAGGTCGGATGCCTTGTCCACATGACCAAAGAGGTTAACCCGGACTCAGCAAGTTGACAAGGAAAGGATGTCATCTGTGGGATAACTCCACATCCTGCGACATACCTCCTCCGTCAACAGAAGGCACATCCCTTTCCTACCCATAGTAGGGTACCGAGACTTATTTTCCTCTAATTTAATATGAATGTTCTCAGCCCTACGTTGTGCGACAATGTCACGACCATAAAATTTCTGAGTTCCGTGATGGGATTTGAACCATGGACCTTCTGATCAGAGGTCGGATGCCTTGTCCACATGACCAAAGAGGTAAACCCCCCTCAGCAAGTTGACAAGGAAAGGATGTCATCTGTGGGATGACTCCACATCCTGCTACATATACAATGTTGTTATTTTTGTAGGATTAACAGAAACAGTACACAATGTAAAACAGTTAAGAATCACAATGTGGCAAATGTATCAGGCAATGAAAACAGTTGTCACCTATGCGCCAGTAGCTTTAGGCCATGCCCCCAATTAGGTTAGTTTTGGAAGGCGATTACAGACCGTGTGATTTCAGCACTTTCACTCAGACATTTAAATACTTTATACGCAAAATTATGAATTTTTCTCTCTCAGAAATTGACTATTAAATGTATCTAGGAAAACTGATATTCGCAATAAAATCGCAAAAGAGTGGTCGAAATTAAATATATATGGATCACTGATATTAAGTGATGTCACCAACGCTAATCATACACAACAAGGATAAACATACCGATGGTTTTTCTTCAACTTCAATGACAATGTAGCCACTGTTTGATGATGTCACTCGTTTGACCCTCAGTGTACTTTCGTCCAAGGGGTGACCTTCTGGTTGGTACTGAAATCAAATGGCTGTTTTGGAACATTGCCATCGCTTGATCATATTAACTCACACAATGCATGATTGTGTTATAAGCACATGATTTACTGTTAAGCATATGGCTATATGTATCAACAAATGGTCACACGAAAAGTATGTGGTCATGTGTTAAACAAAGCATTGCTTTTGGTTATATGTTAAACAAAGCATTGCTAATGGTCATATGGTAAGCAATGCATGTGGTCATATAGTGAGCAAAGCACATAGTCATATGTAATCAATGCATATGGTCATATAGTGAACAAAGCTCATGGTCATATGTAATCAATGCATATGGTCATATAGTGAGCAAAGCTCATGGTCATATGTAATCAATGCATATGGTCATATAGTGAGCAAAGCACATGGTCATATGTAATCAATGCATGTGGTCATATAGTGAGCAAAGCACATATTCATATGTAAGCTATGCATATGGTCATTTAGTGAGCAAAGCACATGGTCATATGTAATCAATGCATGTGGTCATATAGTGAGCAAAGCTCATGGTCATATGTAATTTATGCATATGGTCATATAGTGAGCAAAGCACATAGTCATATGTAATCAATGCATATGGTCATATAGTGAGCAAAGCTCATGGTCATATGTAATTAATGCATATGGTCATATAGTGAGCAAAGCTCATGGTCATATGTAATCAATGCATATGGTCATTTAGTGAGCAAAGCACATGGTCATATGTAATCAATGCATGTGGTCATATAGTGAGCAAAGCTCATGGTCATATGTAATTAATGCATATGGTCATATAGTGAGCAAAGCACATAGTCATATGTAATCAATGCATGTGGTCATTTAGTGAGCAAAGCTCATGGTCATATGTAATTAATGCATATGGTCATATAGTGAGCAAAGCTCATGGTCATATGTAAGCAATGCATGTGGTCATTTAGTGAGCAAAGCACATAGTCATATGTAATCAATGCATATGGTCATATAGTGAGCAAAGCTCATGGTCATATGTAATCAATGCATGTGGTCATATAGTGAGCAAAGCTCATGGTCATATGTAATTAATGCATATGGTCATATAGTGAGCAAAGCTCATGGTCATATGTAATCAATGCATGTGGTCATTTAGTGAGCAAAGCTCATGGTCATATGTAAGCAATGCATATGGTCATATAGTGAGCAAAACACATGGTCATATGTAATCAATGCATGTAGTCATATAGTGAGCAAAGCACATGGTCATATGTAAGCTATGCATGTGGTCATATAGTGAGCAAAGCTCATGGTCATGTGTAATCAATGCATGTGGTCATATAGTGAGCAAAGCTCATGGTCATATGTAAGCTATGCATGTGGTCATATAGTGAGCAAAGCTCATGGTCATGTGTAATCAATGCATGTGGTCATATAGTGAGCAAAACACATGGTCATATGTAATCAATGCATATGGTCATATAGTGAGCAAAGCTCATGGTCATATGTAATCAATGCATATGGTCATATAGTGAGCAAAGCACATGGTCATATGTAATCAATGCATGTGGTCATTTAGTGAGCAAAGCTCATGGTCATATGTAATCAATGCATGTGGTCATTTAGTGAGCAAAGCTCATGGTCATATGTAATCAATGCATGTGGTCATATAGTGAGCAAAGCTCATGGTCATATGTAATCAATGCATGTGGTATTTAGTGAGCAAAGCTCATAGTCATATATAATCAATGCCTATGGTCATATAGTGAGCAAAGCACATGGTCATATGTAAGCAATGCATATGGTCATATAGTGAGCAAAGCTCATGGTCATATGTAATTAATGCATGTGGTCATTTAGTGAGCAAAGCACATGGTCATATGTAATCAATGCATGTGGTCATATAGTGAGCAAAGCTCATGGTCATATGTAAGCAATGCATGTGGTCATATAGTGAACAAAGCTCATGGTATACGTAATCAATGCATGTGGTCATATAGTGAGCAAAACACATGGTCATATGTAATCAATGCATATGGTCATATAGTGAGCAAAGCTCATGGTCATATGTAATCAATGCATATGGTCATATAGTGAGCAAAGCACATGGTCATATGTAATCAATGCATGTGGTCATTTAGTGAGCAAAGCTCATGGTCATATGTAATCAATTCATGTGGTCATTTAGTGAGCAAAGCTCATGGTCATATGTAATCAATGCATGTGGTCATATAGTGAGCAAAGCTCATGGTCATATGTAATCAATGCATGTGGTCATTTAGTGAGCAAAGCTCATAGTCATATGTAATCAATGCATATGGTCATATAGTGAGCAAAGCACATGGTCATATGTAAGCAATGCATATGGTCATATAGTGAGCAAAGCTCATGGTCATATGTAATCAATGCATGTGGTCATTTAGTGAGCAAAGCACATGGTCATATGTAATCAATGCATGTGGTCATACAGTGAGCAAAGCTCATGGTCATATGTAATCAATGCATATGGTCATATAGTGAGCAAAACACATGGTCATATGTAATCAATGCATATGGTCATTTAGTGAGCAAAGCACATAGTCATATGTAAGCAATGCATATGGTCATTTAGTGAGCAAAGCTCATGGTCATATGTAAGCAATGCATATTGTCATATAGTGAGCAAAGCTCATGGTCATATGTAAGCTATGCATGTGGTCATATAGTGAGCAAAGCACATAGTCATATGTAAGCTATGCATGTGGTCATATGTAAGCAATGCATATGGTCACAAGATAAGCACACACACTTTGACAGTGTGAGATCAAATGATAAGATATCGCAAAAGCGTATGATCTTCTGACAGTCACATGAAACACATGACTAGCACATCATCTTCACATGTATAAAGAGTATCCATTGGTGAATGGGTGAATGGGTGGGCAACAAGAGGTTGAAGGAAGATAATGCTTGGTGTATTTATCAGGACTCTAATGACAAACTTGACATACTGGTTCAGCATGCAGAATTAAACCTGAACTTTGTGATGGGGCCAGTACAGGAACCACTGTACCAGCCTCCAGAGGATATCGCAAAAAAGAAAACATACCCTGAAGACCATGTCGCCACTGTCAGGGGCGATGTAGGTGCGACTCACTCTGCCTCTGTTATTGGACGTCAAGGTTGTCGTCTCCTCCCCTGGCATCTTAACGACGACGACAGGCACGTTTTTGGCAATACTCTCATCGATGTTGGTAACTTCCACCTAACGTACGAAAACAGTTGACTCATCAAAACAATCAATCAAAGGCACCCACATTGAGGTTGGACACACATTTAAATATAATTAAAATATATTTTAGTAAAATGTATGGATTCAATACTTAGTAGGGTATCAACAGATTTAATGAAATGATAATGCTTAACATCTCTATTAAAAACTTGACGTATTTTTTTTCCCAAGATATAAACTTCTAACCAAATCATGACTTGATGGGTTTTTTATTTTTAAATTTTAACAATCCTGACTTTATATTTTCAGAAATGCTACTCTTAACCACTCTGGGTAAGATACCAGCACTTTCTCAATGACATAATATCATGATTCTACTACAATAGTGGTTCAAATGGCGATACATCGTCGGACATAACTCAAGTAATGACAAATTTAGAGAGACTTGTATGTTGTACTGATAATACAAAACAATTATCAAAACATTGTTTTGTGTAAATTTAGTACAAATTTAGTTGTATTGTGTACATGACACACACATGGAGGTACTACTATCCTTATTATCTAAGCTTGATGTTTAACTGCAGAGCAGTATTGGTGTCTTCAATAAAACAAAAACACCAACGCCAGAGAATAACCAGTTTCAGTTATCTGATGAAAGAGATTCCATCTGGCATAAAAGCAAAATTACAGTGAACATTACATGAATAGATAACTAAAAATCGACGATGCCTCCTGGTGTACGAGAAAAGGGAAAAAGCATGTTGAAAAAGGGACAACATGCTGTCTCTAGTGTGTCAACAATTGAATTCATATCACATGGACAAAGCAAAAGAGAGTGAATAATGAATTTCATTAACTCGCTTTTCTCGAACTCTATGGATGATAATAGACAATCTTGCGGCATTCCGATATTCCAAGTCTACAGACAAGTCTGTATATCTTTTTCCTTGGTATTATTTCCTCTAGATTGTGCCAAAGTGAAGTCTAAATTGTCATGAGAAACTTGTCACTTTGCTGTTTAAGTATTACTCAGAGACCAACCATTTTATGGGAGACAAGCTATTTTTTCAGTACATCGGCAAAATCAGAAATTTTCCACTTACAGCTATGAGCCTATTTTTTATTAGATTGGCTGACAATTTCATTTTTTTCAACAGTCAATAGCACACTCAAACTTCTCAAAAGATTATGGGACAATTTAATTTTTTGATAATATCCCATTATGACATTATTACATCCTACTACTATGGTACTTGTAGTCATTGGCGTTTGAGCCAGTTGTGTTGTTTTCCTCGGGTACAGCCCTGTAAGGTGACAGAGCGGTACAACAGATATAACAACAATGAGTCACGGGAGTGTCTGTTGTGAGTGAGATTGGCTTAACGCCGCTTTGAACACTACTTCAGTCATATCACGGCATCTCAGCTTGATGAGGGAGGAAAGCCAGAGTGATCCAGGTCCTTACTAATTTGATAATACCTATGAGCAAGGGGTCTGGTGCTGACAAACCTACAATATAAACAGGGAAAACCCTGGATTTGAACCCATAGGTTTCTTATGCGCCTAAAGCGTGCAACTGTACACAGTGAATTGCAGGGCTACAGACTACTTGGTCAAAAAAATTATAAGCATTTGGGATAGTCAAACAAACAAACATATCAGTGCCTTGTAGTAATCATTGACAGTTCTCAGAGCGAAATATTACCTCAAAAGTATAGGGAAGTCCAGCCTGGTAGTATTTCTTCTTGTTTACAACAGTCAGCTTGTAAGGGTAGGATGCCAATGTGGCGACTAAATACTCTTCCCGCACGACACTGTTAGTGCCATCTTCTGTTACGTTGATCTTTACGTAGATGCTGCAAACCTCATCTCTAAGACTTCTCAACGCCTCTGAATCTTTTAGCTCCTCGTCATTAAGGACCACATCGACCTGTCCAGAGGCGTTCAACTACAAACAATGCAAAACATGGGATTTTTTTTACAAGACAAGAAAGGTATTGATATCGTGAAAAACATCAGGGTAAAAATACATATAGGAGGTAGGGATTGGGTTCAAAGCAGTCGTTGCGAAGAAAAACCGTATCACTGCCCATGGCACTGACTTCTACATTCAAACAGTGAGTATGGTTTAATGCCACTTTTACTTTTAGCAAAATACCAGCAATATCATGGCAGGGAACACCACAAATGGGCTTCACACGCTATACCCATGTTGGGAATCAAACTCAGGCTTCCGGCACGGCGAGTGAAAGCTTTAACCAGTTAAAAGCCTCCCCAACACCCAAAATATGACACAATATGTTGGGTAAGGTGAAATGGGGTTTTACGTCACATTCATATCGTCAGTATTCATATAGCGACATGCATCCATGTGTGAGTCGCTGCTTGTACTAGTCCAGACTTATGCTGGTGTTATAGTGATAGCCCACTGAGATACCATGTCAAGGTTTAACAAGGATACTCAACTCAAACACAGTATACTGACTCCAAACTGACCAGTTTTATCACCTTAATGCTTATTGCCAGGTAGGGTGCTCATCACCTCAGATGTAATCAGATGTTTAGATACCATGCGTAATACATCAACACGTATTACATGTCTTACCTGATGCTGGAGATTATTCATGATAGGAAGTTCCAAGTCAAGCAGTCGGGCCACAAGAGACGTTGACACTCGTCCACGAGTTGGTTTGCCATATGTGTATCTGAAATAGTTGTGCAGAAAGTAGCACATTTTAATTTCATTCATTCTATTATTGTTAATATAAATATTCATTTTAATCACTAATTCCAACAACTTCATGGAAACAACCAATATGCAGGTTCCACAAAATACACTGACACACTGCAATATTTGGCAAAATAGCCACAAAAAATATATACTTTTGTTCTGTCTAATTTAGGCATAAGATAATGAAAAACATCCTCATCGTTCGTGATGGACTTGAGCACAAACTACATCTCATCTGATGCTTGAAAACATGATAATACATTAAAAACTGTTCATTGTGTATCAGATATATTGTTTCCACTGTTGATGTTTGTTGCAGACAAATATCAGAGGGGTACACAAAGTACGTGATCTAGACTACCAGTTGTCGGACTTCCACTTTTGTGGAAGCCTCGGTAGGTGAGTGGATTAGATCACTGACTTTTGTGTGCTTGTGATTAGGTACCTCACTCTTGAGAGTGTGGGTTCAAACCCGGGATGGGACTCAACCTCCAAAAGTACTAGAATTTGTATTTTAGTTAGAAAACGTAATCCCAAATATAGCATTTGTCACATATACAATATCCTGGGGATTAGATGGATAAAATACCTGATGAGTATGGGTATTTACTGAATACCATCCTCGATGATCAAGTGTATTTATCTCCATTCTATTATGATACATTCCCCAGGGTACTGTTTCAAAGCAGTCTAAGTGGGTGAAACTGTGGTAACTTGGAAATACCAACTGTAGTCTCGCGTTCATGAAAACATTTAAGCCGGGGATAAAGACAGTGCTCGAGCTAAATGCGGGTGTGAGGTAGCAAAAATAGTATGTTGGCTCGAGCGTTCGTCCTCCATTCAACTGCGCTTAGTCGTCTGCTCCTGCCACGGCAGATAACTCTAAATGATGTTCCTACATCAAAAACGGAATGAGCTCCAGTTCATATTTTTTCTGGGGCGTGTGATGTGGTTGCGGTTAACGTCAGTTTTTGTGTAGCTTTGTGCAAATTCTTAGACTGTGAAGTAAACTTTACGAGCACGTAAATGTATGACTGCGTTGTGAAAGAAAGTACCCTGGACCAAAATACCATCATGGTTTCGTTTCGGGGCATATTTCGCTTCTGTCTCTGCGTGAGCACGTAATAAATTGAAGATATTATATACATAACCGAAGATTTTACTGACTTACTCGGCTTTGATGGACAGCAGGAGAGGCGAGGTGTTGTCCCAGACCATGCTTGTCTGGTTCGACTTGACTCGAACTCCAAACCGAGGCAAAACTGAGAAATTCAAAGCAAGACAAAGGTTTCATATATTAATAATAATCCAATTGAATAAGTTGAATTGGTGTATACATACGTTTCTTATCAATTGTACTGTGTAAATTTTTGGTAACTTATTTATGGAATGTCTTAATTTTCAAATAACAATAACAAGGAAGGAGTGTAACTATACCGTTCAAAACGTTGTCAAACCCAACTCCCTCACTACTCACTCCGAGTATACAATACCGCCCATTTACATGTTTAAGCCCACTGATTAATTACGGTGTTTTATTAATGAGCATTATTTTTATTTAAATTCAAGCCCTGGGCCTAAAAACAAACATTTCGAGGATGTAACCCATGAAAGAACGACCCTTTAACTCTAAAGAAATTAAGTTACACCGCCAGGAAGAGACGTTTGAGTAACATGGGGGTTATCATACATCCATGTCAGATCTGATTGGTACGCGTGATCTTGATAAAATCCTGCGTTCTTGATGTGTTCCTCTGGCGAGCCCAAAACCTAGGATCCGGCCACCCAAAATGTTAAATTTAATATAATCCCATGGGCTTAAAAAGGAAAATAATATCAAAAGGAAAGAAAAGGAGGGCTTGATCATGTGTACTATATTCACGGTAACATACTTGTAGTCATGACGATCAATGGATAATGTCAAAGCAAACCAAGCACCTACCATAATCTTTCACTTCAAATGTGGCTTCAGAAACGGTAGAAACCTGAAAAGCATCAGAGTTTACATATATTATACAATCTTTTGGATAAATGTGTTTGTTGTTTTTAGCAATGGTGCAGCAATATGACAGCGGCCTGTAAATAATTTTGTCTGGACCAGGTAATTCGGTGATTGAGAATATACGTAACTATCGCCGCGTGGGGGACTGTGACACGCAATCAACCAAGTCGCCGAGTCTGACCACCCGGTCATTAAAGTCGCTTCTGGCGAGGAGCGTAGATCGCTGTGGGCAATTATAACCTGGAGTTCTCACGGGTGGCTTCCTGACTGACCTCCTCACTGAACATACTACCGTGAAAATCCGGGGTAGAATTCGTCTTCATAAGAGGCGACTAACGGGAACGGGTGGTCAAACTCACTAAATGGGTTGACTGCGTGTCAAAGTGTCTCACGCGGCGATAATTGCGAATATTATCAGTCACTGGATTGTCTGGCCGAGACTTTCACGCCGCAACCTTACACCTGGAATATTGCCGAGTGCCTCCTTAAACAACAATCAAAACAAACAAATAGTTTTATTTATGGAATGGTTAGTTTAAAGTCTCAAATATAATCTTAGAACGTATCCCCACTTCGGGCTTTCATCGCACATTGAGCTGTCAGGACGTGATTTACTAGCAACTAACATACTTTTCGATGCGGTGTGGAACCCTACACACCCACTCACCCACTCGTGTAAATGTTGATCAAGTTTTATAAGACCATAATTCCTAACACAGAACGTTGCGGTTGTACAGATAACAATCATGGGAGATAACATCACTGGGTGAGTGGTTTTTTTAGTTGGAATGTTATTGCTTCGTGTCATAGCATTTCACTGAATGTTGAAAGCGAGTGAGTGAGTGAGTTGGGTTTAACGCCGCTTTTAACATGTTTAACAGTATTCCAGTTATATCGCGGCGTGTCAGCTTAATGTGGGAGGGAAGCCCGAAGTGATGCAGGTATCTGACGTTTACCACATCGGTGAAAACACACGAGCACGGGTACGGTACTGACAAACTTAGAAACATAATCGGGGCGAGCCGGGATTCGAACCCACAATCATAGGTTTCTAGCGTGCCCAAGGGACGCAACTCTGCACAGCGAGTCGAGGCGCATAGACGACTGTGACACCCGTGCCCCTGCATACGAAGTTGAAGAGGTTCTAGGCGTTTTCACGTGAACCCCACGAGGACGGGTATTGTGCCAACAAACCAATCTGGGATTCTAACCCACGATCATATGACACGCCTTAGGGACACAACTCTGCACAACAAATTATGACGCCCGCTGCACTATGTCAATACATAAACCAATGTTTTCTTCGCGCAATGATTAAACAATTATAATCATTTTACTGCACCCTGCAATAGGAGAGCCCCGTACTTACATTTGTGTAAGAAGCCCTTAATCTCCATATTCCTTTCATTGGGTTTTTGGACAAGGGGAATTCCGAGCCAGTGAAAGCTTCAGATGCATTGGTCGTCACTCTGTCTATGAGATGGCCTCTGGGATTCTGTGGATGACAATAACAAAGTTATTAAAGTACAAGGGCCACCACGGCATACAACCACCACACACCAACACGCCATTCAAAATCCACACACCACTGTGCAATTCAAACACCACATACCACCACGACATTCAAGCATCACAAACTCCCATGCCACATAACCACTACACAGCACAACCACCAGACGACGTAACTACCACATACCACAACCACCACAAAACACCATCCCGCCACACAACCACAACCACGCAACTACCACACACCACAACCACCACAAAACACCATCCCGCCACACAACCACAACCACGCAACTTCTACACACCACAAAACACCATCCCGTCGCACAACCACAACCACGCAACTACCACACACAACAACCACCACAAAACACCATCCCGCCACACAACCACGCAACTACCACACACCACAACCACCACGAACCACCATCCCGCCACACAACCACAACCACGCAACTTCTACACACCACAAAACACCATCCCGCCACACAACCACGCAACTACCACACACCACGACCACCACAAAACACCATCCCGCCACACAACCACAACCACGCAACTACCACACACCACAACCACCACAAAACACCATCCCGCCACACAACCACAACCACGCAACTTCTACACACCACAAAACACCATCCCGCCGCACAACCACAACCACGCAACTACCACACACAACAACCACCACAAAACACCATCCCGCCACACAACCACGCAACTACCACACACGACAACCACCACGAACCACCATCCCGCCACACAACCACAACCACGCAACTTCTACACACCACAAAACACCATCCCGCCACACAACCACAACCACGCAACTACCAAACACAACAACCACCACAAAACACCATCCCGCCACACAACCACAACCACGCAACTACCACACACAACAACCACCACAAAACACCATCCCGCCACACAACCACAACAACGCAACTTCTACACACCACAAAACACCATCCCGCCACACAACAACGACCACGCAACTACCACACACCACAACCACCACGAACCACCATCCCGCCACACGACCACAACCACGCACCTTGTACACACCACAAAACACCATCCCGCCACACAACCACAACCACGCAACTACCACACACAACAACCACCACAAAACACCATCCCGCCACACAACCACAACCAAGCAACTACCACACACAACACTACTACCACCACAAAACACCATCCCGCCACACAACCACAACCACGCAACTACCACACACCACAACCACCACGAACCACCATCCCGCCACACAACCACAACCACGCAACTTCTACACACCACAAAACACCATCCCGCCACACAACCACAACCACGCGCTTACCACACACAACAACCACCACAAAACACCATCCCGCCACATAACCACAACCATGCAACTACCAAACACAACAACCACCACAAAACACCATCCCGCCACACAACCACAACCACGCAATTACCACACACAACAACCACCACAAAACACCATCCCGCCACACAACCACAACCACGCAACCACCACACACCACAACCACCACAAAACACCATCCCGCCACACGACCACAACCACACAACTACCACACACCACAAAACACCATCCCGCCACACAACCACAACCACGCAACTACCAAACACAACAACCACCACAAAACACCATCCCGCCACACAACCACAACCACGCAACTACCACACACCACAACCACCACAAAACACCATCCCGCCACACAACCACAACCACGCGCTTACCACACACAACAACCACCACAAAACACCATCCCGCCACACAACCACAACCACGCAACTACCACACACCACAACCACCACGAACCACCATCCCGCCACACAACCACAACAACGCAACTACCACACACCACAACCACCACAAAACACCATCCCGCCACACAACAACGACCACGCAACTACCACACACCACAACCACCACGAACCACCATCCCGCCACACAACAACGACCACGCAACTACCACACACCACTACCACCACGAACCACCATCCCGCCACACAACAACGACCACGCAACTACCACACACCACAACCACCACAAAACACCATCCCGCCACACAACAACGACCACGCAACTACCACACACCGCAACCACCACAAAACACCATCCCGCCACACGACCACAACCACGCAACTACCACACACCACAACCACCACAAAACACCATCCCGCCACACAACAACAACCACGCAACTACCACACACAACAACCACCACAAAACACCATCCCGCCACACAACAACGACCACGCAACTACCACACACCACAACCACCACGAACCACCATCCCGCCACACAACAACGACCACGCAACTACCACACACCACAACCACCACAAAACACCATCCCGCCACACAACAACGACCACGCAACTACCACACACAACAACCACCACAAAACACCATCCCGCCACACAACCACAACCACGCAACTTCTACACACCACAAAACACCATCCCGCCACACAACCACAACCACGCGCTTACCACACACAACAACCACCACAAAACACCATCCCGCCACATAACCACAACCACGCAACTACCACACACCACAACCACCACAAAACACCATCCCGCCACACAACCACAACCACGCGCTTACCACACACCACAACCACCACGAACCACCATCCCGCCACACAACCACAACCACGCAACTTCTACACACCACAAAACACCATCCCGCTACACAACAACAACCACGCAACTACCACACACCACAACCACCACAAAACACCATCCCGCCACACGACCACAACCACACAACTACCACACACCACAAAGCACCATCCCGCCACACAACCACAACCACGCAACTTCTACACACCACAAAACACCATCCCGCCACACGACCACAACCACGCAACTACCACACACCACAACCACCACAAAACACCATCCCGCCACACAACAACGACCACGCAACTACCACACACCACAACCACCACAAAACACCATCCCGCCACACAACAACGACCACGCAACTACCACACACCACAACCACCACAAAACACCATCCCGCCACATAACCACAACCACGCAACTACCAAACACAACAACCACCACAAAACACCATCCCGCCACACGACCACAACCACGCAACTACCACACACCATACCACAACCACCACAAAACACCATCCCGCCACACGACCACAACCATACAACTACCACACACCACACCACAACCACCACAAAACACCATCCCGCCACACAACCACAACCACGCAACTTCTACACACCACAAAACACCATCCCGCCACACAACCACAACCACGCAACTTCTACACACCACAAAACACCATCCCGCCACACAACCACAACCACGCGCTTACCACACACAACAACCACCACAAAACACCATCCCGCCACACGACCACAACCACACAACTACCACACACCACACCACAACCACCACAAAACACCATCCCGCCACACGACCACAACCACACAACTACCACACACCACACCACAACCACCATAAAACACCATCCCGCCACATAACCACAACCACGCAACTACCACACACCACAACCACCACGAACCACCATCCCGCCACACAACTACCACACACCACACTACAACCACCACAAAACACCATCCCGCCACAGAACAACGACCACGCAACTACCACACACAACAACCACCACAAAACACCATCCCGCCACACAACCACACACCACCACTGCGCCACGCAACGGCCACAGATCACAAGCGAGCCTCGGTCTTCAGCCTCCCATGTTTGGCGTAAAAGGCGATTAACGGGGCCGGGAGGTCGTGAAGGCTCGCTTACTTGGTTGATTGCATGTAATCGATCTCAAATGCGCGGATCGATGCTCATGGTGTCAATCACTTGATTGTCTGGTCCAGACTCGATTATTTACAGACCGTCGTCATATAGCTGGAATATTGCCGGGTGCGGCGTTAAACAACAAACAAACAAACACTAACGCCACCCATACACTAGTATCATTCCACAAAATACCCTCCACCACAACCAGTTCAGCGACTAACGGGATCGGGTGGTCAGGCTCGCTTACTTGGTTTGATGCATGTCATCGATCCCAAGTGCGTGGATCGATAATCATGGTGTTAATAACTGGACTGTCTGGTCCAGACTCGATTATTTAAAGACCGCCGTCATATAGCTTGAAAATTGCTAAGTGCGGCGTTAAAAAACAAACAAAACATCCAGTTCACTTCCTGACCACAACCACAAGAAGCTGCTGACCAGTAGGCTGACTTGAACCTGCCATGGCGCCCATCTCAGGTCCTCGTCCACGGCCATCACTCGGTACTTCACTGCAATCGTGATTCAATTTGGAGATCAAAATCACGTGTTTTCAGATTGTCGGGTGTTATTGAGTATTTGATGCCAGGAATTTGGAAAAGATGACTAAAGCCGGAGGTTTCAAATGTTATAATTTCAGCCTCCCAAAAAATCCTCAAATCTGAAACCACATTATGTGTATCGACCTTTTATGTACACAATACTACAGTTCTTCCCCAGAAGTATCTTTGTACATGTACTTCGATGTGAGACATACATGTACATGACGTAACGCCTGACTGAAAAATGTATGACGACATATGTTTTCCATCGAAAACTGAACTCGGGAGGGAAGCAAAATACTAACAAAAATCAACTAAATTGAGATTCTGTTCCCCTCTTAAATCGGTTAGAATTGGTCTTCAGCAACCCAGTCTTGTCTTTAGAGGCGAGTCATGATATCGGATGGTCAGGCTCGCTGACTTGGTTGATGCATGTCATCGTATACCAATTGCGTGGATCGACGCTCATGATGTCAATCACTGGATTGTCCGATCCAGACCGCCGTCATGCAGCTGAAATAGTGCGGCGTTAAACAACATACACAAAAAAAAACAAATGTCACCTTTTTGTCTGGAAGTGTAGATGGGCTTATCCAGCTGAACGAACAAATAGCCAGGACTTCTGTCGATCTCGATACCAACCTCTCTGTTAAACCCTCCTCGTCGCGTGGATAACACCATGAGAGTTACCTCACTTGACGTGTCGGGGACGATGTCGCTAGGATTGACCATGATGTCGATTGGCGTTAACACACCTACATGATGACAAGGATATCTTAGAGGTGCAAAGTGACACGATAAACTTCCTTAGCGACAGCCCTAAAATGACCAACCCATAGAAAATGTATTGTTCAAATATTTCAAGTGACAAAGCAGCATCCTGTCTGTCTAAATTAAGCATCAGCTAGAAGCGCCTATAAAATCTCTAGAATATAGTGTGTAGGTTTTCTCACCATTCTCAATTGTGTGTGTTTGGCTGTAGAACGTATGGGTAGGGCTTCCAGGGTTAAGTTTCACCCTATACTCCAGCTCGTTGTCATTCAGACCGATTCCTAGAATAAATATCTTCTGATTCGTTCCAAGGCGAATTTTTCCAGGGGCGATAACTCCGACAAACGCCCTGAAACCAGTTTGTAACAGTATTGTACCTTATGAATTGTTTGTGACTTTATAATGTTTATGATTATTCATTTGGCTTCTCCATGGCAATAATAAGCTGAAATTAAAGAAAGTAGAACATAAAGAAAGTTGCACACCCAGATGTTGTTGTACTGTTCTAACGGTAATTAAAAAATGTCATAGAAAACACATGTCATTCCGGTCACTGTAACTAGTCTAGATAGGGCGTATATAGCTGTCTTTCAAAACAAGTAAATGAGTTGATTTTTAATATTTAACAGACTAGTTAATCATTCCTGAAATGTAACTGGTATATCAATTGCTTACAAATCTGATCTTCATCTTTGACGTACAATGTAGGTTACAAAAGGAATAATTGTGGAAGAATACGAACAGCAGTGGCAGAATACTTATCTTGCGATTTTGAGACCTGTTACTTCGGGCAGCGGAACATAAACACTTCAGCAATGAAAATGCATGATCAAGATAGATACTAGCCACGTCAAATTGGTGTAGTTTCTTTCACGGGAAGTACTGACAAGAAGCCAACTCCAGATCTCTACCAGCTGACCGATGATTGACATCTTGACCCACTTTCAACACGGGTGACCAAGTCGTCTGAGGCACTGCAATTCGCTGTGCAGAGTTGCGTCCCTTAGATGTTTCACGACTCTGTTATCGTGCGTTCGAATTCAATATTAGCCCTGATTGCTGGTTGGTCATGACCTTACTCGCGCCCATGGATTTCACCCAACTGGCAAACGTCTAACACCAACACTTGCTCTCCTCCATAACGTGACAATCCGCGGTATCAATGACATTTTGTTGAGTTCGGTTTGGAATATAGTTCCCTCACTCACTAAAACACTGCAGGGCTCATAATCGGGTATTCGAGCCAGACTCTGAAGCTAGCACAGACCCGCAAAGGACGCAACTCCGCGTGGATGCGTCTACATGTGTGAATACTATTTACCATTAATGACACTATTTCTTACGTAGAACATTCAGGATCCCGTTTAACAAAATGATCCAAGCGTTACGACGCTCTTAACTCCCATGCATTAAACTTGTCTGAGCCCTCAGCTCGCATGATGGAAGGGGCCCAGGTGTTAACTGAAAGAGTGTGAGTGTTTGGTCAATTTTCCAGCAGTTTCACAGTGGGGACGCCGGGAGTTGGCTTCATACATTGTACCCATGAGGGGAATGGAAACCGGGCCGCGGTCCGAGCGAAGGCTTTAACTACTAGCTAGCCCCTCGCCTCCTTTAAAGGTGAAGGTTACAAGGGTCAAGCCCTCATGTTTTGGCAGCATAGAACTTTTTTCTACACATTCCTAACTGGTATAGTTTTAACACTATTGTCTAACAAAGGGAACTTCATTGTGACGTACTTCGGTCACGTGTTACTTTAGGTCTTAAGGTACCGCTCGATGGTTGCCAAAAGTTATTTGGTTGGTTTGTTGTTTAACGCCTCACTCAGTAATATTCCAGCTATATGACGGCGGTCTGTAAATAACTGAGTCTGGATGAGACAATCCAGTGATTGATATCATTAGCATCGATCGACACAATTAGGATTGATGACATGCATCAACAAAGTCAGCGAGCCTGACCACCCGATCGCCTCTTACGACAAGCATAGTCGCCTGTCACGGCAAGCATGGGTTGCTGAAGACCTATTCTACCCCGGGTCATCACGGGTCGGTTGCAAAAAGCCATAGGTACAGTTATGCAATTCACAAAGAACAATTGCCAGTCGGGTTTAGGCTGATTCCGTTAATTATCTACACTATTGCACAATATGTATAGATAGCTTCCATGGCCAATCTTATTCTCGTAACTAACAATGAAAGGGTTAACACTGCTTGCACAACATCGTGATTAGTTTGACAAGAAGTCAATCATTGTTTCCATCTGTTGTTCCTATATTCTATGTAATTATCGCATATAGAAATACACGTACACTGCACCAAACCCGGTGTAGTAAAACAGCGCGGAGAGCATTGGATGGTTGACTCTGTTCGGCAGCTTGGCTCCTGAGAGCTTCTTGGGTCCTACCCCACATCTCGGGCAAGTGACTTTGTTTGAAATATGCCTCTGTTCACACAGCAGTAAATAGATACCCGGTAGGATGAGATGGTCATGTGAAAGTTAACCCCAGCGCCTCACAGAGGTTTCTTTCCATAAGACGACTGTTTTAATACACATACATGTACTTCATGATTCAGTAACTGTTAATTACTTCCCATCACACCTGTTTCGAGGTTAAGTTGGATGTGCAAAATGTCAAAATGGGAACAATGGTATTGTCATTTTTATAACTTCACTGACGCTATCAAACAACTTAATACCTATATATATATATAGATATATATATATATATATATATATATATATATATATATATATATAAATACTGATTTATTGAAGGGTTTTCTAACCTCGACTAATTGGGTAGCAAGAAAGCGTGACCATAAAATACAAAGTGCGGCTTTACCTTTAAAGAAATAGATGCCACTGTTGTACATGAAAATATATCTTTGGACTATTTTGGACTATTTTAATGAATACCTAATTAATCTCACGCATACCAAGGTGATTGCTATTTTACTTTGCTATCCCAAAGTATGTTTAATCTAACACTGAATATGCCAACACTATCATGGACGAAATATCGTGACGTCACAGTTTATGTGCACTCAGAGACCTCTTCGACACGGCCAAAATGGCAAGTTTGATGCAGATCCGCCAAAAAAAACCATTTTTTTCACTCTGACACCTCTTGTTTATTGTGTAAATCAGTTTTGCAAATAATTACAGAAATTTCAGAAACAGAAATAATTACTTTAAATTCGAAATAAGACCGCCTCCGTTGTCTTGTGGTAGAGCGTCCGCCCGGAGAGCGGAAGGTCCGGGGTTCGATCCCCGGCCGCGTCATACCAAAAGATGTTAAAAGATGTCGGCATTAAGGGGCTAAAACAAGGACTGGTCGGCTCGGATTCAGTATACTGTGTCTGAGTGGGGTATTCATGTTCAACTGCGGCATGGTATCTCAGTGGACTAGCACTATAAATCGGCATCAGTCCGATACAAGCAGCCACACACACGCATGCACGTCGCTACATAAGTGCAATAATCTTGGACGTGACGTTAAACCCCTTTTCACCTCACCTCACCTCAATTCGAAATAAAGAACTAGGTTCGATATCGTAATCCATGACTGTGGAATTTATATTTTAACAATTATCTTTTGCTAAAAGCCAAGGCAAGTCTAGATCAAACGAAACCAAATCTAGTTTCCCTGAATCCATCCGAAAACAGACGAAGAAGGGTTATTTTGGAAAAAATAGATTACTTAGAAACGTTTTCATGGACTAATTATTAGGTTGTGGGGAGCTTAAAGACGGAAAGTCGGAAGGCTAAAATACAGGGGAAACTTCATATCTACACGCAATAATACTTTTTATGAATCGTGAAATTCGTTGAAAGAAATTACGGGGCACAATAACATATATTCAAACGCATGAATGGGTGAATATAAAAGCAATATTGTAAGGCGGTATGGTAATTTAGGACGGGCGAAACATGAGAAACACTCACAAAGTAGGTTTTACAGGACTGACCTGAATAACCCACACCAGCTGGTTTTCGTCTTCTCTGCCGTTTTCAAAACATGGCGATTATTGTTTGCATTCATCTCAAGATAAGGTGAGGCGTATGTGATGCTTATCTCAGATAAGTATACCACCCATGGTATAAACTGTAAAAGTACTTGATCAATTCTACAATATTATATTTAATTTTGTTGTATAGAATATACTATGTGAGTCTTTAAACGCGAAATGAAAAAAAACATCGTTTAAGATTATGAAAATATATACAGTAAATATTACCACTAGCTTTAAACTTTGACTTTATTCCTGTCTTCGGCATGTCAGTTAACATGCGTCCGGTCTGTTTAGTTGTCAAACCAATAACCAATTATGACAGTGCATGTCGTGTATACAACGAAACACACTGTCAACCTGATATTTTTGGCCATTCAACATTGTAGAATGTAGATCAATTACCGTTAAAGTTAAAGAATGGATACTCGCCTGCATCTTGTTCTCATACACAGCAAACATCACACTTGTTTATCATATATATTTTTTGACGGATGATGATACGATTTCACACTTCCAAAAAGAGAGTGGTCATGTTGCGATGATTTCAACAATAAATGATATATTTCATATGAAAATGGAGTCATGTACATTAATTTGTAGTGGAACGAAAAATAATATTCTAATAGATAATTCTAAAGCTAACATTAGAGCGGTAGTGATGTACAACAATAATTTATATTTCACATAAAAATGGTATATTGTATAGTGTGAGGAGCCGAAAAATAATATCATAATCGTTAATTCAAATGATCCAGCTATGATTACTAAATACATGTTGCGATATCAGATCTACCTACCTCGTTATTCCAATGTGTCCGAGAACGCAAAACACCAAGAAAGCTTTCGCGCCCCACATCTTGGACGGGCACGAGCTGCACATGGGATACTGCGTAGTCTGGCACAGCGAATTGAATATAAACAGAGTTGACGTGTATATACCAGTGAGTCTGAGTTTATCTCCGGGTCAAGTAACGGAACTGGGTCATCGCTGATTGGCTGGATAAACACGGATGCATTGGAGGCTGAGAGTGCAGATGGGAGGGAGCCGAGTTGGAGGAGGTGGTTATTTCGAGGGGCGTGGGGGGTCGGGGGATGGGGGTTCTTTAGATATTTCTTGAAACATTGCCTTCAACACAGACAGAGCGTAATTTTCAAAGACACATGATTACATCCTTAACTGAGGCGGATGTACTGATAACCCAGGTTAATTAGCGAGATTAAGTAGAGATTGCTGCAGTGCATCAATTGTTCCCCGCCATATAATGTCATATGCAGAGGAAGGAAGTGTAAGCAATGGGAGGAGAGGTTTGATGTAAAGTACAAATTGGTTGTTATCAATGTAGTTATCTTTGGAAAGCACAACAAAAGAAACAATGTCTTTAAATGATCAACACAAGGAACACCAAGGCAAGAAAACAGATAACTGGATGAGAACAATCGATATCTACATTATAGATATCGCTGCAATGAAATTGCAATCACAATCAAATGACTCTAATGGCTCTGCCACTGAAGCTGTTAGTAGTATATTTTACCAAGGACACTGCTTATTACTGTCTGCAAACTGAAAAAGTTGGAAGAATGATGTTGCATGATAAATAGAATCTCCCCCTTGTGTCTTTTGACACACTCGTCGAAAAAAGTTTCAAACTCCTCGGCAAGCCTCGGAGTTTTAAACTTTTATCTTCTCGTGTAGATATATTTGATATCAAAAGACACCTTGGTATGATTCTCCACATATACCCACTATTATTGATTACAAGTCCTATATAGACAACACAACAAATGTTATTCTTAAACATGCTTTGGTAGCAAATATCAATCTTTCTGGTACAAATGTTGGCTTGGTTAAATAAAACAAACTTTTGAAATAGTAAACACAAAACAAATGTAATGAATTCACTGTAAATAAACATCAGTCCAAATGTAAAAATATGTTGACGCATTCATTAAGGGATTCCCATTTATCCAACAGCAAGTAAAGAATATACAGGTTGGTCAAGTTATCTATAAATATTGAGAATTATCTTACACATTGTAAAAACAAAGCTCACAGGTCACATTTCTGAAAATGTTCAAAATTGAACAATCAAAACTAAATACAATCAAAACTAAAAACTTAAACTAAAAATACAAAACACCAACCCCATTGGAACAACGTCTCTGTGAAACATGTGTTGTCTTGAAGATGAAGAGCATTATGCACATTTTATTGTCTATATATACTGAACAACAAAAGTTCCTGTGACATTGAATAATATTTAATGCAAAGCTATATTTTTTACCAAATCTGAAACAATTTCGGTTTGCAACAGATAAAAGACTCCTGTAAGTGTTCAAATGGTTTAATTTGCCATACTGACTTTAGTAAATGCGTGATTTCATAAAAAAAACATGCCAAAATATCAATTTACAAATCAATAGCGTGTGTGTCCACCTCTGGTTGCGATGCAAGCTACACATCTTCGTCCCATGTAATGGACCAGGCGTCGCACAAAGTCCTGTGGGATATCTGTCCATATCTGCTGGAGCATGTTTCGAAGTTCCTGGAGTGTCTGTGGAACAGGTCGTTGACTTCGAAGGCCCACATGTGCTCGATTGGTGAGAGGTCAGGGGAGCCAGCCGGCCAGGGGATGACATTCACGTTGTTTTGTTGAAGAGAATCCTGAACAAGTCGAGCAATATGAGGCCGGGGGTTGTCATGTTGAAAGGTAATGCCTTGGCCATGACGACGCAAAAACGGTAGAACAACAGGGCCGATGATCTCGTCGCGGTAGCGCTGTCCATTGAGATTTCCCTCTACCACTATCAAACGGGTCCTCTGTCTTGCTGTAATCCCACCCCATACCATAACGCTGCCGCCCCCGAACCGATCTTCTTCCATGACACAATGATTGACGTAACGTTCACCTCGTAACGCCGGTACACTCGAATCCGTCCATCGCTGTGGCTGAGGTGAAAACGAGACTCGTCAGTGAATAGAACTTGTCCCCACTGCATGGCCGTCCAGAGTAGACGCTGTCTGCACCACTGTAGACGTGCTTGGCGGTGGTTTCCTGTCAAAATGGGACGTCTGGTGGGTCTTCTGGCGACAATCCCTGCACATCTGAGGCGGTGACGTACGGTTTGTGAAGATATTCGTCGAAGGCCAGGGATACTTCTTGCAGTCACTGTTGCCGGCTGGAATCGATTTCGTAGGTGTGTTGTTCGAATCCAGTTGTCTTGTCGATTATTGGTTACCCGTGGCCTGCCACTCCGAGGATGGTCTCTGACTGCATTCGTCTGTTGCCAACGTTGCCATAAACACCAAATGGTGTTTCTGTGAACGTTAAATTGTCTTGCAACATCACGTTGACTCGATCCTGCTTCAAGCATACCAATGGCTCGCAGACACACATTTTGGGACAGGCGTGGCATTTCGTAACGTTGATTAATTGCGTAATTTTGTTGATTTTCTGAGTGGTTGTTGTCAGCACGATGCTAAACGATGCATATGGAGTCCCGTTAACGCACATTTTTTAAATACCCATTCTTGGGTAGTGAAATGCAAGAAGCTTGCATAAAAGTCCACTTTTGCATGGAATGCATGCTTTTCTGTAGCAGTTGCGTTTTTCTGACTTGATTCCATACATGTACTACAATATTGAAAACCAAACTTTACTTGTTTGAAAAATACACTAAAATATTGGTGTCACAGGAACTTTTGTTGTTGAGTATATTTTGTAGTTTGTGATTGTGTAATATTGCCACTGGTTCTTCATGGAATGTTACGCAATACATATCTCTTCTAAAACATCTTTGTTGTATGATAGTTTGTAATAGTTGTGTCCCCTGGGCACGCCAGGAACCTATGACAGTGTGTTCGAATCCCGGTTAGCCCCGATTATATTATCAGCACTATACAAAAGTGGTGAACGTCTAAAACCTGCATCACTTCGGACATTCCTCCACAACAAGCTGATACTCCGTGATATAGGTGGAATACAATTCAAAGCGGCGTTAAACCCAACTCATTCACTCACTCATTACTCTTGTGTATGGTTCCGTTTGGTTATCTTGCTTTGTGTTGTGATTACTTCCGGTTTAGATTTGATGTATGTTAAGAAGAATGTTACCATGTTCAACCCAAACATCAGGAATATATCATGCAACCGTATTATTTTTTAGGACAATAATTGCAAACAACAGACCAACCTGTTGATTTCCAATGAATCCAGAAGCAAAGAACATTACGGGTTTGTAATCTCTGCCGGAAGTAAAAACAAACTGTCAATGCAAAAAAAACCATGCAGAACCGTAAACCGCCGCATGAAACGGTATGAGTCATACATTACAAACAATGAACTACTTGAAACAATACTGTGCTCAGCTAAGCACAGCAAGCACCATACATGTGATTATGAAAACAACCGATTACAAATCTCTCATATCAAACCCTTTGTTTCACATGTGTTTTTTTTTTTTCTAACAAAGCCATGCTTTATAGAAGAAGCCTGGTATTTATTCGTGTTGAATAATAAGTTGCAATAGCAGTGTGAAGGGAGAAAGATTGAGTGTGCGTTACATGTTTGACCTGAATTCCTCCCTGGAACCTTTCTCGCTGGTTGCCTGAATAACAGACGATACATTGCAAAGGTTGTGCGCCATAGAGCTATTCGGGTAAGGGAGATAATCACTCACTTTCAGTGATACAGCTTCAATAAGATACAATGTACAGCACTGCAAAGCCAGTTCGTGATAATGCTCTATACTACAGTTAAAGCTAAAGGAATTAATCGCTCAACGCGCAATAGTTTATTCTTACAAAATAAAGACCAGTTAACTTAGCGAAAGGAGATATATTTCCTCTTAACATTTTTAACTCTTTTTAAAACAAAATGGACAAATTGCATGGATTATCTACATAACGAAGATGACTAAGTCACAGAATGTGACAGGTGATTGGTTAAAACATGTCTAGATTAAGTCACTCTCATATCGTTTTAAAAACTAAATTTTTAGAGAAAAAGAAACTAACTCTTTTCGAGGGTCGGAATATCGTCCCTGATGATGTTTTATAGGTTTGTCAACATTCTATCCGTTCACCTAGGCCGCCTCCGTGGTCTTGTGGTAGAGCGTCCTCCCGGAGAGCGGAAGGTCCGGGGTTCGATCCCCGGCCGCGTCATACAAAAAGACGTTAAAAGATTGTACTTGTTGTTACTCTGTCTGGCGCTCGGCATTAAGGGGCTAAAACGAGGACTGGTTGGCTCGGAGTCAGTATACTGTGTCTGAGTGGGGTATTCATGTTAAACTGCGGCATGGTATCTCAGTGGGCTAGCACTATAAATCGGCATCAGTCCGGACTAGTACAAGAAGCAACAAACACACACACACACGTGCATGCACGTCTCTATATAAGTGCAATAATCTTGGACGCGACGTTAAACCCAATTCACCTCACCACACCTCCGTTCACCTGGGTTTTACCAAAGTGGTTTCTGTTCAAGATCTGCTTTACCTACAGTGCTTGTTGGCGCTCTCATCATCATCATCATCATCTAGCCTAGTGTCAGTGCCAGCCACGTTTTCTTATTCATCACGTTGTGTGAAACCGATTCCGTGTCCCCGACCTCAAGTCTCTGAAATGAACTTTTATTACAGAAAATACAGATGTTAAATTATCTTAATAAAATATAATAAAATGGAGCCAAGAGACGTTTCTTCATTTTCAGGGTCTGCAGTAATCTAGACTTGGCAAATAGTATAGGCTTGCAAGGGCTGTATTGAATATATGTCTTTCAGGGTTAGACTAACATTTAGTCTTTGAAATCTTATATTACACAATATCCTTCTCGACTCTTAAATTAAACAAATAATTTTCCCCGTTGCTGATTACATAAGAATAGTGCTAGCTAGAGCTGGCTAGACTTGCTTTTGTGTACATTTATAGATTTATTTTTTTAATAAAATAAAT